TGTTCTACAGAAACTCGAGCGTCAGGACGGTCGTGAACGGTTCCTTGAGTTCTTGTTCGTCCAGTGGTTCTTTGCAAAGTTCCTCTATAGCGCACTGACCTACCCTGAGGTATGAGAAGGCTCGCCCAGATGTTTTCAAAGTTCCTATTCTAACACCATGTCCAGGCCCACGGTCTCTTGCTTGACTTCCATATCAGAAAAGATGCTAGAGAGAAACTCCTCGGACAGGTCGGACTCCGTGCCTACTCGCAAGTCTTTGCTGTCCTTCATTCCATGTCCGTTGTCCCTGCATCCGGCCACTACATGAAGCCTTATAAACGAGCCATCGCTAATCCAAACATGCAGGAACCACTATTCTATGGCTCGTCCCACGGTGAGAAGGCACGTGGAGAGCATGCTTTGCCGGTTCGACCACGTCGACCCACGCAGGAACGTCAGCGGAACCCAGCCCTCTTCCCGCGCAACAGCTCTCAACAGGCGGGAGTCACCTGCTGCATTCCTGATGCTCTCCGCTGCTGATACTCTTGCCCTGCTGAATGCTCTTTTCCCGAGGACAAGCGCTTCTACATGCAATTCCCCACTCTCATCTTCCGGGATGCCTTCGTCCCCTGCTGGTTCTTTGGCTGCTCGGTCAGATCGCTCTATAGCGTCTATTATTGAGCCGGGATTTTTCCGGCCTCCTTCTGATAACATGTCCATTCACGCCCTCCAGGACCAGAGACTATTTGCCTCTGACATGGCCTTCCTGTCGTTACCAGAGAATTGCATGAGCCGCAATGCTGACAGGATCCGCTTTGAGCTGTCAGACCTGAGCGAGCCCGATGGTCGGACAACTCTGGAACCACCTGCAGCTGAAGAATGGACCATCTTTTCCATGACCCGAAATGGAAGATGCTTAACCTGGGGTCTATTCCCCGATGATGGCCCATCCAGTTTTCCGGGAAACGCCTCTGTGGATGACGTTCAGTCCACCACCTTGGGAATGGAAGACAATTCTGAAGCTCTCCAAACGGCCATTGTGAAATTGATTCAGGATAACCCTGCCGATGATGCTGCCGAGTATGGTTTTATAGATCTTCATGGCGCATCCCAAGACGCTCATGTATCCCTAAAGCAAAAGTTCGATAGGGCCATGGAACATTGCCACCATGACTCTGATTTCATCGGTGCCCACTACTGGTGGAATGCCGGCCGACAGCTTGTCCGCAGCGTTGCAAACTCCCCATCTCGACGCCTGGACGACTCGTGGATTCTCGAGCCCATGCACGCATCGTGTGTCCGCTCACTCGCTACCTCACGGGCGGTTATCGAACGATGTGAAACGGATCTTGTGGCCCTCAACAGGCATGTGCAACGGGTGCAAAAATCCGTAAAGGAGATGATGGCCACTGTGGCCAAGCTCCGAGACAAGATGTGGTACATGACTGACGTAAAGCACTCGATGAGGTACGAAGATGCCAAACACGTCGCACTAGCATTGAAGACTATGATCTACTCTGCTCGCCTCTACAGACAAGCACCAAGCGATGGCCGGTCTCGCAGCAGCATGAGACCGTTCGGAAATTCTCTTCTCCAAAAACCAGAGTTGCAAGTCATGAATATCATGAAGGCACCGAGCAGTCAAGGCGGTCCCAACAAGCTGTCAGATGAGCAGGTGGACCTGATCCGCAAATGGCTGTCTCACAACAACATCGACAATTTCTGCAAAGGTGAGGAGCGAATTCACCGGTTCTGCTACGAGGTGAAGACAAGTATCAATCGGCTGGTTGGCGAGACCATGGCCGAAACCCCGGTGCTGTGGTCCAGCGAATTGTATCACAAAGAGCGAGTCATGTACGAAGGCTCCAGTAACCGAAGCTTCCTAAGCCTCTCCTCGAGCATGCGGCCTTTCAATATGTCTAGTGAAGACACGCCACATGCCTCACCAGTGCAGGGGAATACTACTCGCCCATCAGACACTTCAAGGTTCACGCAGGACCTACCTCCGCTGAACTCCAAGTCCTCTTTCCAGAGTCTGATGTCCGATAAGTGGAAAATTCCTCGGGAACCCTCGATCACAGACGCCTCTTCAATCGGCGGGTCCCCGGGGAGGGCTGCCTCAACTACTACCGGCGATTCGTACAGCACTTTCTGGTCAACGCCACATCAGCCCGCACATTATGCACCAAGTGCTTCCAGCCTATATTCCCGGCCCCCCTCTATGTTCAGCGATAACGGTATTCAGCCGTCACGTCGCAATGATCGCAAAACGCACAGCAAAGGAGCTTTCTTGGACGGCCTGAAACAGACCCTGACAAGCTTGCTCCTAAGTGACTTAGGCTCCCCAGTGTGGAGCTGTGGAAGTGAGACGGACGCTTGGTTCGGAAACGCGCTGGAGCAGAAGAGAATCCGGACCCAGATGAAGAAACGCGCGCGCATCCAACAGTTCTATACCGAGTGTGATGAGCGAATCGTTCATCATACCCTCCATCGCACACCGTCGGACCGTCGGCGAAGCAGATCCCTGGAGTCTGCAGATCGATCCACACTCGGCGATGCCGAGACACCGTCTGCATCTGCTACTGACAATTCTATGCAGTCAGACGAAACGCAGCGCTTCTCGTACGGGTCTGTTTTTCGGCGCCTAATAGAAGTCTTCTCGCGACACGGGAACCCATTTGTCAAGCTAAAGGCATTGCGGGATCTGCGGGCGCTTGTTGTTGCATCTTTGAACTCCGATAGCGACGGTACAAGCCCATTCAGTGCAATTGAGCAGCCCTCATACCCGCGAGGTCGTACTCCCGGGTTCCAGAACAAGAGAAGCGCCCGTCATAGCTTTTCCGAGTCTGATGCAAAGCGGGCTCATGCGCAGGATTCCTCTCATACACCGACGACTCCTGCGGCCGAGTCTGTCATTTTCGACTCCCGACCCTCCGACTATTGTGCACCCACCGACAATCAGATAGTGGATGCACTACGCAGCCTCCTCCTCGAAGTGAAGCCGAAGACGCTATTCCGTGACTTGCAGTTCATCTCAGCCTTTGTTCCTTCGGAGACGTTGAACAAGACTGACAGCGGGACTGCATTTCTACAGTTTGGCTTGGCGGCTCTGAGCCTCAAGGACGAGATCTGCAATAGCATGGTCGAAATCGCCGATAATATTGTATCTCAAGAATTCAGCCGGCGCCATCCGCCCGGCTACGACCATACACCCCGGCCCGGGCACGCCCTCGAGGATGCTGCGGGCATGTGGATAATCACTGCCAAAGAAGGCAATCCAGTTGCCCAGCGGGAACTGGCCATTCTCTACCTCACCCACCCTGAACTCCTCCCGCGGGTGACCCTACCACTCACTCTGTTGCGAGACACATTCAAAGCTGAAATGATGTATCGCCGCGACAAGGATTCCAAGTCCGATCCGCAGAGCATGTGCCTGGCACTGCACTGGATGCAGCTGTCGGCCAGTGGTGGGGACGAACTTGCACGCAATCGACTTCGGGAGCGGGAGGAGTTCGAGTCTCTTGCATAAATCTCCTTTTCTTTTACAGTTCTACTCATACTCGGTCCTTTCCTTACTTTCAATTCGTTTCTTTCTTTCATTGCTTGCGAGCATGTGCTTGTGATCATCTTTAGGACTTATATCTTTCTCTTCTTTTTCTTTTTCTCTTTTTTCCTTCTCACATCTTTCTATGACTTTGATACCAATCACGACCTGCCGATTTCTGGCATCCGACGCGGGTCTACTTACGCAACTAATTTTGGTGCAGACGCGCAGATCTATTGATATCCTGTTTGACAGATCTGGATGGACGGTGTTCACCCCGGTTTCCCCTTGGCTGTTGTATTTTGCTATGCTACTCTTCTGCGGGATATCCTTCGTCTTTCACGGAGCCGGGCAGGGTCATGAGATTCCCCTATACACTTATACCTCTTTTTTGTGCTTGGGGCGGCATTCTGCTATTCGATCACTTGTTTGTCTACCATTCTGTTGCTTTGCTTTCTATCTTGCTGGTGAGTCGACGCATCTTTACAAGGGGGACGAAGGGAATCGGGCTCTTGGAGTTCTATTGCATACTGGGCAAGGATGGGAGTGTAGAAACGCTTTGTAGTTTGTTAGCATCTCAGACCGCAGCTGGATGGACGCAGGGAAACCCGGTCCACCAGAGGGGTCAGAATACAAGCAGCTTTATGCAACGTTGATGGGGTCAGGTAGTCAGGTAGCAACCACAACCACGTAGTGGGTCGGGAGTCGACAGTCGATCTTTCGACAGGTTTGAGAGTTTGAGAGTTGGAGATGGGACAGTAGGGGAAACAGTAGGAAACAGTCCAGTCCCTCGGATTGCTTGCGACGTCATCGGCGGGCAGCCCCACGTGCCAGGTCACTGACTGTCTGTTTGCATTTACTTCTTACTGCTTCTTCTCCTTCTGTCACTTCTGTCTCAACCCAACTGGACTATTTTCTGGTCGCCTTACTCTCTGACCCCTTTTTTTTGTACTTCCTTCTTTTCCCCTTTCTTACCCCTGCTTGTTCTGGCTAAGCAAAGAAAGAAAAAAAAAAGAAAGTGAACCGAGCCACCAAGTAATCATCAGATCCAGCTGGACCGCGCGAACGTGATTCATCATCCGCAACCGTGCCACCGCCCTCATTTGTCGGGCTCATCGTCAGAGGCTGAGGAATCCCACCCCCGCCTCATCCAGGCCTCCTTCCTGTGTGTCTCGTCGCCAGCTCAGCCTCAGATGCTGCCTTTCCTTTCGGGCACTTGCAGCTGACTGTCATTGAATTTTCCCTTTCCCCCTGCTCATTGAATTTCTTTCGGGTCGCATTTATTGCGCATCTGATCCGCCTTCTTATCTTGTTATCCCTTCCCTTTCCGCTTTTCCCCTCTTCTTTTTTCTCATACTTTATTTTCCTTCTGCGGCGGCCGCTGCTGTTTACTTTACAAACCTCCTACCTTATTTCCCCCCATCTATACATCTCGACTACACGACTACACGACTCAGTTTCGGTGCGCTTGGCGATCATGTCTCACCATATGGAGGATGCACACAAGCGACCCAAGGGTAAACAAACCTCTTGCGATCATCCGCATCCTACGCCTGGTTGCTAATCGGACAGCAGGTATTCTGAAGAACTCCAGCTCTCAGGTGCCCCAGGTCGCGCAGCATGCTCACGCTACTTTGACGATCCCTTCAACCTCGGCCGACCCTACGGACACCAAGGAACTTACGCTTCAGAACACCCTCCAGAATGCCGGTCGACGTCGGTCGTCATCCAACACTCGCCCCGGGTCTTCGTCGCGACGACAGTCTCTTGCCAGCATCCACGGTCATCACGACGACTCGTCGCCCCGCCTGAAGTGGGACGAGGCCAACCTGTATTTGACGGAGCAGGAGAAGACGGCCAAGATGAAGATCGATGAGCCCAAGACCCCCTATGCGCCGCGCTATGACCCCGCCGAGGATGAGGACGAGCTGGCGGGCGAGGAAAGTCTGATTGATGCGCAGGATATAGTGGTGGACGAACTGGACAAGACGAAGAAGGCGCCCAAGAAGACGGTCGCAGAGGACGATATTCCGGAGTTGGAGCTGGGAGAGGCCGAGGAGTATGGTGGTGATGCGCATATGGGAGATGCCGATCGGATCGTGCGCGAACGAAGCTTGAGCAATGACTCACATCGGGGCGGGAAGCACGTTGTGGTCGGGGCTGGCGAGCTGAACGGCGAAACCGAGTCTGGTGGAGATACGTTGATGACGGCGGGCGAAGCCGAGGAAAAGCATCGCCAGTTCGAGCAGCATCGGAAGAAGCACTATGAGATGCGGAACATCAAGGATCTCCTTGCGTAAGTTGCTCCCCTATTCCCAGGATGGCTGTGGGATTTCTCATGGAGGTATGGTATACTGACGGGCTTTGTTTTCCAGCCACCCTGAGGATCTCGAGGACGAAATGGACGAAGACGAAGATGAGGGGGACAGCTCAAGTGCCGCGGTGCCGCCCCCGATGCCTAGGATCCCGGAGCGATTTCTAAATGGAGGAAAGTGAGGGAGCGAAAGGAATGGACGGACGGGACTAAGTTATCACTCTACTCGAGAAGGATTAGGACGAGAAGAGGTGATAGGAAAATAGGATGGAGGGAGGGACTAGTTGATTCTTGCTGCATAAACGGACTCTGTATATTCCCCAGCGTTGTTTAGTCATGATGGGACGGACTTGTATGAATCTATGGGAAGTACTTTGCTTTTTTTCTTTTTTTTTTTTTTTTTCTTCTTCTCTAGTTGTTCACTCTTCCTGCTAGCTGATGTGGATTGTGTCGGCTCTTTTTTTTCTCTCATAGCGAATGATGGGTTGCTTGATCGATTGATAGACGAGAGAGATAAAAATGAAATGTACGGGGAGGGGAGAGAGTTATGGATTATTGACACGTCTTGTTTAAAAACTAGATACGATGAAGTAAATGAGCTAGCTGTCAGGGAAATAACCCACCCGAAGCAGGGAGAGTTCTAGACTGTTTGTCTGACCACAGCAGGCCAGGGGGGACTCGTCACCCTCGGGGTTATATGAGTCGCGTCAAAAAATAGAATCATCCAATACTCTGGGAAGTACTCCGTAAACCGAATCAAACCAACATAGAAGATAAAAAAAAAAAAAAGAAAAAGAAAAAAAAAAAAAAAAAATAGGGAACCAATGCCATTAGAGAAGGTGATAAGTAGTCACCTTGAGTCCGCGGCCAGACTACTCTGAGTAATAGTGAGTTAGAGCACGCGCCTCTCCGCTAAGCCCGAGGCTGTCAAATCATCCGACCACCTGAGACAAGAAGAATAATTATAGTATCAGAATCCAAGAGTCGGCATCTCAACCAACCCTCGAGTCGGTGCCTTGCATGTCATCTGGAGGAAGTGAGTGGATGTGATCAGTCACCGCATGCTGTAACCTGTCAGGGGCATTCTGGGATTTTTCTTGGTGAGTCTGTCTGTCGGTCTCTCTCTCTCCTGAAACATCCTTGCAGGCCCACTCCAAGATTCAGGAGGATGGGATGGATCATTTTCGGTTTCCTAGTCGAGTTGCTATTCTGAGTAACTTGGTTAGTTAGTTATTCTACTGTACTACGGAGTACTAGCTATGTACTCTGTGTGTGTGTGTGCCTTCCTTCACTTCCACTCAATGGATCAGATGTTGAATCAAGTATAAGGTTTGTGCTGGGTTCTACTATTATCTAGTAGTGAAGAGTCATGGTATATGACTTTTCAACCATGGGATGGATCCATATTTTAAGTTGTTTGTTTGGTCTACTCTGGATCTGGTCTGAAACCTTCCAGATGACAGAGAAATCGATAGATAAATAAAACAAATCAGTTAGTTGTCTTGTCTGATCGCCGTTGAAACCTCCTAATTGAAATTAACGGCCGCTGCAGCAATTAATTAATTAATCCACTGCTATCTCTGATTGGATTGCGCGCGTTTTCTGTGCTTTCTTAGTTTCGTCTTTGCCTGCTTGTCGCTTCGCTTCGTTTCTTTCGCGCTTTCTGTCTTTTCTGGTCTCTCGTGTTTTCTTCTCTTCTCCTCTTCCTCTTTTCTCTTCCTCTCTCTCTCTCTCTCTCTCTCTCTCTCTCTCTTTTTCTCCCCTGCTGTTCATTTCCACGGCTGTTATTGGAAAGCCATCCCGCTCGCGTCCGATCGCATCACGCAATTCCATACATTCATTTTAATTCTTATTTCCCCTCTCTCTATCTTTCACTAATCTACTGCTACCAAATAATACATCCCACTACATCCATCATGGCCGATCAGCCCGAAAAGACCGCCGCCGCTCCTGCTGCCCCCGAGGCGCAACCCCCCACCACCGCCACTACTACTACCGAGCCTGCGGTTTCGGAGTCTCAGACTCAACCTGAACCTCAGCCAGAAGCCGAACAAAAAGTCGAGCAGGCGACGACAGGAGAAGAAGCATCTCCTGCCCCCGCTGCCACGGAACCTCCCGTGACGGAACCCACTCCCGCTCCCGCCCAGGAGGCCCCCGAGGATAAGAAGGAGGAAGCACCCAAGGAAGAGACCAAGGAGACCAAGGCTGAGGAATCCAAGGAGGAGCAGAAGGCCGAAGAGCCCGCGGCTGAGCCCAAGGCCGAAGCAGCAAAGGAGGAGGAACAAAAGCCCGCTCAGCCCGAGTATCTGGCCAAGAACCCGGCCCTGAGCCAGTTCTTCGATCGTCTGTCTGCCATTCTCTCCTCCACTGGCCACAATGAGATGTGGGGTGTCACCCTCAAGGACTCCTCGGATGTCCCCACCGTCAACATTCTCATCAAGTTCCTGCGCGCCAACGAGGGTAATGTCAAGCTGGCCGAGGAGCAGCTGACTAAGGCCCTGCAATGGCGCAAGGAGATGAACCCCCTCGCCCTGACCGAGGGCCGCTACAGTGCTGAGCGCTATGGTGGTCTGGGCTATGTCACCAAGTATCCCGAGGCGAATGGCAAGGAGACCATTGTTACTTGGAACGTCTACGGTAATGTCAAGTCTATTGATCAGACCTTTGGCGATGTAGATGGGTAAGTGCTGCTGTTGCTGCTATTTCGGAATTGTGAAGAGGGTTAAATCTAACTGTCGCCTAGGTTCATCAAGTGGCGTGTCGCGCTCATGGAGCTCGCTGTCAAGGACTTGAAGTTGAGTGAGGCGACGACCGTGATCGACTACGACGGTGAGGACCCGTACCAGATGCTCCAGGTCCATGACTACCAGAACGTCAGCTTCCTCCGGCTGAACCCCACCATCAAGGCGGCCAGCAAGAAGACCATCGAGGTGTTCTCCATGGCCTACCCCGAGCTGCTGCGGGAGAAGTTCTTCGTCAACGTGCCTGCCATCATGGGCTGGATGTTCGCCGCCATGAAGGTCTTCCTCAGCAAGAACACCACCCGCAAGTTCCACCCCATCTCCAACGGTGCCAACCTGGCCCGCGAGTTCCCTTCCCTGAAGGACAAGTTCCCCAAGACCTATGGTGGTAACGGCGCGACCCTGGAGGAGGATGCGTTCACGGTCAACCTCGAGAAGGCCGAGCCTGCCCCGGAGGCTCCCAAGGAGGAGCCTAAGGAGGAGTCCAAGCAGGAGCAGGCCGAGGCTCCCAAGGAAGAAGCCAAGGCAGAGCAGGCTGAGGCTCCCAAGGAAGAGGTAAAGGAGGAGGCCAAGGAGGAAGCCAAGACAGAGCAGCCGGCGGCCGAGGAGCCGGCCAAGGCAGAGGCTGCAGTGACGACCCAGGAGGCGCCCGCCGCAGCGGAAGCCAAATAAAAAGCTAGCAAGAGGCGTAATTCACACCTGGTCGGAATGAGGCCAGGATCACATAATTTACGGTAATGGATGGGACAGGTTGGATTGATACCCGGGGGAATCGGTAGAATGATTCCGTGTCGTTTTGCGTACTTGATACCTCTCGATAGTGTGTGCTTTATATGTTCTGGGATTGATGATAGAGTGCAGAAACACTAGATAGTAATATTTAATGTAACAGGTCATATAGCCGCTGATTTAACGTTACGATCTTTCTCTCGCGTCGACCGTTATTCCATGCGTTCCTGCATGCAGCAGTAAACTATAACACTGGATTTCCTGCTCTCTTTATGCTGATCTCCAGCCAGGCACCCCTGATGACTCAGCAGCCAGTGTCCCTCAGTTTCCTGCACCAACAAAAACACCAACTGCACAGCTGCTGCACGAACAACAGGCAGCAAATAAAATCCGGGCAAGGGAGATTAGTGTGTTGTTCTTCCTTTCTCTCCTCTCGAGTGTGGTTGTATCCTATAAGCTATCCCTCCCACTATCCCTCTCTCCACTAATCTCAACCCTGCCATTCCACCCTTTCAATTCCCCCCCCCCCCCCCCCCCCCAATACCATAAGTGTACAACAACCCCCCATCACAATGTCGGGATCTCACATCGGCCCGTGGAGAACTCCCGCCCAAGGCCATCTCACCCCCGACGCCAACGGCGATCTCAAAACTGACTATACGCGCTGGCGCCTCCGCGACGACCGCGGCCGCCAAACCTGGCACTACCTGGAATCCGACGCAGAGAACGAGCAATGGCCTCAATCCATCGCAGATAAGTACTTCTTGGGTCTCCCCACGGGACTTCCCGAGCTCCCCAAACCCCAGACGCCTCTGCAATGCGCCGAGAACGGGCTGGAGTTCTTCTCCAAGTTGCAGCTGGAGCCGGGAAATTGGGCGTGCGAGTATGGCGGGCCCATGTTCTTGCTGCCTGTCTTGATTATCACGTACTATGTTACTAAGACGCCTATTCCGCCGGAGTATGCCACCGAGATTAAGCGGTATTTGTTTGCTAGGCAGCATCCTGAGGATGGCGGCTGGGGGTTGCATATTGAAGCTCACAGTTCTGTGTTTGGTACTTGTATGAATTATGTTACGTTGAGGTTAATCGGTGTGAGCGAGGATGATCCTAGGATGATCAAGGCCAGGGGGTTGTTGCATCAATTTGGAGGTGCCATCTATGGGCCCCATTGGGCGAAATTCTCGCTGGCTGTCTTGGGTGTGATGGATTGGGAGTGTGTGAATCCGGTGCCGCCGGAGATTTGGTACGTTTGTTTCTATCATGTCTAGTGGGTGATTTGTGGATGGGATACTGATTCGACCAGGCTACTTCCTGACTGGGTGCCGTTTGCGCCCTGGCGCTGGTGGATTCATATTCGCCAGGTCTTTCTGCCCATGTCGTATCTGTGGTCTAAGAGGTTCTCGCATCCCTTGGACCCTCTCACCAAGCAGCTGCGGCAGGAGCTGTATACCCAGCCGTATGACTCGATTGACTTTGCGGCGCATCGCAACTCAATTCACAAGGCAGACAATTACTACCCCAAGACTTGGCTGCTGAATACCTTGAACTCTCTGCTCGTCAACATCTGGAACCCCTACCTTCGTGTCCCTGCCATTGTGCGTCGCGCGGAGGAGTGGACGTGGGAGTTGGTCCGCATGGAGGACGAGAATACCGACTACGCTGGCCTGGGGCCTGTGAGCAACCCGTTCAACATGATTGTGTGCTACGAACATGACGGTCCGGACAGCTACTCGGTCCGTCGCCATCGCGAACGGCTGCACGACTACATGTGGATGAAGGACGAGGGCATGCTGATGAACGGCACCAACGGCGTCCAGGTATGGGATACGGCCTTTATCACGCAGAGTATCGTGGTGGCCGGGTTCGGCGATGACCCGAAATGGCGGCCCATGCTCACCAAGGCACTGGAGTTCCTGGAAGACCATCAGCTGCGCGAGAACGTGCCGGACCAGGAGAAGTGCTACCGCCAGCACCGCAAGGGCGCATGGCCATTCAGCAACAAGACGCAGGGATACACGGTCAGCGACTGCACCGCCGAGGGACTGCGCTCGACCATCCAGCTGCAGGAGATGCACAACTTCCCGAAACTGATCTCGGAGGAGCGATTGAAGGACAGCGTCGACTGCCTGCTCCTGATGCAGAACCCCACTGGTGGGTTCACCGAGTACGAAACCACGCGGGCATCCGAGAAAGTCGAGTGGCTCAACGCAGCCGAGGTGTTCGGCGGGATCATGATCGGATACGACTATCCCGAGTGCACGACCGCGTCCGTCACCGCGCTCTCCCTCTTCAGCAAATACTATCCGAATTACCGGGCTGCAGAGATCAAGTCCGCCAAGGAAAAGGCCGTTCAGTACATCAAGCGGGTGCAGCGCGCCGATGGCAGCTGGTACGGGTCCTGGGGCATCTGCTTCACGTACGCGGCGATGTTTGCCCTGGAGAGTCTGGCCAGCATCGGAGAGACGTACGAAACGAGCGCGGACTCCCGACGCGGATGCGAGTTCCTCATCTCGAAGCAAAAGGAGGACGGCGGCTGGGGCGAGTCGTACCTCAGCAGCGAGAAGCACGTCTATGTGCAGCACGAGAAGTCGCAGGTCGTGCAGACGGCATGGGCCAGTCTGGCATTGATGGAGGCCGGGTATCCGCATAAGGAGCCGCTGCGGAAAGCAATGCAGCTGCTGATGTCGCGGCAGCAGGCCAATGGAGAGTGGTTGCAGGAGTCGATTGAGGGAGTGTTTAACCAATCTTGGTGAGTATCATGATCGATTGATTGAGAGTTCTCCACTAACGAGTGACAGCATGATTTCGTATCCCAACTATAAGCTGTACTGGCCGATCCGGGCCTTGGGATTGTATGCGCGCAAGTTTGGCAATGAGGAGTTGGTCTGATCTTCTATGGATTGTTCTTCTATGAGTACATGTATTACTACTATACTACTATAACCTTCTACTAATTGATAATATGATTCATGTATACTATCTTCTTTATCGTTGATCTGGAGAGTATAGATGTGTAGCCAATCACGTGGATGCTCCGCTCCCCGCATCTCTCCAAAGAAGATCATCGAACTTGTTTCCATTCCATTCACCTCTCCACTTGTATTCCTCTTTCTCTTTCACGTTATTTCCTTTTCTCTTCGGAGATTCCCTTACAAACAACAAGACTCATTTTTCACATCTCGTACTCAGACCCATACTTAAACCCTATCTACCCACCCAACAAACACAACACAACACAGCACAACGCAACACCTCCATCCAAACACCACCACACTCCAACCCACCACCTCAAAACCTCAAAATGAACGCCGCCTCCCTCGGCGACACCGCCCTCCAACAGTCCGACCCCCACACCGCAACAATTCACTACACGACCGCCCTCCTCACGCACCCCCGCTCGCCCAGCTACTTCATCAAACGCTCAACAGCCTTCTCACGCCTAAAGCCCACACCGAACCTCTCCGCCGCCCTCCGCGATGCCGAATCCGCCGTTCTTCTCGCCCGCGAGCGGGGGAAACGCGAGCTGATCGTCGAGGCGCAGATGCGGAGAGCCATCGTTTTGTTTCTCATGGGGAGATACGTTGCTGCGGAGGGGGTGGTAGGCGTGGTGGAGGGTATGATTGGATTGGATAAGGACGGTAATGGTGGGGAAGATAAGGAGGAGAAGGTGAGGAAGGCGATGGGGGGTGGTGCTGGGAAGGGTATTGAGGCGGAGGTGAGGATTTGGGGGGCGAAGATTAGGGCGAAGGTCAACGGTTTGGGCGAGCAGAGTGGTGAGCGTGGGGAGAAGGTGGAGGAGGTTCCGGTGGGGGTTAAAGTGCCGGGGGAGAAGGAGTTGAGGGGACAGTTGGAGGAGTTGAGGGGAGGGAAGGTTGGTGAGGGTATTGGTGGTGAAGAGAAGCAGAGTCAGAAGGTTGAGGATAAGGTGGAGGAGAAGGAGAGAGCTGAGGTCAAGGAGACTCAGCAGCAGCAGCAACAACAGCAGCAGCAGGTCAAGGTCCGTCATGAATGGTACCAGTCCGGTGAGACGGTTGTTGTGACGCTCTACGTGAAAGGCGTGCCCAAGGATAAAGTGGCTATTGAGCTGAAAGAGGACTCGGTATGTATTCATTCCCCTTGACCTAAACATGCAAGCCACTAACCTATATACATAGACATCCATCCAATTCCCCCTCCCCTCCGGCGCCGAATACGACTTCACTCTCGACCCGCTCTTCGCTCCCATCGACCCCTCCACCTCTAAAGTCTCCGTCTTCTCCACAAAGATCGAAATCTCCCTGCGCAAGAAAACTCCCGGCCAGAAATGGAGCGCCCTGGAATCTACCACCGGACCTGTCATCTCTACTCCCCAGCCCACGGTTACACCCACCACTACCACCACACAAGCCCAAGCCCCATCATACCCCACCTCCTCCCGCCACGGCGCCAAAGACTGGGACAAGCTCGCCTCCAGCCTAACCCAGAAATCGAAAAAGGACAAGACCAAGAGCAGCTCAAAGCCCAAGGATGAACAAGGAGAAGGAGAAGAAGATGATGGAGAAGCATCCGACGCCGAATCCATCAACTCCGACTTCGGAGGCGGTGATGCCGTCGATGGCTTCTTCAAGAAACTCTATGCCAATGCGGACCCGGATACCCGCCGCGCTATGGTGAAGAGTTATGTGGAGAGTCAGGGGACGTCGCTGAGTACGAATTGGGATGAGGTTGGGCAGGGGCCGGTTAAGGTTAGGCCGCCTAGTGAGTGATTTTCTTTCTTCTTTTCTTTCTCAGTTTCTGAGAGAAAGGAAAGAGGGGAGCAAGAAAGAATTGTTGGTTGAAAGATGGAGAAGAAGGGGATATGCGAATTGCAAGCGTGGAGTTATGGTCTACATCCATGTTGTGGGTGCATGTGGGTGGTGTTTTAGGTTCTGAAGTTGCTTCCCTTGCTAGTTACTTGTTTTGTGTAGCTTAGCTTAGCTCTGCTTTACTTGTGTAATGGTAATCATTGCAAGATGTCGAGACTCTGCTATTACTTACCTTATAAACATGATACGTAGACTACTACATGATACACGTGATGTAGAAGCAAGTATAGTATAAGATAATAAATAATTATATACACGAAAAGCAACTCCGATCCAATCAAACGCCAATCACATGAGCAAGAGTAGCATAGCAACCTGGCCATATAGCACGCAAGCGTTTTCAGAATAAATCATTATAAATCAAGCAATCCCTAAGTACCAACCCCAACACCTCTTTATGTCTTCCCAGAGGCATAGTCAAGAAAAGAGAATAAACAAGAGAGAAATGTAAACCACATGCGAATATTTTACCTCGCCTCTGCATCCACCTCACCCCCATTCGCATCCTGGTACAAGAAAAATTGAATAAAGATACACATATCCAGCAATAACGTGCCAAAGCTCCCAATCAGCCAAGACAGATTGACCAGGATATATCGACCATACAGCGATGCCAGTTCATCAGATCGACACCGACCATGATGCGAGCGTTCACACACAGGCGAATACGCCAAGATGGAAAGGACGTAGGTCAAATTGCCGATACAGGCGAAGAGGAAGAAGAGCAGGGAAACACCGTCTGTTGACTTGCGGCGATAATTGAGGAGGATCTGTGGGAGGCGGGAACCGAGGTACAGGACTGCGCAGAGGTAGCCGAAAACTTGGCCTAGTGTGTCCATTTTCAGGTCATCAGGGCTGTCTTTATGCTTGTTGTTGTTATTCTTGTCCGATGAGAGTGATGACGTTTGGCTGATGTACCAGCCCAGGATGCCGGCGGCACAGACGAGGATGATGGCCGAACCGTTGAAGAAGGTGGCTTGGAGCAGTGTTAGGGTTCGAGGGGGACGGGGTTGCTTGGCTGGTTCGACGAGTGGAGTCACTGGGGAGAGGTGAGTTCCGTCGACGGTCGTATGAAGAAATGAAGAGGCGGAGTGACGGCGATGGGCGAGCAAGGGCTGGTGGTGAGGAGTGATGGTAGCCGATGATGCTGGGCTACGAGTGTCCAAAGGAGCCTGGTAAGAGGCACTGCGTTGTTTGGAGGTAAGCAACGCGGTGCGCTCTGTGGGCTTCCGAGGCACGACAGGGGAGGGAATCTCAGTGTCCTCGTCGTAAGTTTCTGCTGTGATGGGAGAGACAGGCCGCGGCGGCGAGGATGGTTCGTCGCGCAGTGTGAATCCCCGATAGTAGAAGCATTGTGCTAAGAGCACCACATCGGCTAAAGTGTAGTACACCGCGAGAATTATCATGGTTGGCAGGACGCCCTGCAGGACGGCACCGAGGATGTTGAACACATCGCCGGCAAGCCAGACGATGAGGAAAAGAAGCGAAAGGCCATCAGCTGAGCCGCGACGAAAATTTTCAATGATCTGTGGGGAGAAGACCACCACCCAGCACGCAATCGAGATGGATCTATCAGTGATCAGTATTGAACATGTCCAATTCTAGCATACTCTGGCATAAACATACCCACATATGCCACTCAGTGCCTCTAGATCTATATTGCCGGTGACTGCGGGAAACATGTCCGGGCGGTGCGAACGAGAGAGCGATTGGGCGTTTTCCCAATCAATGCTCTACTCTATAATCTAAACAGGAAGAGGCTAGCAAAACCGGTCGACAGCAAACAAAGACGCGTTGATGGAATGAAGCAGATGGCCGGCGATGACGTTCGCAGAGTCTGCGAAGGGTGCAGATCACGTGGGACGATCCGGGGTAGCTCCTCTCAGTCTAGACCAAGAATGGACACCCAGATCGACTTGCTTCCACTTTTACTTCTTTTGGCTGGGGACGCTTTGTTCCTTGTCGGCCGCAATGCTCTGTATCGTACATTCTGGGCCTTCTGGTCATCTATTACTATCTGATCAAGTAATACTTGGCCCCGTGTAGTCTGACCATCCATTTCACACTCAATGGGACTGTGTACATCATGTGACCGATTAGTCAAGCCGTGACGTCGATGATCAACCAGCGCCCATCTGAACCCAGCCTTCTCGAAGCTTCAACATCCATCAATCATGTGGCTTCAATGACTGCTCCAGCAATTCGGATTCCCTTTACGGGCCCTCTGCCTCCGCCGATTATTGTCCCTCCGTCCGCTCGCACGGTCGCAGGTGCCATTGATGCGCTTTTAGCCTTTTTGACGGCCCCACCGTCGCCGTACCTGCGCGGCGTTGATGTAGGCAGGCATTCCCAGACAGTGCTCTTGACAGGCGCTGGTATCTCGGTAGCTTCAGGCCTGTCCGATTATCGGGGTGAGAATGGCACGTACATCACAAATAAGACGTATCGGCCGATCTACTACCACGAGTTCGTCGCTCGCCATGAGTTCCGCAAGCGATACTGGGCGCGAAGCTTCATTGGGTGGCCGGGGCTCCTAAAGGCAAAGCCAAATTCGACGCACTGGGCTATCAAAGACATTGGTACGAAAGGCTATATTAGTTCAGTGGTGACGCAAAATGTCGACTCCTTCCATTCTGTCGCGCATCCAGAACTACCCACACTCGAACTCCACGGCTACTTGCGTTCTGCCGTCTGCATCAATTGTCGAACTCAAGTCCCGCGAGACGAGTTCCAGCAATCGCTCGAGCGGCTGAACCCCGCCTGGGCAGAGTTCCTCAAGAAAATGGTCGATATTGGCGCGCTGAACGCAGACAACCCTGAGGAGCAGAGACGGAGGGGCTTGAAAATCAACCCGGATGGCGATGTAGATTTACCGGAGGCCCCTTATTCGACCTTTCGGTATCCAGCATGTCCGACGTGCTTGGAGAAGCCACCCCGATTGCAGGATGGGTCCCAATCCCGTGTGGAGGTAGAGCGCGATGGGGCTTGGCTTCCAAGTTCTACGGCGGGAATTCTGAAGCCGGCGGTCATTATGTTTGGAGAGAATATCGACCCAGCTGTCAGGCTGGGTGCAGAAGAGGCCATCGATGATGCGGGCAGGCTCCTTGTCCTGGGCAGCAGTCTCGCCACATACTCGGCGTGGCGCCTAGTGGAAAGGGCCTATAAACGAGGGATGCCGATTGGCATCATCAACATAGGAGGTGTCCGGAACGAGTCGATCCTCTTTAGCAAGGCGGAACAAGAGACGGAGGCTGTATGCCGGCATGTCCGTTGCAGTCTCCCGTCCCAGGATATTCTAGGCCCTGTGGCAGCACAACTGCCTTCACTTACTCATCATTAGGGTCCATGTATAGATTGAAAAAAGGATGTGATGTATAGATGGCGGTGAGGTGTATGAACCGCTTACAGATAAGCATCATAGTATATGTACAAGCGATAAAAGTTGAATCCAAGCTTGCATTATTGGAGACGTTACTATTTTCAAAGTAACTGTATCCATCAGATGGAATACTCTAGAAAAGATAATTATAGGCACTCCAGAATGATTGGCAACGGCGAGCTAAGATAGGCATGTAATAGACGCCGGGATAGTGGAGACCAGCAAAGTAGGAGAAGGCGAGTTACAAAGTGATGGCGGGCCAGTCAGCCGCCCGTCCGCTGTTCGATTCCAGCGCGGGGCTCTGCATTCGCCGGTTCAGATCAGCATGGACATGGACGGTCGCGACCGCTCAAAAAGCAGGACATTGCAACCTCCAACCGCCGATTATCTGGATCTCATCTCTAACTTGGCCTCTCCCAAGACTTTTCTCTTTCATCACCCACGCTCCACCTCTCGTTCTCATCCAACTCCTGCTGCGCAGAGTACCACCGTCGCACCATCGACCACCATGGACAAGCAGCAGCCCAGCTCGTTCCAGCAGCTGGAAAAGGTGTGTTTTGATGGCTTCCCTACTGTCTACCAAGATATCACCCATCAAATGAGAGATTTGTGATGCTAACTGCTGATTCTAGCTTGGAGAAGGCACCTATGCCACCGTACGAACCCCTCCCTCCGCACGGCCGATCCTCTTAAATCGCACTATGTACTGACACCCTCTCGCAGGTCTTCAAGGGACGCAATCGCCAGACTGGCGAGCTGGTCGCCCTGAAAGAGATCCATCTCGATTCTGAAGAGGGAACGCCATCTACCGCCATTCGAGAAATATCGTTGATGAAGGAGCTGAAGCACGAGAGCATCGTGTCGCTCTATGATGTGATTCACACGGAGAACAAACTCATGCTCGTCTTTGAGTACATGGACAAGGATCTGAAGAAGTACATGGATACCCGCGCCGACCGCGGCCAGTTGGACCAAGCCACAATCATGTCATTCATGCACCAGCTTCTCAAGGGCATTGCGTTTTGCCATGAGAACCGCGTCCTCCACCGCGATCTGAAGCCTCAAAACCTCCTCATCAACAAGAAGGGACAACTTAAACTTGGAGATTTCGGTCTAGCCCGCGCCTTTGGCATTCCCGTCAATACTTTCTCCAACGAAGTCGTGACCTTGTGGTACCGTGCCCCAGATGTGCTTCTGGGCAGCCGCACATACAACACGAGCATCGACATCTGGTCTGCTGGATGTATCATGGCGGAACTCTACACTGGCCGTCCTCTGTTCCCTGGCACCACCAACGAAGACCAGCTTATCAAGATCTTCCGCCTGATGGGAACCCCTTCGGAACGCTCATGGCCCGGCATCTCCCAGCTCCCGGAGTACAAGCCAAACTTCCACGTATATGCGACGCAGGATCTCAGTCTCATTCTCCCCCAGATTGACCCCCTAGGTCTGGATCTCTTGAGCCGGATGCTCCAGCTCCGGCCAGAGATGCGGATCAGTGCCCAGGACGCCCTGCATCACCCCTGGTTCCGCGATCTCCCGCAATTGCAGGCCCAATTGCAGCAACAGCAGCAGCAGCAACAACAACAAATGGCTGGGGCGTATGGTGGCATGGTTCCCCCACAGCAAACATATTGAGTTCTTCCTTTGATGCGTTTCTGTTTTCCTTATAGTTCGTTTTCATCATGTACAGCCTATCGTTTACCTTGACTTGCGTTCATCTGCTTCCTCGTGGAAGGCTTGACGAGCAACGGATTCGGTTTTAGAATGGGGAGCGCGGCGTTTGACTCCTGAGAGGACATTCGAATGATTCTTGCTGTTTTCTGCTTTCTTTGCGTTGCATATGGACCCAGAGAACCGATGGCATCTCGTAGATAAACTTGGCCATTATACTTATCTATTGCTCTCTATTACCTTCCATTATCGTAGCTTATTACAAGCGCAGGGGCAGCAGCGACGATATCTTGTCCCGCAGACAACTAAATCAATCCTGACAAGCCTTTATCAGTGCCGGATATAAGCCCTAACATTCCACGCAACCAAGTTGAACACAGTAGCTAATCTCGGCTCGCCACGAAAAGACAACTTACAATAAGGACCATCCTTATATTTTTCAAACTGATTTAAACACTACAAATATACAGTAGCCTACACATCTTACTTTATAGGTACCTAAACTCTGTAATATATGTAGGTACTCCGGTCTTCTGGCGGGATCTATATCTATCACGTGATTAATAGTCGCGCGCGTCTTCCGGCGCGTCCTCCAATCCCATCATCAATCTACTATTCTCCATAATCCTACAACCACGAACAACAACAACACAAAGGAGCTTGAAACGAACTTAAGGCTCAGCATAACAAATCACTGCACCCCAATCGAAACTCTTCAACCACCTCAAACCCTCAACCGGCGAAAGTAAACATGTCCACCGAACCCAACCCATCAGCCCAAAGACCAGGCGCCTCCCCCTCACCACCTCCTCCCGCGCCGGTCCCCCTAACACCAGGCCCGCGCGCCTCCAAACTACAAGAGATTTTCGACAAGGCGCTCGCGCGCACGCTGCGCGCGAACTCGTATGCGAATTTCAGCGGGTGTTTTCCGACGCCGGCGAAACATGTCCCGGCTAGCTTGGAGAGCGTGTGGAGACAGTTGAATGCGAAGTTGGAGGAGAGCGCGAAGGCCGAGTTCGAGGATATTCTGGCCGAGAGGGATGCTGTTAGGCAGTTAAATGAGTTGGACCGGTTGGTTGGGGAGGCGAAGGTTAGGAAGGATAGAGGAGTCGGTGGGGATAGTGTTGCGTATGTCTCCCCTTCCTTATTCCTTTTTTTGCTATTTGGCATCATTACATTGGGGGCCTGTGGATGATGGATGGCTAACTGGAATGATTTGTGCTTGGTAGGCCGCATACGTTAAGTCCGGAGGAATTGTACAAAGCGCATCTGTTGCCGCATCTGATGGAGACGCAGGCGGATTTGGATGCGAAGATTAATTCGGTGCAGAATCAGAATGCGGAGTTGGCTGAGAAGGTCCAGGCGCAGAGGTCTGAGATTGAAAGTTTGTTGTCGGGGTTGGAGGCTGTGGTTGCTGATTTGGAGGGTGCTGCAGCCGCGACGACGCAGTTTACGAGTGAGCATCAGCTTCGACAGGAAGCTGCGCAGATGGATGGAGAGGTTAAGGCTAGATCTGAGATCTGATCTGGTGGCTTGGGATTTTTACGATGGCGGGGACAGCCCCCCTCCCTTTCAACGTTCGAATGGATCGGGGTATAGTATGACTACGACAACAAAACCTCCATATCACCGGGACCCATCCATCCGTCTTCGACCACATCCTCCGCAACGAGCATCAGCTCTTTGGGCGCAGCTTTCCGGAGCTGCTGGAGTTTGTCCTTTTGGCCTGCCAGTGCAGCAGCAATGGCCTCCTTGCAGGTTCCATCTCGTTCCTCGTCCGCAGCACCGTCTCTCTTCGCCAAGGCTGCTGCACCACGGTAATAAGTCTGGGCGTTGCGCAGCAGTGTAGCTGCGTTATCTCGGGCCATGTTATAGTCCCACGGAGCCAAGCCAAGCCTCCACCTACCCATCTCCACGTCTCCTCTGGCCAGATGAATCTTTGGCAGGTTTTCAGCATTGGGGAGTTTGGACGCTTTGCTCAATGCGTCCAAGGCAGCGGACAGGGATTGCCATCGAAGGGACAGCGCTTTCATAAAGGCCTCCGGCTCATACGGAGGGAGATCTGTGAGCGCCGTATTGAAAGAAGTGAGCGCATCTGCTTTGCTGCACAGGCCATCTGGGTCGTTGGATAGATCCAGATCAGGACCGAAAGCTCGCGAAACTTCCTCGGAGTATGTTCCAACTTCGGTCCGTCCGCTTCTGTACAGGACTTCATTCAGGGAGCAGGCGAACTTGGCACGAGCCAGATTGGCCTCGTAGTGCCTGTTTGACCCCTCGACATATGCCGAGATTCGTTTCTGCAGCTGCTCTGATGAATACTCTTCTACCCAAGTGACACCTTCTTCAGGGTTGAACGTGAGTAGGTTACAGAGGCTTGTGATGGCTTCCAGTTGTGCGACAGCTGTGTCGACGAGTGTGTCCTTAGTCACGGGCTCAACAATAGCAGCCCATTGTTCTTGCTGGTCTGACGACTTCGACTCGTCCGCAGGTGGCAGTTCTGGCGGTGTATCTTGCATCTGAGTTTCAGCAGGGTCCATTTCGCCGGACGTCATCTGGTTGATCTGCTCCTGCATTTCGGTGTACTTGAGTTCTTGTACAGTTAGGCAACGTTGGAAGAGTTCTATGGCTTCTTGCAAAAGCTTTACTGCCTGAGAGAGCCGGTCATCCGATGGGCGTTTGGATTCAGTCAACGCCTCGGCAATGCTGGTGAGTACTTGGGCTGTGTTGAAAAGCGCATCTGCATTGTCTTGCTCCAGGTCAAGCGCTGCTCTGTGAGAATCAAGCGCTACTCGCAGGACGTCCAATAGTGGCGCAGACAGCTGAGCAGCTAGTTTGGGATGTTGCGTGATTTCATATTGAACTCTCGCTCTATCAGATGTCAGTAACTAAGGTTACTGACGGACGCGTCCATAACGAGTAGATAAGGCAACGATGAATTTGGATGACGTGTGACGTACTTGTTATATGCCAGGTCAAACGCACTGGGATGTTTGCTCAAGCCTTCATCGTAGGTATTGATGGCGCGCATGAAGAAGCGCAGGGACTTGGCTGCATCTCCGGCGCGCCATTTCTCTCCGGCCTCTTCCTGCTCGACACCAACTGGGACATCTTGGTAAGCTATACGGCGACATATGACCTGAAATTGACCAGGTGATTCAATTCAATCCGGATTCTGGGTGGCTCACGGGCTAAGTATTCATCTGCAGTTTCCGGGGCCTGGGGGGTAGAGTTAGAGGGACAGTATTCGTGATCGAAGGGTCATTTGAGCATACCCGCTGGGTCGCCTTTTTCTTATTAGACTTAGATTCCTTGAGGAAAGACTTTGGTTTCGGCATTTTCAGCGCTCAGGTGAGGCCAGGGTTTCCCGCTAGATCAATGTTTCGATACCAGAAATATAAATCACAGTGGATGCTAAACTAAAATATAAGAAACAAATGGGAAGCTGCAAAGTCAACGGGATATGATGACGTCCTGCGATGTTTTTTTCGAGAATAAAAAGACGAGGGGTAGCTCCATAATGCCGGCGTTACGGGGATACCGCCTTAGCGCCCGCTTTGAGATTACTCGTAGTACATAGGGGGTCATGGTAGCAGTCAGTAATCCTCGTATAAATAGATTACTTTGACAGATTGAAGATAAATTAAGTGGCCAAAGAGTCATCTAGATAAGATTTTTATCTAGCTATCAGAACTATAAAGCAACGGGCTTATCCACCGAGTTTATCAGCGGTCAGCATCTAGTTCACCTACTTAGTGGACTGCCCTAGACGGAAATTCACTGTCGGAGAACCACTCCCGCTCCATGCAAGTCAGCCAGATCTTCCCCTCCAGCACCGTGATAGTGTGCAAGCAAATCCCGCACATGTAGCCAACCAAGAAACGATATTCGCGTTTTGATTTTCAACAACCGGCAGCGGTGTCGTGCATGTTGAAGATCCTTCAGACGGGACGGAGCAATCAGTCAATCACTCATGCATGTCTTACATCGTTTGCAGTCTTACAAACCAATTTTCTTGCTACTCACGAAACAAGGAATGTCATGACAAGAAAAGCATGCATCACATGTTACTTACTGTATGCCAGCCACTATTGAGTTGAGTCTGCACGGAAGAGACCGGGGATAAGTAGGGGAGGGAGTAGAGAAGGTTTGCTGGGGTTCAGGACCAAGGAAATGGGGGCCACTGGTGGGTGAAGATGCGCTGCTGCTGCCATCGTTAAATCCGCGTGGCTGCCCACTTGCCCGCACGTGGCGGGCCTGGCCGGGAAGGGCCTGAACACTGGTAGTGAATAGTTATCTAGTTAGTTTCCATAAAGAATTGGGATCAATAATCCTAGTGGTGGAATTCCCGCTGTTTTAACTACTTGAACTAGTGTTATATAGATATAGCTAGGATACCACCTGTGGCATTGTAAGAGAGACGTTGTTCTCTCAGTCTGGATAATGAATCAGAACGTGTGCAGGATACTCAAGAAAAAGCAAGCATCTAGTTTAGTTTGCATGCCTTGAACTGGTACACAATAACCACCTATTCAGTACGTACCTGAAAATAGGGGCAGCTGGTATGGTATGATGCATCCACTTCCATTTGGTCTGCTCCTTTCAGCCAGCCGATCGCCAATACCCTCAAGTATACTCCGTAATTTCGAGTGCATGACGATCAATCCGTCGGGCGCGCAAGCATCCCTGTTTGGTGATGGCGCTCGTGTCTGCCGCCGACGTCCCAACATAGTCCGGTGTCTCAGGCTGCCTGCGATGGTTTAGGCCGGCTCCAGATGGGTCGCATACCCATCTTTGTGTCCCTGCCGACCACTGCACTAGACACTAGATTACTGGAGAAACAAGAGAAACGGGCTTGGAACCATACTATGTATCCCACCACTAGATATCAACTCTTCTATCTCTTGAACCATACATCCACAAGGTTCCTTCACCACGAGATAAAATACAGATCCGGGCAAAGGAGGGGATTTTGGAGGAAATCAGGACAAGAAAACCTTAAAGCCGTCAAAACGACAAATCCCCTCCAATCCTTTCCGACCGTCGACGAGGAAGAAGATTTTATCAGCATTGCGTTTTGGCGCCTGCCGGTGACCCACCCCATCCGCCTCCTTCGCCCCCGGCCTCTCCTGAGTCGAATGCATGGCACGGCTGCGCGCAGTCCAACACTCTCATCAGGGACCTCGTTCTTACTCTTACTCTTCCTCTTCCTCCTCTTTTGATCTTGCCCACATCAGATATCCCCTTTGACCTATACTGATTGCATACTGACCCTGGAAGGAATTGAATGTTCTAAGGTGAGAACCCCTCTTCTCTCCAGCCCTGCTGATCCTGGCTCAATCAGCGTCTTTAATCACTCGGGATCATTTTCCCAGAAAAAAAAATATCCCGATTAGTTATTGATGCCTTGCCTTACCTTTTTTCCCTCCTTTATTTTCTCGACTGTGGACGACCCATCTGCTTGTTTGGCTCTTGTGTCTCTTCGGTCCTGTTGCAGTTGTTCCTTTGATATCCGTGCCTCTTAAAGTTCTCGCTTCGCTGACCGGGGTACAATCCTATCTTACAGGTTACGTACATTCTTCTGGGAAGCCTCGCAGCCTTTGTTGTTCCACTATTCTGCACACGCTTTGAACTGCACGCAATATACGACCCACCGCATCCTACACCATCGTGAACATGGCTAGACATACATCGCTAGAGTCTGAGAGACCCATCATGGCCCAGTCGGTAAGTCTACTTACGTGCGATATCCACGCACATTTATCGCCGTCGCAATTTCATCTGATTCGATCATAGGCCCGTACCTCCAAGCGATTCTCGACTGTCAGCGAAGCCCCTACGGTCGCCTCGTCGGAAACCACCTTTGCAGGTTTGCCTGCTGGAGACCCCAGACTAGCCGATTTCCACAATCTCCGTGATGGGCTGGAGCGCCTGGAAAACAAGCCCCTCTTGAAGCAGCGTTTCGTTCCTACCCCGGAGAAGACCGACAACTTGAGCAAGTTGGCATTGGGGGCCAAGGTGGAGCGCGCCCTTGGACGTAGAATGACTAGCCAGGACGCTGTCATGCGAGAGCCCGTGCTGAACGAAAAAGCGGCGGTGGAAGCCCCGTGAGTTGTTGCAGACGTGTCGTGTGGTGTTGACCGAAAGATTGCATTTTGATACCTTACTGGACCTTTTGCTCCCTGTCCCCATGGCCACCTGGGCCACGGCTGTTCTAATGTTGCATGTTTTTCCCGGCTTGCCAGATTTCCCCTGCGGCGGGTTCTATGACCGAGTTCGATACCCGTCTTTCTTGATGAGAAGCTTATCTTTACCTGTCTATCATACCCCCCTTCTGAGCCAGCTATCCACTTCTGATTTAATGCGATTCCGCTGCGTGTACCAACCCTAATTTACTGTCTGATAGCCATCTGCTTATTTGATTACTGGGATAATTGTGTGATGTTTGTTAGGGGGCGTGGTACTGTGCCGGTTCCGTTTGCTATGTGACAAAGGAGCACACCGATGATTGGATATACGAATCCGAGATCTGCCAGTGATCTATCTATCTCGTGCCCGGCTCTAAATTTGTACTGTCTATATTCCAACCGGAACGAGCAAGAATCCGAACTCCGATACATATTATGAAGAATGGTGAAGAAAATGTGCTTTTTTTATTACAGGCGGTGCATCAGATATGGTAGTAAAACAGCTATCGGCCGAGGATCCAGCATCATTGCCAATGAACGGCCCGGTCTGGGGGGGTTAAATCCACCGCATGCTGATATCATGGATGGCAAATGGACTAGCCTACCGCATTGTTCCACTGCGTCATCAACACAAGATCCGACAGCGATTTCGTTTACAGAGTGTGTACTACTGCTATCTAAGTGCCAGCCTCATAACTTCCATGTAAATCTAGTCCCACCATCTGTAAATCTTGATCCATTGGAGTAATTGGTCCTATTCAGCTCCAATATTGCCACCACTGCTGCCACCCACATTTTGTCACTGATCGCGGTCGTCCAGTCGATCGACGAGATGCGCCCGTGAATCATATCAGCCCAAAGTAGCAGGCGGTGAATTCGGGGCCAAGCGCGACATGTCCTGAAGAGGACTAGCGCCGGGCACTTCTGGTTCGGTGCTGGATTTTGCACCAGCAAAAACGAACGGCTTGACTGGCCTTGACCTCAAAGTCGGTTCCCTCTGCGCTGCTGCTCTCAGCAACCTCTCGTGTCTCTCTCCGTCCACCCTGTTACTACTAGCTGTTACTTACCACACTCCCCCAAACTTAACTTCCCTCACCACTCTTCATCCACACACACACACTAACTACCACCCCTCTCAACCCTCCACACATACACAAACCCCCCCATCTTCCTCTTCATCTTTCCTTGCAATTCTCATCCTCAGCCAGTTTTTCATCTGCTTCCACCTCTTGGTCTCCTAAATCAAGCTCCGTCTCTCTTCGTCCCGTGCTTTTTCCCTTCCGATTCTGTTGCCTCGGGCTTTTCCTCGCACACTCAATTCCGGAATCGCACAAGGTTCTTTCTGTTATTCACCTCGACGACTTCGACGCGCCACCTTTCTATCTTTCATTGATCTTTTCTTTTCTTTCTGATTCACTTCATTGCGCCTTCGAGGAGCAATTCGTTCGCACAATCTACGTTGTAAGTCCCTCATTTTTCACCTGCAATCGTGGCCCCGAACTCTCAGCCATGGCCATATACGTCCAAGCTTCAAAAGCACTGACAAATACCAGTGTCGGGGAATATTTCTTACTAGATTTTTTTCCCTTCCCTCGCCGCATCAAGCCTAGCCTCGTATCCAACATATTCTTTGCTCGGCTCTTCTCTCTTAGACTTTTCTCTTTCTTTTTCTTGAGCCTCCAAGTTTCATTCATTTCACAATGGCCGACACGACCCAGGCTCCTATCAACGGCGGCTACCCTGCGCAACACGCTTACCCCGACTCTTTCACCCACGCCCCCGCAAACGTCAACAGCGCGGCCAGCTTCCAGCCTGCGCCCTCCTCTACTCCCTCGAACGCCCCCGCAAATGACCAGAAGAATGGTATTTCGAAGGATGAGGTTGGCTGGTACTTCGTGGAGCAGTACTACACCAACATGAGCCGCAGTCCGGAGAAGCTTCACCTCTTCTACTCTCGGCGTTCTCAGCTCGTTTTTGGCACCGAAGCTGAAACCGTTCAGGTTGCTGTGGGCCAGAAGGTGCGTTGATATCTCCGCTCCCTGGGATAGATCCCTGACTAGTAAAGTCTAATTTTTGCTGACATCGTCGTCACAGGCTATCAATGATAAGATCAAGCAGCTTGACTTCCAAGACTGCAAGGTCCGTGTCTTGAACGTCGACTCTCAGGCCTCATTTGACAACATCCTGATCTCTGTGATTGGCGAGATCTCGAACCGCTCCGAGCCTTCCCGCAAGTTTGTGCAGACTTTCGTGCTGGCGGAACAGCCCAACGGTTACTATGTTCTCAACGACATCTTCCGGTATCTTGTCGATGAGGAGGAGGAGATCGAGCAAGAAGAAGCTGCTCCTGCTGCTGCTCCTGCTGCCCCTGCTGCCCCGGTTGAGGAGCCGGCTGCTGAAGAGCCTGCACAGCCTGAGGCTGAAACTGTCCCGGAGCCCGAGAAGGCCCAGGTAGACAGTGAGCCTGCTGCGGCTCAGGTCGATGAGAAGCTCGAGGAGGCCGAGCAGACTGCTGAGGCCAAGCCCGCCAAGGAGGATGCTCCCCAGACCAATGGAACCGCAGCTCAGGAAACTCCTGTCGAAGCTGCCCCAGAAGCTGCTGCCCCGGTTGAGACTGAGGCCCCCAAGGCTGAGAAGCCCGCCACTCCCGAGCCCACTCCTGTGCCCGAGCAGAAGGAAGCTCCTGCTCCGGTTAAGGAGAGTGCTCCCGCTAGGGCGGTCCCTAAGACTTGGGCCACCATCGCCTCCAAGTCTGGTGCCTCGGCGCCTGTTGTTCCCGCTGTCCCCGTTGCTCCGGTAAAGCCTGCTCCCGCTGCCAGCTCTGCTCAGCCCACCGCTCCGGCCCCCGCCCCCGCCGCTGCTCCTGCTCCCGCGGCCGCTGCCGCCCCCGAGGCCGCGTCCAGCCAGCCTTCCTCGACTGATGGTTCTGGCTGGCAGACTGCGGGCCATGATCACAAGAAGACTCAGTCCCGTGCGGGTGAGGAGAATGTTCTCGCTTACATCAAGAACGTCACCGAGAAGGTCGATGCGAGCTTGCTCAAGCAGACCCTGTCTCGCTTTGGCAAGCTGAAGCACTTCGATGTGAGCCGTGCTAAGGTATGCCAGCTCTTAATGCACCCATGATTCGGATCGGAGAAGGAAAAGCTAACCTTGCATACAGAACTGCGCCTTTGTCGAATTCGGTGATGCCGCGGGCTATGCCGCCGCTGTTGCTGCCAACCCCCACCAGATTGGAACCGAGCAGATCTACGTGGAGGAGCGTCGCCCTCGTACCAATGCCTTCGGTAACGGAAGCTACGGTGCGGGCCGCGGTGGTGCCGGTCGTGGTCGTGGTGACCGTGCAGGCAGCCAGGGTCGCGGAGGCTTCCAGCGCGAGGGTCGCGGAGGCTTTGCCCCCCGTGGCCGTGGCGGCAACGTCAACGCTAAGGGTCGCAACCAGGCTCAGACTGCTTAAGCACCTTCACTAACCAAAATACCTCTGACGTCTTACGAAGAACGACGATCGAACGTAAGCGGCGGTCATATCAGCGACCTTGACGGCTTCGTTCCTTTCCCATTCTTTCTCTTTTCTTTCCCCTCTTTACAAAGCCTTATATGATTCCTAGCCCTTCCTCCTGGCTTGAGACGGTATACGGGTTTAGATGCTCACGGCGATCCAGGACATGTATTACTCTCCCCCTTTACTTTGATAATGACATGTGTTATGTGGCCCTCTTGTCACAGTGCATATTAGCGGTTGGAAAAGTTTTCTTATCATCTTCTCACTGGGCTTTGCTTGGTCGTCATCATGACTTTGGTTTCCTCTTCCTGTGTTGCCATGACCTCTTCTTTTTTTTTTTATTCTCTACCTCTTTGATGGCTCCTTATCTTCTTAGCATAGCGAGCTGAATGCCCATATTTCTTTCATCTCTATCTCTTGCTTTTGACCTCCCATCTTCTTCATCTACATCTCCCACCATGTTGACGACCGTCGCTGTCCATCACTGGCTTCTTAGTCCTGGCTCCTGCTTAGTTACACTTCTTTCCCTGGCTTCTGGTTCATTGTTTCTATTTCCGGCCTCGTCATGTTTGAGGAGTGTAAATGGATGGCTTCTTGCTTGAATGTTTCTTTTTCATTATTTTACGTCTCCCTAGGTCGTGTGCCGTGCTTTCTTGGGGGGTTTAGCTCCCTCGGGGCAAGGGCCACGGTGGCAGTGGGTAGCGGGCGGTGTTGGCTCAGGATGATGTTGTTGCGAAATGTGCAACCACAATGGAGTAAACTGGAAGAAAAAAAAAAAAAGCTCGAAGACAACTACAGAAAACAATCAAACACAGAAATTTCGCTAATGACAGATGCCCTTGTTGTAGTAATTGGCGGTATTCAGGGAGCAATGAAGGGTGCTCAAGGTCCCCAGTTGGCCGAAGTAGCGTAGACAGCATGCAAGGCTTTTTGGGGTTTTGGGGGGGGTAAGGTGTGAGTCAATGGTCCCAGTAACGAATTGATGTTGATGATTCCTAAAACCCCTAGAGAGATCAAGGGAGGCAAGCTAACTAGCAACTATGTAGATATCTAATACCTGTAGCTATTTCGAAAATACTAGGTGGGTCTAGAGTACCTCCCAGATGGCATGCCTGGCAGGGCAACAACATTGACTGAAGTGACATACAGTGAAAGTTGAAATCCAGTGAGGTAGTAACTACTAGTACGGCGTAGTACTCGATGGTAGCCGTGGTAACGTTCGTAAGTAAAGTAACTATGTATGAAAGGGCACAAAGCGGTCAGAGTGATTGCGGCTCCGGATTGGCTGGGAACCCGTGAATGGAGGGGGAAGGAGACGGAGCAGAAGAGCGGAACGTTCTAGATAGTGAGCCTCAGGCAGCCAGATCGCCCCCGGAAGTTATCGCCCAGCAAAAAGAAGCATGAAGACATCTGGGGAAGTCCCCTGGCATAACCATATCGGATCGGGGAATTCCCATGGCTACGGCTAGATAGTTACTCAACGAGCATGACCACTGGACCTTCAACCAGTAGGGGGTGGCAGGCACCGAAGAAAGGGGAGAAACAGGGCCGGTTAGTGCCTGGCAAGGTGTGGGCAGAAGCATCTAGATCCCGCAGCTGGAAGGCGCTGGAACATCCTGGGCTGGGGGGGGAGAAGAAGCTTGGGGACTTGGGAGAGTAACACAGTAGTGGGAGGAGCAGCATGGAATCGGTGGAAGTTGCTGGATCGCCGTAGAAACGCCGCACCGAAATTTTGTGACGGTCCGCCCAGAGAACATTAAGGTCCCGCCCCGTCGCCTTTTCCCTTCGGTTCATCAGCTATTTTTTCTCTTTCCTCTCTTCCTCTCACTCTTATTCTCTAATCACTCTTCCCTCTCTCTCTACCTCTATCTCCCTTTTCTTTCTGTCACCTCGTGGGCAGTTCTTAATCTCCTTTCCTCCTATCTATCTTGTGTGATCCGTGACTTTGCTCCATTTGCCCTCCCATCAAACCTCCACACCTTTCAAACCGTTTTAGGTCAGTACTACTCAACTTTACTATACACTAAAACTGTCCCTCCCTCCCCCCACCTGGAGCTCTGACTCAGCCACTATCGTTTGCGTGCAAACCTGGCTCAGCGGGAGGCAAGACGGGATTTCTAGAAATTTCTGCCCTTTACTTGCCTTCCCTCTTTGTCAACAAATATAAAGAGACTCCAATTCCCCTTCTCTGATTTCCAACATTTTTCATTCTCCACTTCAGAACCATCTGAAGGAGCTTGGCTGTCTCGCTTCTTCTTCTTCTTTCCTTCTTTACTGACATCCCTACCCCTCCTTAGAAAACCAAGTCTCTCCTCCTACCGCCACCATGTCTGCCGAGACTTTCGAGTTCCAGGCTGAGATCTCTCAGCTCCTCTCCCTCATCATCAACACTGTCTACTCCAACAAGGAGATTTTCCTGCGTGAGCTGATCTCCAACGCCTCCGATGCTCTGGACAAGATTCGCTATGAGTCCCTGTCCGACCCCTCCAAGCTCGACTCGGGCAAGGATCTCCGCATCGACCTGATCCCCAACGCCGAGGCCAAGACCCTCACCATCCGTGATACCGGTATCGGTATGACCAAGGCTGTAAGTTTTTCTTTCCTATCACTCCCCGCTCTTTCTTCTGCCATTGAGCGGTACCCTCTTACGATTAGAGTGAATTCTGACTTTGTGGGCTTTTTTTAGGACCTCATCAACAACCTCGGTACCATTGCTCGCTCTGGTACTAAGCAGTTCATGGAGGCTCTCTCCGCTGGTGCTGATATCTCCATGATCGGTCAGTTCGGTGTTGGTTTCTACTCTGCCTACCTTGTGGCCGACCGTGTCACCGTCATCTCCAAGCACAACGATGACGAGCAGTACATCTGGGAGTCCGCTGCCGGTGGTACCTTCACCCTCACCCAGGACACCGAGGGTGAGCAGCTTGGTCGTGGTACCAAGATCATCCTCCACCTGAAGGATGAGCAGACCGACTACCTCAACGAGAGCCGCATCAAGGAGGTTGTCCGCAAGCACTCCGAGTTCATCTCCTACCCCATCTACCTTCACGTCCTGAAGGAGACCGAGAAGGAGGTCCCCGACGAGGAGGCTGAGACCAAGGAGGAGGAAGAGGGTGACGAGAAGAAGCCCAAGATCGAGGAGGTCGATGAGGAAGAGGAGAAGAAGGAGAAGAAGACCAAGACTGTCAAGGAGAGCAAGATCGAGGAGGAGGAGCTTAACAAGACCAAGCCCATCTGGACTCGTAACCCCGCCGACATCACCCAGGAGGAGTACGCTGCTTTCTACAAGTCCCTCTCCAACGACTGGGAGGACCACTTGGCTGTCAAGCACTTCTCCGTCGAGGGTCAGCTCGAGTTCCGTGCCATCCTCTACGTCCCCAAGCGTGCTCCCTTCGACCTGTTCGAGTCTAAGAAGACCAAGAACAACATCAAGCTCTACGTCCGCCGTGTCTTCATCACCGATGACGCCACTGACCTCATCCCCGAGTGGCTCAGCTTCGTCAAGGGTGTTGTCGACTCTGAGGACCTTCCTCTCAACCTGTCCCGTGAGACTCTCCAGCAGAACAAGATCATGAAGGTCATCAAGAAGAACATCGTCAAGAAGACCCTCGAGCTCTTCACTGAGATCGCTGAGGACCGCGAGCAGTTCGACAAGTTCTACTCTGCCTTCAGCAAGAACATCAAGCTCGGTATTCACGAGGACGCCCAGAACCGTCCCACTCTGGCCAAGCTCCTCCGCTACCAGTCCACCAAGTCTGGTGATGAGGCTACTTCCCTTACCGACTACGTCACCCGTATGCCCGAGCACCAGAAGCAGATCTACTACATCACCGGCGAGTCCATCAAGGCCGTTGCCAAGTCTCCCTTCCTGGACAGCCTCAAGCAGAAGAACTTCGAGGTTCTGTTCCTGGTTGACCCCATTGACGAGTACGCCTTCACTCAGCTGAAGGAGTTCGACGGCAAGAAGCTGGTCGACATCACCAAGGACTTCGAGCTTGAGGAGTCCGAGGAGGAGAAGGCTGAGCGCGAGAAGGAGGAGAAGGAGTTCGAGGGTCTCGCCAAGAGCCTCAAGAACATCCTCGGCGACAAGGTCGAGAAGGTCGTTGTCTCCCACAAGCTCGTTGGCTCTCCTTGCGCCATCCGTACCGGCCAGTTCGGTTGGTCCGCTAACATGGAGCGTATCATGAAGGCCCAGGCCCTCCGTGACACCTCCATGAGCTCTTACATGTCCTCCAAGAAGACTTTCGAGATCTCTCCCAAGTCCTCTATCATCAAGGAGCTCCGCAAGAAGGTTGAGGCCGATGGCGAGGGTGACCGCACTGTCAAGTCCATCACTCAGCTGCTCTTCGAGACCTCTCTCCTGGTCTCCGGTTTCACCATTGAGGAGCCCGCCAGCTTCGCTGAGCGCATCCACAAGCTCGTCTCCCTTGGTCTGAACATCGACGAGGAGGCTGAGACCACCGAGGAGAAGGCTGCTGAGGAGGCTGCCCCTGCCGCCGCCGCTGCCGAGAGCTCCATGGAGGAGGTTGACTAAATGTTGACCGCATGATGTCACGATCTTCTTTTCGAGCAAAATGGAAATGAGATGTAACTGATTTGTGATGACCCGGAAACTGTTCCAGCGGTATTTGCATCAGGGATCTAATATTCATTGAACGATATTGCGTTATTAATCGGAACGGCAAAGGAACCCTTTTTCCTTTGATCCTTTTTCTGTCTTTTTTCTTTATTACTGAATTACGAATTCTACCTTTTTCTTTTTTTTCTTTCGGCGTTTTGAGCGTTTATTACCCCCAACCTAAATACAGTCCGTCTGATACGCTTGTGGTGTCAGTATGGTAGACTTATCTTGAGAATAAAAGCTTTCTCTGTTCAACTTGTTGCTCTCAACCTAGACGGTCGTAGTATAACATAGCAGTAGTAATCCCTTTCTGATAACTCTTCCCACTACATATATATGTGTGTGTGTGTGTGTGTGTGTGTGTGTGTTTGCATAATGATCGATCAACAATCCAATCATTTCTTCTAGTAGTCATTAATCATCTGCATCCTTAGGTGGTGTTACTATGACGCTACAGCTATCTATATATGAGTAGCCACGTACATAACTTTTTTGAAGAACAGAAAAAAAGAAAAGAAAAAGGCCAGTTCATCAGCAGTGAGTCAAATCAGCCCAGGTCGCTGTCGACTAGGTTAGGTTGCAATTGGCAGTATTTAGCAGTAGTTGCACCGTGCAGTGATAGTATTCTAAACCATACACAGTAGTAGGCATACGCATACTACATATAATTTATCATATGGAAGATATCTTATGAGAGAGGAGAGGACGGGAAGGAGAGGGGAAGAACTACTTACACTAACACCTACTACTACTACTACTACTACTACTACTACTACTACTACTACTACTACTACTACTACTACTACTACTACTACTACTACTACTACTACTACTACTACTACTACTACTACTACTACTACTACTACTACTACTACTACTACTACTACTACTACTATGAGACTATACGTACACTCTGTATTTGACATATATGACAGACAGTAAATAGTGTATGCATGTATATGAAGGTGGGTAGTAAAAATTCTTTTTTTTCTCTTGGTATCAATTGACGCCGCACGGTAGTACCTGAATTAGGTCGAAACCAGTGGAAAACCCGAGTTATGGCTATATTGGCCCGGCTTACATAGTACCATAAGTTATGTGTACTACTTTTGAGATTTCTTAGGAAATAAAATATTCCCAATTTTGTCCATATTACGAGTTGATTGACTGTAAGCTACCTGAAGAAAGATTTGATCAAGCAAGGAGGCACATAAACGGGATGAACTAGGCACCTAGCCTCCCTGGTGAGTTGTGTTGTGGTTCGTGAGTACATTGAGCACATTTCTTCATTAGATGTGACCTGAGGGGAAGTTGTATGCAGTGGGAAAACGCCAGAAATGAATATTGGGTGGATGGAAAGAGAGTTGGGAAACGGTGAAAGAGAAAAAGAGAGAGAGGGGGGGGAGATATGAAAAGATGTGGGAAGGTGAAAATGTGTCTGTGGAAACGCCGGGGTTTGCTTGCATGCGAGTCAATCCAGTTGACGCCTATTGCCCTAAGAACATATGTGTCTCCCAGCTCTTATAGATGATTTGGAGAGGGGGTTATAGGAAATAGTAGAGTAAAAAGGGATAATGAGGGGATACGAGTGTGAACTACCCACCCTAGCAAGTAAGTAGGGCTGGATCACTCAATCAGTCGAACCGCACCAGTCAAAATGCCATTCAGACAGACTGCGCGAGGATAGTCCCCATGCTTTAGCAAGCCAAAGAGCCAGCCCCCCGACAACTCCAAAGGAGCCCACGATCTGAACGATGGCCCAGCCCCGCCGCTTGAGGTCCTCGGACAACCAGACAAGTCCCAGAGGGTCTTGCGGGCGAATCCGGGCAAGGCGATACTCTACATTCTGCCCACTTTGCGCTCGAACAAGAAGACTGCCCCCGCTTGCTTTCTCCAAGGGAGCTCGGAGTCCGCAAAAGCCTGGCGTTTGTGTAATGGGGACCAGAGATCCGTCTACTACGCACTCGCCTAACCGTTCCGTGAGCCAGATGGCACGCTCGCCCCTTGCCATGGCAGCGTATCTCTCTCGTTCATTCTTAAGGCTTTGCTGCAACTCAGATGCCCACTTTGCCAACTGCAAACGGGCCATTTTCTCTTCCTGTCGCGTGTGATCTGCTATCCGAGCCATAGTGTAGCTGGGCGAACCCCGGCTTGAGCCATGATTAATTGGTTGGGTACTAGGTTGGCGAGTTGGGTGTTGCCAGAAATGCTCTCGTTGCTGTTGGGCTAGTTTCTTTGCAGCTGAGTGTCGCATCCAAATGATATTCTCGGCGTCGAATAACCTCTGGACTAACAAAGTCAATTCGGAGGGCACCAGGGGTTGGACATAGTCGGGGCTCATTAAAGTGCTAGCATCCATAACATCTTCATCACTGGTTTTGGCCGAGGATACTGCAAAAGGCAACTGTCCGTCAAAGTCATCTGCCCCAGGACCTGTGTTTCCGAAAAGGAAGGGCTTGGCCGGAGTGGCTTGCGTATGCTTGTGGAACCCCGACTTAAGTGCAGAGATCTGCTCAGGAGCCAACAAGTCAGCCTTGGATATCAGAGGGATGACGTTGGTCCATTCGCATAGCAAGTCGATGCATTCCATGTCTGCCACAAAGGTATCTGATAATACGTGAGCTCATCTATCTAATCAACGAGAGCGAACTAACCGAGAATACATACCTGCAGAGACGAGATAAAGTACAGCATCAACTTGGGTGCCACCCTGCCCTGCAAGCAGGTTTTGGAAGTCGTGATTGCAAGAATCAATAGCTGTTGTTGCGCGGAATAGCTGTTGACGTATGTAATGTATGATGGCATCCACTTGTCCGGTGCGACTCAGCGAAGTTGCAGGTGTATCAACGAAGCAGATATTGCGTTCTAGAACTACATCACCTGTACTTCTCCTACGGCGCAGCACGCGTGAGTCTTCCAAGTCTGACCACCAGGATGGGTACGGCTTGGTACTGGCGTAGATCTCCGATGTAGTTGACAACGGTAGTCGATGTGCCTGAGATAGTTGGATCGTCGTAAGAGATGTCCGCGACGGTGTCGAGGTATCGGTAGGTGGAAAGTCGTCTACATGTACAATGTCCTCACAAGCCTGGACGATCGACCTAATGAGAGATGATTTCCCAGAGCCTGCAGCATCAGTCAGCACGCACTCCGCAGGATCACAGACACTACGAATTTGAAGATAAGAGGACTTACCAGAAGCGCCCGCAACAAGTATTTTGAACCTTCCGAGTGACTTCCCGCGCGATGTGAAGGGTCTCCGACTAGGCATCTTGATGCTTGGCATGATAAACTGGGATGTGCTATCGTGCTCTGAGTTGTGGATAGATCGAGCATCATCGTCTTCTTCTCCAGAGGCAACCGCCTGGCTACTCAAGTCATCCGTGATCGAGATCTCATCTAGGTGGCGCATAGATTGGTTCGAAGTAGATTTGGGACTGCTAGGGAGAGATGAAGGGTCGTCGGGGTTGCTGAGATTCAGGGGGGTGAAGGGCCGGGGAGAGATCAGGTCCGAGGTAATAGAGGCATCCAGTCTATTAGAATGAATAGTATCGAGGGGCTTGAGCGTAGACCTGCGGCGGTTGAGTCCGGAAAGCTGGTCGTCATCGTCCTCCTTATCGTCGCGGTTGGGAGATTGAGAGGTGGAAATCGGTTCCACTCCGGCGGCCTTACTACCAACTATCTGATCTGACTGGGACACGGACGCAGTTTGACTAGTCTGGAGGATACTTTCTTCAAGGCTCTGTACTCCGTACATACTCGTCCTGGAGGCATCGGGCTCATCAGAGGAGAGGTCGTCATCGTGGTCGAGACCGTGATTGCGGGACAGAAAGAAGGTCGCGGGGGCGGCACTGCGGGGATCGATCCACTGCTGTTCGATGGAGGCCTTGCGAGATCGAGGCAGCGCAACATCTGGCACTGGAGGTCTCATGGTGGGGAAAAGAAGCAGAAGTCACAGCGGCAACTCAACAGAGACCTTGCAGTGGCCAGGCATCGAATAGGTACGCAGTCCGTGATTGTAGTTGAGAAAACAGGAGACACGCATTCATTCCATTCTGAAGGAGCGACGTTCGTTCGATGCCTGGTCGGTTTGTCTGCGTTATGTCATCATCAGGCATTGGGTGATCGCCACGTGATGCAGCATCTGAGAACCCCGCACCATGATTAGCTAAGCCATTTCATGCCGAGTTATTTACAGTTAGTTAACTATGAAGTAGGCATTTCCTACTACTGGGGTGTAGAGGTAGGGGAGATAGTACGATGCAGATGTAGAGAGATCCCGAAGTCATCACTATAGAGGCAGGTAAACTGCCGAGAGTGTGGTTCTGCTATGACCATGTAACTATGTAGCTTAGCTTAGTCCGACTAGTTGTCGGGGCTGTCGGAAAGCGTTCCGAAGAACTGTGTCGCAATTATCCGAGTAATGGTATTTGATAATAAATCATTTTGTGCCTGCTGTCCTGTAGATGGTATACTTACCAACAACTCGTACCGTGGCAAAGACCAGTAGCACTAAGTATTTAGTATATAGTATATAGCGTTTAGGTTATAACCAAAATGTAAACGGACATACTTGAACACTGAGGTTTGCGAGCCATGACTTGAGTCGGATTTCCCGACCCTCTTTTGGTGCGCAGGAGCCGGTATTTTATCGATAGATACTCCATACACGTCCCGCACACGGCAGCGACAATGGACCCTTCACCTTTCCAACCGCCCAGCCTCAATATCCTCGTGGCCATGGCTGATCTGATCCCGCTTTCAAATTGGACCAGCTGTGAGAACCTAGACGTCATCCACCGCCAAGTTGATCGCGTGAGCAACGCTCTTCAATGGCACTAGTTGGCCCGTGTTGGATTAATGGTGAGCTGGGGGAGGAGGGGTGTGAAGCTGGTTAGCACGAAAGGAACGAACAGCCCTCTCCTCCCTCCCTTTTCCTCGATGGTGGCCCACTATTGGCAACATGGTAGCCTCTTTCCACTATCCCTTCCATAGCGCTCACACAATAACAGGCAACCTAAGCCCCTTCATTGCACCATCGTTTGATTCCTTCCTATAATTTACCTATTCACAGGGATTCAATGATGGTATTTTCGCCAATCTGGCTAGTGGGGTGGAATAGCAGATACGACTAGTTAACTCGTTTGCTGAGAAAAATGTCGCCAAATGTTTCAGAAGATTTTCGCATCGGCTTTGCACTAGCTTCAAATCTGCACCTAGAGACTGCTAGATGCTTCGGCTGCAGGCTAACCTAGCCTTACTTAGTGTCTTCGTCAACGCCACTCTGCGAAACCGCTAGGTGAACCGAGCATGGCCAACAGCTCGCTGAGAGATGTCAGACCATGATTTGATGATTCGACAGTGTAATATCGCGCCGGCACACCACTGGCCAGACAGGCGTGGTCTTAGGCGGCAGCCCGGACGCCCACCCGCTTCCATCTAGCCCCGTTGACCGACTAGGGTGCTTAAAGTGGCAGAAGCTATGCCTAGATAGTAGCTTCGTTCGCAATAAGTCCGCGGAGGCCGGTTGGAAATTGATCCAGCTTTATCCTGCTGCTGGACTCCGTAAAAGGTAGGTGATAATGTGAGCATTTCTCGACAGCTCGAGACAGCGGACTAAATCAATGAGATATCTCCCACCTACTACTCAGGTACCCACTGGGGGGTAGATGGAAGTACTAGATTTGCCCGTGACACTGTATAGAGGGAGGGGGGGAAATGGTTGGTTTAGCGTTGGTGTGTACCAGGGGGGACAGAGAGCATGTAACAAAAGGAAAGGGAAGAAAAAGGGAAGGGAAAGGAAACCAAATACGGGAACATCCCGGGCGCTCTTCAACATCAGTGCCTTCCGAAGGGCTTGCATGGACCTCAAGTAACCAGGATTATCATACGAGTATGGATGGCCTTCTTCTTTTCAGGTTCTTCAGCAGTTGAGATCATGATCATCGATCAGTTCATGTAGCCGAGGCGATGACTTCGACCTAAGTTCCTCAGCTATAGATGTGCATGCAGAGCTCAGGCCATATTTTCCTGGAAATGAAAGAAACTGGCTGTTACCTACTAGCTAGGTGGATATTATACTTAGTACCTGCACTACTACTAGGCCATACGTAACGCCAGCCACTAAGGGAAAGCAAAGTTGAAGGAGGTAAGAATTATCCCAGTAGCCACTCGTCCAAGGAGTCAAATCGTGCTGTTATTTTAGCTTAAAGCTGCCTCTGTCGCTATTAGGTGGGGACTAATAATGTTACCCACTCACACTGCCAGAGAGTCGCAGACTTATATCTACTGTAGTAAAGTCTCCGTACTTCGTACAGGGGGCCCCGGGTTGGAGCCCTCCGTGGATAGCAGACGCTGGGAGACAGGCTGTCTTCTTGAAAGCTGATTTGTCACATTCACATCCCGGCAGAGAATCTGGGCCGTGACCATGATCTTCCCAGTAATTATTATTGTTAGTTTTCTTCATTGGTATAGGAAGTATGATCACAACCAATTGCTGCGAAATTTGTTGCGTCGAAGAAAAACAAAAGGGTAGTAGATGAAGAGCCAGGGGAGTAGCTACATAATACAGTAAATATGCTACACCGGACATCTACCAAAGATGAATAACTACACAGGCACTACTGAGTATCTACTATTCTCTGAAAACCGTTATTATCCGCGGCACGAAGCTCCACTCTAGAATTGAAATGAATCTTGTCCTGTCCACACCAGAGGATTGTTGACCAGCCGCAATATGTGCGCAAATATCCCACGCCGACAATATATATTGTTGGGAATTTGTGGGTGCGTCTACTAAGCTTTCATTGTGCGGAGGGCTATGCTTAATTATTTGCTCCCATGCCTGGATTTACCAGCCGAGGCGGCTTTCCTTTCAGCTGTAGGAACGGGTTTTTTTTCTTGGTTTGGGTCTACCCAGGAACCCTTGGGACTCGGTGTGTCCTTTTTTACCCCCTCCGTTTTGACTCCCAGGTACCTAGGACAGACAGGCTAGATGGGGTCAACTTCCAGTCCAAGCGCTAGATCGAATCTAGCCAATTCTCATTAATTCCGGCTGCGGGACGGACTAGTTCCAAATGGGCAAAGATGGTCTCTGCATACCCAATGGAAGACAAGAAGAACTCTAGTGCCATTGGACAGATGAGATTCCACTAGTAATGTATTGGTTATGGTGATACAATACCAAGGTACCAGAGCGACCATACCTACCCGCCTAGGCAAGAGTGGGAACCTCATTCATTTCCTTCCAATTCTCCGTTCGAGCTGCACTGCCGGGGCTCCTCGTCTTCTTCTCCTCCTCCTCTTCTCCGGACTGGCGACTCCGGACCAGATTGTTCTGTAAAAGCCGTCGAACTTAACCTTTAGCGTTTTAGAGACTCCGAAAATTATCCACAATTGTTCCATTCCACCCTTCTCCCTCCTCCTCCCCCCGGTATCGACTCTGACTTAGTCACCATGAACTAAAGTCCATTCACTCTACTATTTGCTCCTCAGTCCTCTCGAATCTCCTGCGCCGCTGTTTGCCCCCCCGCCCTCTGTCCGCTAATTAACCTTCCACCATGGCTTGAATGAATGGTACACCCATTTCTGCTGCTTGCTTTAATTTACTCTCGACTACGGCGGGATTCTTCTCTTGATTCTCACTTCCTCTCTTGGGTCTAGTCCCTCAATTTTGTTCTGTATCCTGCCGGTGCTCTTTCTTCCTTCCGTGGCCCCCTCCATCACCGCCGGTACCCTTTCGTTCGGCTTCCTCCTTACCGTTTCCCTTTCTTCTTTTCTCTACCTCTCCTCCCTCGTACTTTCTTCATATTACATCTGCTTGGGCTTCATTCAGCCTTACCATTACCAACACACCCTCCTCTTCTCCTCTATCATCATCACCGCTCTCGCCATGCCCAGCAATTCTTGTTGAGCTTTTTGCTCTCCCGCCCTGTTATTCCCATCCTCTATCTTGCGCCGCGTTCCCGAAAATCATTCGTTCCTAGCCTACCGGGTTTGCTTTTGACTTTGCCTTCCCTTTCTCCGGCTCGATTGGCCTTCACTTCGCCCGCACCCAAAAATTCCACTTCCGATCGGTCATCTCCAGCATCCTGTCTTCCGTCTTCTGTTCTTAACCCGCTGTTACTGTCTGAAAGGCAGCATTTCTCGTGATGGAGCAAGAGCACCCTCTGGCTTGGTCGGATATGACCAACCCGGGCGATGATGAATTCACCAACTTCCTCGAGTTTGGCATGCAGTTCCCTGATGTGGAGGGGCATGGGCCAAGTGACCCTCATGCTGCCCGGCCTCTTGCCCACCCGGCCTCCATGTCGATGCCCGCCACAACGGCACCTGCGCAGGAGCAATTGGTCCGCATGGATACCGATAATGTTACCACCCAGTCGCCCTCGTACGCCCACCTCATGAACAATGATTTTTCCCTTGACCTTTCCAATCACGGGCAGCAGGCCCAGCCGCATCCCTCGTCATACTCGAATGCCCCAGTCACCCCGGCATTCTACGCGCACAAGCCCCCGCAGCCCCAGTACTTTCACCCTCAGCAGCAGCACCAACCAATGCAGGAACAGTCACACCAGCTTTCCAACCACTCGCACCCGACACAGCAAGCTTACGTTCCTCACGGTCAGACTGTGATACCACCCACCCCCAACAGTATCGAACTCCAAGGAAGTGCCGCTACGCACCCACACCGGACCGATGATAATCATGAGATGTACGAGCGGTTCACGCGAATGAATGACGAACAGGTGAGCATAATTCTTTTTAAATCTGGAGTTTAGCCTGCATAATCTAATGCATGCACCCGCTCTCCGCAGGCCCTTTACACGCCCCTGGTCTCACCTGCCATGACCCCATTGGAAAGTCAATTCCGCTTCCCTGAATACACCATCCCTGGAGAGTACTTCACCCCTCTCACCTCGCCGGCTCTCGAAGCCCACACCTCCAATCCCACTGGTTACCCCTTCCACACCGGCCAAATCTCTGAAATGGGATTTGTGCCCTCCCCGGCCGATAACGCACTCCCTATGTCGTCAGCCCCCTCCTCGCCGGGTCTGATGCGAAAACATCGGCGCCAGCCTTCGACCACCAAGCCCTTCTCCGCTCGCGCTAAAAAGCAACAATCGCCTTCAGTCCGGCCCCAGGCACGGAAAAAGTCACTTTTGAACATCAACTCGGATGAGGTCTTGAATAGCTTAAGCCAGGACCAGGGAAGTAGCAAATCGCGCAGTTCTGGTGGTAGTGGTCTTCGCTACGGAAGTAACGAAAGCTCTGGGCAAGATTCCGTCTCCCCAGAGCCTCTATCTGAACCACTGATGCCGCCACCTGCTCTTCCTCCGTCCCGCAAGTCTCCCGCGATTGCCCCTCAGACCAATCAAGTGTCACAAGCCAATGAACCCGCAACCCCGGCTTTGCTGATGCGCATTCAACGGTCCCCGCACAGCAATGCCTCTACTGGCCCGATGGCAACTGTGTCCAGGCCTGCTCCTTCTGAACCACATGATGATATCATGGAAGATGTTGTCCTTCCAGAAGCCGCTACCTCGTATGAACCGGTCTCGAGACCTCAAGTGAGCCGCATTGACACCACAGTACGGGCGGATTCGGCGTCTTCGACTACTACGCCAGGCAGTGCCACCCCGGCTATGGAACCCAAGTCTGCTCCAGTGGTCCACAGACCTTCCAGTTCTATCGCGCCCAGTCCCCGTACTTTGGCTATGCCCTCCCCCAGCGGACCGGTACCAAAGAAGTCCGATACTCCGAAATTAGGACCCCTGGGCCGAAAGCGGCAGAGTCTCAGCTCGTCTCAGCCTAGCCCTAATCTACGTCCCAAGATAAGCCCCAGTATACAGCCACTGGTTCGAGGTGATGGTAAGTGCTTTTCACGCAATCTGCGCCTTTATCGCCCGGCGGACTCTTATCGACTGGAGAGTTGCTTTTCGACACCTCTTGCGGCATTTCAAGCTAACTAGTGTTGTCTAGGAGGGATCACAAGCGAAACTTCGGCCCTGTACCTTGCGTCAAAGTCGAACTATCAGCATATCTTAGACGGCACTCTTTTGCCTGGCGTCTCCTACCCTGAAACCTTGGCCGAGAACCTGAGCTCAAAACGGACGAATCATAAACTCGCAGAGCAGGGACGAAGGAATCGCATCAACAATGCGCTCAAAGAGATCGAGACTCTTATCCCGACATCATTCGTTCAGATAAAGCATGCCAAAGAAGCTGCAATCTGCAACGCCAAGGGAGGGGATAAGGAGAAGGAGAAAGAAAAGGAAAAGGCCGGAAACCAACCTATCAGCAAGGCTAGCACTGTGGAGATGGCTATTGATTATATCAAAGCCTTACAACAGGAACTGGAAGAAACAAAGGGCAAATTAGCAGCCGCTGAAGAGCGCCTGGGGGAGGGGAAGGGGCTGGGAAAGCGTGATGACAACACAACGAACCCTGAAAATGGGAAAACTGCAAATCCCGTTGATGCGGAATCGGCAGCCACCAGTCATGAAATAGACAACTCTGCATAGGACTACGATTGAAATCTCGTAGTCGAGTTGATTCCTACAACTGGGCTGACCCTTGCCTGAAGATCACTATGATGTGATATGTGTTACGAGCGTGAATTTGAGGAAAAGTATAGACCGGTGTTTACTGGGAAGATCAGGTAACATTCCACGTATCTTGATGGCTTTCTATTCGTGCGTTACGGTGGCTGCTTCTTCTGTCATTTCTTGAAACGTTAATAAACGGTGTGGTTTTTGTCTTTTCGCACGGCTTGATGGGAAGGGGTTCTGGTTTAAAGCTGCATTTTTCTTCTCCATGCCATATCCTGCTCCCCTTTCACTTCTTGTACATGGCCCAGGTACTTTTCTTTTTCCCCTCCTGCTTTCGGCAGTGCTTCGTTTGTGGTGGCAGTAGCTACCTGACCCCCCTCACGTAAAGTAGCCTATCGTGGGGGGTTGTTACACCTACTTCTGGGGAACTTTCCTCTTCTTCTTAATGTTACTGTATCTAGACCGCAATTTCTCGGCATTCTCGTGAAATAAGATTGGGTATAGAAGTTGCGTTGGTATTGTGATAGTAATCATTGACGTAGGCAGAAGCCAGCAAAAGCTTTGGAAGCAGACTGCCTGTGGCAACCCATCTAGGCGTATATAATTTGCATGTCTGAGACATACAGTATTGATATGTGGAATCTTTTCAAACATCATATTCCATGAATAGAAGAGTAAAAGGAATGCGATCAATCATTCCCATCAGTAGTCTCGCATGACCGCAACCATCTCATCCAACCGAGCCACCTCCCCAAGCAACAAGGCCTCTTTAGCCTTCCACTGCTCCAACAGGGTCAACTCAGCCTGAGACAGATAGCGCTCCTCATTGCCCTTGACGTCACTCCGCTCCGTCTTCTCCAGGAACTCCTTGAGTCGGTTCCGCTCAAACCGCAGGCGTTGCATACACCTAGACATAGCCTTGTACGTGTCCTCCAGAATGCTGCTCCGGATGCGGTCCGGATCATAGTACCAGAGGTAGATCGTACGAGAGGGCTGTCGCTGTGCGTCTCGGGGGACTTCTTGCAGATCCACAAACCCACCGGACTGCATGCTAGCGAGGACTTGACGCAGGTCTTTGAAGGGGAGGAGACTGATTTCCTGTAGGCGCTTCTCGTCGAGCTTGCCCTTGGCGTGGAGTACGCGGATCACTCGTAAAGCGACGTCGCCATAGCGGGCTTCAATCATTCGTTCCAGTTCTAGGTGGCGGAGCTTGCGCGCTAGGTGTCGGAATTCGACGGTCCAGGTAATGAGTCCGGAAAGTACGCGCTTGGATGTGAGGTTGTAGGGGGGCTGCGAGAGCAGAGAAAGGTGTTGGTCTACCTCGTAGGTGCGGCTGGGGGCTTCTGATCCTTCACGGTCGGTTCCATTGACACTGTCCTCCAGAGGCCGTTTCCCACGTTTGTTGATGGCCTGTGATATCTCCATGGGACCTATGGAGCCTGCAAGGTCCAACTGCGGGTCGACTTCTTCTGTCACCGCACTAAGAGCGATGGGGACGGAGTATTGCTCGCCTTCCTCTCCTTCGCGGGGTATCTCAGCACTATCTCGGCATTGTTTGGTTTGGTATTCTATGCGTCGTAGGAGGCCCTCGTAGACCTGTGCGGTAACTGGCGATGAGTTCATCTCCGCAAGATCCAAAAACCGTCGATTCCGAAGAGCAACGTCGAGTTTCTCATAGTTCACGCGGACAACAATTGCCAACTAGATTGAACAAACCCATTAGTCAAACAGACATATAAAGGAGAATAACGCAGAGTCTCACCTCCATGGGAGTGGTATCCCCACCCATCTCGTCATCCGACCATTCGTTCTCCTCCTCATCCTCATCCTCATCAGCATCGACGTAGTCCATTCGTGCTTTTTTGTTTGTAGCATCTGCAGACCCGGTACCATGCCTTCTCTTCGCACCCCGGGGTAACCCGTTATGCATGAGTCCGCGGGTAAGATCCCCATCAAGTCTTTCTTTCAAAAGAGTAACAGTCCCTTCCAGGACTGTTTCGTCCAGCTTCTTACCCTTTAGCTGCTTGACATCAGGTCGCGACTTGATGGCACGTTCCGCATCCAGGGCGTTATCAGCGTAGCTTTGGAATTGCGCATCGCGCACACGAAAGATATAACCGTGGGAAGCCAGTGCTTTCAGAGTAGGATGTAGAAGCGCCGGCTGGTCGGAGGTGTGCACATCATCGCCATTCATTTGTTCTTCGGACTCTCCACCTTCGGCTTCCTGTTTCACGCCATTCGCTTTAGGTGGTGCGGGTTGCAGTTCAGGGAGGGTCTCGAGGTAGCCGACTTGTGCGTGTCCGAGAAACATAATGGTCTCCATAAGGGTAGCCGCATACTTCCCAAGCCGTTCTTCGATGAACTCCAGGATCTTGCCGGAGCGAACAAGATAGTACGCAGCCTGCAGGTTTGGTTCGTAATAGGTAACGCCATCGTCGTAGGATGTGTAATGGTACACCAGGTGGTGTTGAATCATGGCAGATAGACCATGACGAAGTTGACGATCGGAGAGGCGCGAGTAGAATTTTAAACGAGGTAATGAGAGCCGGTCATAGCGCTGGAGGGTTGAGAAGATACGCTGGCGAAGACGGATAACGGTCAGCCTGTTGCTCGATGTGGCCCGCAAATTGACACCGACTATATGGTTCTTCATGAATGCAGCGGGTTACCAAGTGAGCAAAAGCGAGCATACCGCAAAAAGCTCCCCGAAATTATCCTCGACCAAGAGCGCACATAGCTCCGCCGCGTACTGTTACTCGGATCATTAGCAGTGGTACAGATGAGGGGCGGGAAGAGAGGGGAGGGGGAATTGATCGCATACTTGAGAAGTCATGATGAATGGCTTCTAGAGAATGCGAAAAGCTTCAATTCTCTAGAAGGAGGGGAAGGGTCACCGGGGGAATCGCATGAGGTTAAAGTGCCAGAAGGGAACGACAAGCGCGAGATAGAGAAGCCGGAGCAACGAAGATCAAGATGGGGGGATACTTTTTTTCGGCAATCGGAGAAGGAGAGGAAGCGCGCGATCTGCAAAATGTCATGGTGATTATGAGCCTGAGGCATTAATTTTCTTGCACGGGACACTGCTCACATAAGAAATCAGGTGACCCGGAGGACGAGGAAAAGCCGGTTCCGCCCGCACTCGCATTTCGGGCCAATCACGGGGCGAGTAATCAAGACCAGCCGGCATCTTGAAGCTTTTCAGACATCGTTTCTGATCCGCCCAACGACCGCCAGCAGCCTTTCCCTGCTCCCACTCCTCTCAACCCTCCCAATTGCTGTCGAGCTTCTCGGCTAACCACTCTCCTCGCCCTCCTCTATCCCTCTCACACATGCGATGATGCTGTCGCGGTCTACTTTCAGCCGAAATGCGCCCCGTGCGCTCCAGAAGCAGTGCTCTGCTACTGGCGTCAGCAGCCGTCGGGGCATGGCCTCTGCTGCCACTCCTGGTCTCCAGTACGATGTCTCTGAGTCTGCTGGTGTGAAGGTCGCCAACCGGGAAGTTGCTGGCCCTACCAGCACTCTTGCTCTGGTTGCAAAGGCCGGTCCCCGTTACCAGCCCGTCCCTGGCTTCTCCGATGCCCTCGAACAGTTCGCTTTCAAGGTTCGTCCTTCCTGGCTTCGATCCCACGTCCACACTCTCTACCACATTCCTCTTTAAGGCAAATACTAACCCATTCTTCTTCTCAATTGACAGTCTACTCTGAAGCGCTCGGCACTGCGGATCAATCGGGAAGTCGAACTGCTGGGCGGTGAAGTTTCCTCTACACACTCTCGCGAGAACGTCGTCCTCAAGGCCAAGTTCCTCTCGGGCGATCTCCCCTACTTCGCTGAGCTTCTCGCCGAGGTTGCTTCTCAGACCAAGTTTGCAGGTGAGTAAGGAGACAACGGGAACAAGCCGCCACCCCTTCCCCCCTCCAAAAGTCAGACGAACCGGTCTAATTCGGCTTCTCAGCCCACGAGTTGAGCGAGGTTGTCCTCAAGACCCTCAAGTACAGACAACAGGCCCTTGCCGCCAACCCCGAGGCCGTCGCTGTCGATGCCGCTCACGCCGTCGCTTTCCACCGGGGCCTGGGTGAAAGCATCACCCCCTCGACCACCGTTCCCCTCGAGAAGTACCTCTCCGCTGAGGCTCTGGCTGAGTACGCTCAGCAGGCCTTTGCCAAGTCCAACATCGCTCTTGTTGGCAGCGGTGCCAGCTCCGCCGACGTCTCCAAGTGGGTTGGTGACTTCTTCAAGGCTGTCCCCAGCGGTGCCCAGCTCCAGAGCGCTGCCTCCAAGTACTACGGTGGTGAGCAGCGTATCTCCACCAAGGCCGGCAACGCCCTTGTGATTGCCTTCCCTGGCTCTGGTGCTTTCGGAACCTCTGCCTACAAGCCCGAGGCCTCTGTCCTTGCTGCCCTCTTGGGTGGTGAGTCCTCCATCAAGTGGACCCCCGGTTTCTCCCTCCTCGCCCAGGCCACCCAGGGCTTCTCCCAGGTCCGTGCCTCGACCCAGAACCTTACCTACTCGGACGCTGGTCTCTTCACCATCGCTCTCTCCGGTAAGGCCGACCAGATCACTTCTGCTGGTAAGAACGCCGTCGACCTTCTCAAGAAGGTTGCCGCTGGTGAGATTGCCGGTGAGGAGATCAAGAAGGCCGTTGCCCTCGCCAAGTTCCGCGCTCTCGAGTCCGCCCAGACCCTTGAGACTGGTCTCGAGGCTACCGGATCCGCTCTCATCAACGGCAGCAAGCCTTACCAGATTGGTGAGGTTGCTCAGAGCATTGATGCCGTCACTGAGGCTCAGGTTAAGGATGTAAGTTTACCTATTTACCTTCCCTTGTCTTCTCTGGGATCAATTTCTTTGGAGAGTAACGGCTAATGTTTTTGTACACAGGTTGCCAAGTCCTTCCTGTCTGGCAAGGCCTCCGTCGCCACAGTTGGAGATCTCTTCCAGCTCCCCTACGGCGAGGACCTTGGTCTGACTGTTTAAACATGTATACAATACATATTAGACTGGCTTTGGAAAAAACCGAACACCCCCTTTTTTTATCATGTGTCTAGATCGACCTTTCCGCAGATATTCTCTTTTGTGATGTGGCTGTAGTTGTGTGTCTGTAATACAATTGTACCTTAACCCATCTTTGTTCAATACCTCTCTCGCTGCGATGTAGGCTGCTTGCAGTATATTGTGAATAGTTTGGACAACCCAATTTGCAAAATGCAACCAATCTTATTTCTCTGGTATGAAATTTCCTCCTGTTGCCCCTCGCTATTACTGTATTCGATAAACGGAGAAATATCAAGTAGTATCTATATATAAATGATCTTAGTACGTCCAGTAGAGTACTAGAACTACTTCATAAAACCATCCACCCCGACATATAACTCGGTAGTAGTTAATGCCATTTCGTTTCAATTCAATTCTGCACTACGTGATAACCCCAACATCGATTTATCGAATCAAAATCCCGATATTCTAATACACAAAGCATGCCTGAGAACCTACTTGAACAGTTTTGTTCACAACCAGACCAAACAGCTTAGCTGGCCGATAGTATTCAGAACTACTAACCAATTTTACTGTCTGGACATTGCCAACGGAATATAAAACCAGCATCAATAGTTGATCGACTGCGACTCCACCCCCGAACTCAGGTAGCATATAACACATATCATACTACACTACTATTAGAACAAATTAGTATCAACCAATGGGCCAGTGTATACATAGTAATACAATACCCCCTGTCTCACCTACATATCTGTCATTGCTAACTACTCGTACGAACCTAATACCAAGTCCCTACTACGCTACCACTAAAACATCACCAAGGTCCCCGCATCTTCCTCCCCGACTCCCTTCATGATGAAACAATCATAGACAACTCAATAACAAACAGCCAATTATGGACCAGTTTCTTCATAACAATGTACTATAAATAGAGCCATTGATTTGTCCTAAAACTCACTGGCACTGACTGATTAGGTACCGTTCCTACATACCCAGCTCCGATCAACAACGCGAAGACACAGCCAGTCAATAAGCAAATAGATAGATAGATAGATAGATAGGTATCGAAACCAAATCCCACACACGTGCGTACGACACCTATAATCCCCATCACATGACCTAGACTGGAACAGGGATGCCACATATGCAGTAAACCAGTACATGATTAGTGAGACACGCCGTCATAATCATATGCAAGCCATGACTGGGATGTTCGGAGAATAGTTACCGTAGATGGCTCACCGAGAAATATAATGTATCATCATTCATACAAAAGCACATACATACTATACTAGTCTATATTATCATCTGCGGCATCGGAAAACGCGGAAATTTTTGTTTCGAGAGGGGGGGAAAGATCCGTATTGTGAATACGTGCATACTAGTTTATACTATGCTCTAGTAAGATGGTGGGATGGTAAGGCTGTCGGTATGTCAGCCAGCCGGCTCTGGAAATCGGGGTTTGGAAGAGATAAAACCCGCACAATATGACAGATGACGGACGGACGGAGTAATTTTCACTTTCGTTCAATGAATGGCCCGGTACCTACTGTCTCGGTAGCTGTGTGGGAAAGGGGGAGGACTTGCGCACATTCCGAAGGAGCCGTTGGCTGATTAGAGACTGTCATTCCTCAGCCGCAAACAGGTAGGATGGGCTTTTACGCCAGAGGTGACTACTCGGTAGGTAGATAGTAGCGAGCTTGTGAATTTACCTAGGTATGTGGTGGCTGGCTCTGCTGTTGTATCTATTCCACTCCGTCCTTCCTCGGTAACACGGGATGTGTAAATATGATGAATAGGGAAAAAGCATAACAAACAAATTAACGGTGTCAGAACACAGCTGGGCAACTGTGGGTGCGTATTTCTCCGATGGAAAGCCAACATATGGTCATGAATGGCCGGCCTCATGGTAAATGAAATATATTAACATTATTATGCTAAGGTAGTTTGGTTTCATAATACTTTCTTGCGGCATGCTCGGCACTATGCATAGCTAGCTACGGACCGAGCAAGTTCCACACCATATGGGTAAGATTATCTAGCATCCGCTCCTCCGACCGAGACTGCGCATGGCAGAAGGGTATCTCAAACCTTCTCTAGTGCTTAGCGGTGACTTTGTCGCCCGTCAGTTTTTCGACTGCTTCCTTGGCCCTGTTCGGGGTAACGGAGACCCACACGTTAGCTCCAGTTCACTCCTCGGTTATCACATGAAGATCGGGGCGCCACCCCCATAGGAAGTGCTCCGCCCGGGGTATTGATAATGCAAGAGAGGGGAAAGTTTGTTCCACTTACATGTCACCAAGTGCCACCATGCAGACGGTCTGCCAGATTCCCAGACCCACACGGGGAGCCACACCCCGGTACAATCCCTTGATGCCGTTGTTGTCGTAGATGTACTTGGCGGCCTTGCCCACGGTAAGGTTCTTGGGGCGGTTGGGGTCATCAGTCTTGCTCTGCATCTCGACACGGATCACCTCAATGGGCTGGTTCCAGGCAGAGAGACCACCACCGAGACCGGAAGCCAGGATCTTCTCAAATGCATTGAGCTTCTGACCCTCCTCCTTGTTGGTGACCCTGCGAATAGCGGTTTCAGCCAGGCGAGAGAAACCGAAGCGGGATCCCCAGTTGGTGGTCTGGCGAATGGCAACGGCGTTGACACCACGGTTGATACCACGAATGCCCTCCTTGCGGTAGATATCCATGAAAGTCGCGAAGGTGCTGGGGGGCTTGACGCCCTGGGCGGCCATCTTATGCTTGGTGATCTCGACTGTCTTCATGCAGGTACAGAAGCCCATGGTCGCGTATGCCTGTGCAATACCACCGACCATACCTCCAGCGATACCGGCGGCGAAGTCGGGCGCACCAAGCACCTTGGCACGGAATTCCGCCTCCGATGCGACGAAGAGGAGGACGGCGCCCTTAGTGGAGGCCTCAATCCAGGCCCACGGAATGAGACCTTGATAATCTAAAGTAGGTGACTAGTGTCAGACAATGCCACCCCACACTAGTCGGAAAAAGCGAACAAGGCGGAAGGAGCACTTACAACCGAGGATCCCGCCACGGCCCCAAATTCGACCCATAGCACCAGCGAAGCTATCGCCCCGGTTTGCAGCCATGGTCGTCTTGATCACTTCCAGCGGCTATAGGAACTGAGTTAGCATAAGCCGACAATTGCCGCCTCGGTTATTGCTTCGTACCTGACCCAAAGTGGTGACCCTATTCCATGTTAGTTAGGGAAACGCACGGTGCATAGATTGGGAGCAGGTGAGAAGGGAAAACATACTCGAAGAGGTTCAATCCAGCACCCACTGTAACATATGCCATCAGAACCAGTTTCCCTCAAAAGCTAACCGTCCGGGGGTTGCAGCAGAGATTACATACGTAGCAGGTTGCTGAACTTCACGGGCTTCTTTTCGAGCTTGTTCTGGCCAGTGGCGGCCGTCGCGGCAGTAGCGGTAGACATGTCTGACCTTGGGAGCGCTGAAAGGGGCCCTGACCAAGGGAAATCTGGGGGCTTCGTCGCCTTAAGGGATCACGAAGAATCGAAAGATAGTCTGCAGGTCCGGAACGTCAAGGACGAACGACCAGAGCGAAATGGGTTGAGAGTAGGGAAGAGCGGTTTTGTTGTTCGGATGGAGAAGTCACTGGTGAGGAGGACAGGCCAAGTAAGCAGGTAGCTCCGGGGGAAGGTTTGAGTATATGTACGGTAGGAGCAGGAAGTATGTATGTATGGATGAAGAAGAGGGAAGAAGATGAAGGAGAGAAGAGGAGGGAAAAGAGAAGAGAGGTATGAAAATATAAGAAGGATCAACGAGGGGGTGGGACGGGCTTCCAGGCAGAGCATACGTACCTATCGATTCAGATGGTGGTTTTTTTCTCCCAATTGCAGGTCAAAGAGTTGCTTTTTTTGTCTGGCGTGGGCGCATCCAAGCACTCCGTACCAAGGAGTACTCCGTAGTAATGAGCACACTCACCACCGCAACAACCAGGAACCCACTGAGATCCAATCACCGCCCGCCATCGGCCGATTGGGGATGGCACTAAGCCCGATCAAGGCACAGAGGTCACTAGCCTGCTTCGGGCCCGGCGGTGAGCCACAGCCGAGGGCTTCAGTTGAGGCCCGGAGCAAACCGGGCTCCCCCCCAACAAACACCCTGGAGCTGCATTCATTTTCCGAAACGGTTGAGAGGGTCGATCGGGGGGACCCACGTCCAGCTGGCCCTGGAATGATAGTAGACCCAAACTATCTATTCACGGAGTATCTATCTAACTCCTACAATACTAATAATAATTATTATAATAATAATAATAATAATAATCAGAATAACAACATCTAGAATCTCCCTACTACGTACTTGGTACCACAAAAGGGAGGTCAGTACTAGTTACGGAGTAGTCCCGCCCCTCCCCCATAGCAACCACGATCATGGGAGGATGAGGAGGATCCGACAGGATCTCTGAACACGCCCCGGACTACGGCGCCCGTAGTTAGTAGTTTGTGTATATGCTTGTCTCATACGGAGTACCTCATCATTCCCTTCAGATACCTCCGGAGTAGACCATGGATTGACTATCTAGATAGTCCTTACTCATCTGACTCCCAGTCTGCCTGACCTCACTGTCCGTACGTAGCTCGTATTGTTCCGCTTGGCCATGGAGTGCTCCGGAGATCACCCACGGCACCCCGAACCTCTGCAATTAGCGTTGGCATAAGTATCTAGACAACTCAAATGTCCAATTCATTCTCCGAATCCTGATTGAAACCCAATGCATCTTCCACATTGTCCTGCTGCCTTACTGGCTATGTTGTTCGACGATCAGTCCGCGGAGCTTTTTCCACCTTCGGTCTGTGATTTGACCGATATGCAGACCTGCAGTCAGCTCGACACTGGTGGCACTAATCACGTATGTTTCTCGACCGCGCCGATCCCACTCCTCTTGCTCTCTCCCTGGCTGATTCTTATCTTCGGCATCCGACTTGCAATGTCAGCTTGCCCCTCTCCGCCCCCCTTACGCTTGCTTGCCTGTCCCTCCGTGATACTGTCCCGGAATCTCATACGAATTAAGAAAAAAAAAAAAGAGAGTTAGAAGACGATTGACTTGGAATTTCTCAAGTGCTGTTTGTTACAAGGCCCGCTCGAACCGTGTCCTATCATACATTAATCGAACAAACCCCAACACTTTAAAACATCCCCAGTCACAAAAATACTAAACCAGAACAGGGTAGGCATAATACAAGATGCTGTGTTTATCGTAAAAAGAAATAAGAATCACCTCCGGTTTTTCATGTCATCCCAAACTCATTTACAGCTTAGCACCAACAAGCTTGGCGAAGGCCTCGGTGCTGTAGGACTTGGGGCGCTCAATGGGGGCACCAAGGGCACGGTCGATGATCAGCTGGGGAAGGACACCCAGAGCACGGGAAACACCGAAGAGGACGGTGTAGTAGTTGGCCTCAGTCAGGCCATAGTACTGGAGGAGGACACCAGAGTGCTACATACCGGTCAGTATACTGGTCGCGCATGCAACGGGGGCGCAGATTCATGAGGCAACTTACAGCATCGACGTTGGGGTAGGGGTTCTTGGTCTTGCCGTGCTCGGTCAGGACACCAGGAGCGATCTTGTAGACCTGGCTGACCAGCTTGAACATGGGGTCATCGGGCAGCTTGCGAAGAGCGAACTCGCGCTGAGACACGTAGCGGGGGTCGGTCTTACGAAGGACGGCGTGACCGTATCCGGGAACGACCTGGCCGGCGTTCAGGGTGGACCAGAGGTAGTTCTTGATGGCCTCGTCGCTGAGGTCGTTGCCAATGGCGGCCTTCATCTTGGTGAGCCAGTTAAGGACTTCCTGGTTGGCCCTATGCGATTGGAAAAAGAAACATTAGCGAAAGCACTTCAATCTGACGTACATTAAAAGAATTGAAAAACTCACAATCCGTGGAGAGGTCCAGCCAGACCGTTCAGACCAGCAGCGAGAGAGAGCATGGGGGAGCTCAGAGCGCTACCAACAAGGTGGGTGGTGTGAGCACTGACGTTGCCACCCTCGTGGTCGGAGTGGATGGTCAGGTAAAGACGCATGAGCTCAACGAAGTCGTTGTTGTCGCCGTAGCCGAGCTGGTTGGCCAAGTTGTAGGAGTAATCCTTGTCCTTCTGGATAGGAGCGACCTTGCCATCCTTGAAGACGTTGCGGTAGATCTTGGCAGCGATGGTGGGCAGCTTGGCAATGAGGTCCATGGAGTCCTCGAAGGTGTAGTTCCAGTAGTCCTTCTTGTTGATACCCTTGGCATAGGCCTTGGCGAAAGCAGACTCGTGCTCAAGAGCGGTGACGGCCAGAGAGAACTGGGACATGGGGTGCAGAGTGCTGGGGCAGCGGTCGATGAGCTCCTCAATGAACTTGGGGAGGTCGGAGCGGGCAGCCCACTCAGCAGACAGATCGCGGACCTGCTGCTCGGTAGGGATCTCGCCAGTCAAGAGCAGCCAGAAGAGACCCTCGGGAAGAGGCTCCTGACCACCGGGAGCCTTGGGGAGGAGCTCCTGGCACTCGGGGATCTAAAGTACTGTCAGTATACATTTCAAATTGTGTTTTAGTCACATGCAACTTACGGTACGGCCACGGAAACGGATACCCTCCTCAGAGTCGAGGACGGAACCCTATGAAAGTCAGTTAGATAGTCTCCTCAAAAAAATTATTGGCCAAGTTCCTCATCATACCTCCCACACGAGGCACTTGACACCACGGGCACCACCATAGGCCTGGTCAAGGGTGACCTCGCCGATGACCTTGCTGCCGTGCTCCCTACACACATTGATTGACTGGTTAACAACACCTGCTGTAGACAAAAGGGTCGAATAGGGAGCTGTGCGTACTTGCGGAGCTTCTTGACCTTCTCGATCTCGGCAGGGAGCTTCTCAGCGAAAGTCTCCTTCAAGGACTATAGAAGGGAGAGACATCAGTATAAATATCCGAGGAATGACTGTTATCGAGGTAGAACGAACCTTGGCCTTGCCGGTAGAGTAGCAGCGCAGGCCATTGAAGGCAGCGGACTGAACAACCGGCTTAGCGGCAATGGAGGTGGAACGGAGAGCAGAGGTGCCCAGTCTCAAGGTGGAAGCCATGGCGAATGTGAACAACTTGCAGTAAGTTGAGTGGTTGGAAGAAGAAAAGGAGAGGAGAGAAAGAGGGTATATCAGGACACGGTAGAGAAAAGAAAAAGGAAGATGGGCCGCACGGTGTTCCCAAGTTATGGAGAAGCTCTTTTGCGCGGCCCTTTTTTTCCATCTGGCCGTACCAATACAGCCGGTACGCGGACTGTACGGTAACACACGGCAACGCCGCAAGGTAATGGTGGGCGGCTGTATCTTACGGTCACACTAGTCTCAACCTGGCCGATATCCCGAGTCTGAGCCAGGATTTCGGCGCGCTTTCCAGCGGCAATCAGAAGGATCCATCATGTTTTGGTAGTGACCCTTACCCGCTTGATTCCGTTGTACGGAACGGAGTCCGGAGTAAAATCCTCTCTTTCCTTGCGTTTTGTTTCTTGGTCTGTGTGTCCTTTTTACGCTATGTATTTATCACTACCTTTTAGAGTTCTACCGTGTCATTCTCTCATACTTGCTCGAGCTTATAGGGATCTGTTGAAAAGCAAAGACCAGAGCTGTCACTTGCTATCAAACGGTCATTCATGCATGTGCTGGAATATAGATATAGTCACTGTAATGCCGCCTCGGGCTACTATTATTGTGACGATCATCGGCGCCGTCTCATCCGTAAACGGAGTGCCACAGTAGAGCTGTTGGTCCATGGCTAGTGACGTCGGCAGTCGCCATCTCATCCACAATTTTGCCCACCCATTGAGTTTCCATGGGCGCGGATTTCCCCAGCCATAACAACAATACAAGTACGTAGTGGTAATACTTTACACCCATTGCTCGACATATAAGTTCATACCTCTACATGGTGAAGTGTTTTTTTTTTCCATTGTTGCTGATTTGCATGGTCACAAGGGGGTACTCACCCGTGAAGGAATGGGGTGATTGCGGTTGGATAGTGAAGTAAGCAGTAAGGGAAGGTATCCAGATTCTGAGTCCTAGCCTGTAAGAACACAGTTCTCATGGCTAACTAACTACTTGATAAGTGTCTCCGTGTAAATGTTTCCAGGGGTTAATGGTGTACTCTGTAAGGATTCCCAAACGGTGGGACGGCCTTCATTTGTTGTGTAGAAAATCGGTTACCTAACATGATGGGGAAGCCCAGCGCATTACCTCATTCGACTCACCGAGCTGCGACTCATGCACTTGTTTCATGCTTTGGCTTGACTTATGTAATCATTGGCATATCTCCCTCAGATACACGTCACGTGCCAACGAGCATAGCTGGCAGCCTGAGGCAAAAGAAAAGGAAAAGTGGCTGGGCATACCCGACCTCACTTGTTTTTAGGTGTTGCTGCCCTTTCGAGCCTAGCGCAGATATATGCTGATTTTTCTCCTCACCTGACTGACCACCTTTACTACCTTCTACGAAATCCCTTCCCTTTCAACTCCCCTTTCTATCCTTTCTTCATCTCTTCTGCACCGTTTCTCATCCCCCCACTCTTTTTTGCAGCAAAGTCGGCAACTCTGTAATATCCGCCTTTGCATCTTTTTCTTTGCGCTCAGCTCTTCGCTTTTTTTAGGTCGTACTCTGTACACGTACTCGTTCGCGAGTTGCAAGGCCCTGGACAGCATCGCTTGGCTGTGCTCCAGCTGTAGGCGGAAGGCCCCCCTGGTCGCCAGAGTACGCTCGTGGAGTCTGTAGTGACACGACCAGAAAGTCCGCTTAGGAAATCACTTTTCCATCATATTCGAGAGGCCACGACCCTGCAGGTTGCTGATATACCTCTCTTAAGCATCATCGCCACCTTAGCTGCGCTGGATCTCTCCCAGTAGTAACAGCTTATTGGGAAAGTGGTACTATCCGGTCGCGTTTACCATATACTTGAGAAGCGATAGTATTAACAGAAAACTGTTGCGTGTATCCTGTTCTTCCCGTACTGGATTCGAGTCAACACCACAAAATCTCGTCCACCATGTCGTCTGCTGTAGCAGAACTGGATAACTACCTCCAGTCTATGCTGGCACTCAAGCCCCCGGGTGTTTCAGGCTCTAAGATTAACAGTATTACGTCGCTTTGCACGGCAAACGTTCAGGTATTACTTTCCAATTCCGCCATTATTATTAAAATGCTTTACCAATAGACCTATGCTAATTCATGGTTCTTCTCTGCCACAGAATGAATCCGTTCTCATCCAGAAGATCTATACACACTTCAAGAAGGCACCAGGAACACACAAATTGGGCGTACTCTATGTCGTAGACTCTGTAACTCGACAGTGGGTAGAAGCAGCGCGCAAGGCAGGGCAGCCATCCGGTAGTGCTGCTCCCGATGGTACTTTCGCCGCTGGTGTCAACAGAGTGACCGAATTGCTACCCGTCCTCATGACGGACATCATAAACAACGCTCCTGAAGATCAAAAGGTACGCTCTAGATGCAATACGCATATTATATCATCCAACTTTCACAGTGATCGCGGGCAAGCATAGGGCCGATAGGAAGCCGGGGTTTGCTTTGAGGAACCCCTGGTGGTGGCCTGCTCTAAGAGTTGATATCCGTATCTCCTGCTGTATAGCCCAGGCTGCCATGCATAGTATTCGTGGCCGCTGTGCTTCCCCGCTATCTGCCTCATTTTTTCTCTCTTTTCTATCGTTGTCTGGTGACGAATAGTCCAACTTACGTATACGCCCGCCTCTCCTTATAGGAAAAAATCAAGAAACTGGTCGACATCTGGGAACGGGGCTATACTTTCCCTGCTCCCATGCTTGCCTCGTTCAAAGAGAAGTTAAACGCACCCCCATCACAAAGTAAGCAATATTATCCCCTCCAGCTGATGCTTCCTTGTATCTCGACATGGTTAAGCCGAGCGGCCCCTTAGAACCGCGCGTCTTGACTTGGAAAGTCGTTCTGGTATAGTCTCTAATCGTTGTTCTTTTATCTGCTCTTTAGATGTTGAATCCACCACCCCGGAAGGCTCGCCAGCACCCAACTACATTCCGCTGGGAGGTCAGCAACAGCCGCTTAACGGCGCCTCTTCGGCCCCCTCTGCTCAACAGGCACCGGACACCTCCAGTATTCTAAAGGCTCTGGCCGACATGGCCAAGCAGAACACAACAGCCCCGGCAGCACCGGCCGTGGCGGCACAGACTAACCCTCTAAGTGCTCTGACCCAGCAAAGTACGGTTCCGCAGCCCGCGTCATCATCCGTAGACCAGGCTTCACAGCCCCCGAATGGACAGGCTGGTGTAAACCCGTATGCTGCTGGAAGCATGGCGACCCCGTTCGCGGGATTGAGTAGTGTTGCTCAGAACCCGGCATTGGTCCCGCCGCCGCAGACCCAGAGTCAGAGCCACACTCCCAACCCGTTGGCAGCAGCGCAAAACCCACTGGCCGCGCTACTGCCGCAGGCGACTGCAGCTCCGGCTCAGCCGACTGCCCCGATCGGGCCTGATGCTCTGCAGCAGCAGCTCCAGCTCCTGCAATTGCTGGCTGCCCAAGGCATTCCTCAAGAGCAGTGGGCCACTGCCCTGCAGATTCTCAGCCTGTCCAATGCTGCCAATATTGGTGGGATGACCGCCGGCCAGGCTCCGCCGTTCAACCTGCCCGGTCAGCCCGTCGCCAACGCTTGGGGCGCTCGGCCCGACTCCCAGTCACGTGAATTCGACCGGGACCGGGAGCGTGATCGCGACTACATGCGTTCCCCTCCTGGCCAGTACCGCCGCCGTTCTCGTTCTCCCGGTTGGGACAGGCGCCGTGAGGCCTCTCCTCCTCGTCGTCGCGATAGCCCTGTCTATGGTGAGTATCATGGGGACTCCCCGGGACGTCGCGGTGGAGACCCGCGCGGTCGCCGAGGAAATGAGTATCGCCAGCGCAGCCCTCCCGGACGTCGTCGTCGCACTCCCTCCCCCCCTCGCAAGGATCCTACCTTGCCTCCTCCGGGCCCCAAGTTTATTGAGTGGGATTACTCCATTGGCCAAGGGAACATTAAAGGTTTGTTTTGCCCGTACCTATCTCCTTTCTGAAGCCAACAAGGCCAAGAAACCAAAGTTCTCGATTGCTAACTGGCCGTTGTATAGTCCTAAGTCGTACTCTCTTCGTTGGTGGTGTTACGTACGTTCTCCCTCTCTATTGCCCCTCTCGAGCAACTACTGGACTATGTATTAACATATGCTTAGGTCCTCTGAGGCGCATCTCCGCTCTCTCTTCAGCAAGTTTGGAATTGTCCAGACGTGCATTGTCAACATTGACAAGCGTCATGCTTTCATTAAGATGATCAGCCGTCAGGATGCCGTCATGGCACGGGATGGCATGGAATCCTACAAGTCCGGCGACATGCAGCTCAGGGTAAGCTCCCAATTTGTCCCGTCATATTTTCTTCCTAGGCTAACTTCTATCATAGACTCGATGGGGTGTGGGATTCGGTCCACGTGACTGCAGCGACTACCAAACAGGCATCAGTGTGATTCCGATTGAAAGACTGACGGAGGCGGATCGGAAATGGATGCTCACTGCGGAGTATGGCGGCACTGGCGGAAGGCCTATCGAGTCCGGAATGGTCGTCGAGGAGCCCGACATTGAGATTGGCGCTGGTGTATCCTCGAAAGGTTTGTTGGCACCATGTCCACTCTAAAATCATTTACCATGAAGCTAATGCTTTGCAACAGCTATCAGCAGAAGAATTGCTACCGACACTGGCGGCAAGCGCGGACCTGTTTCTTCCCGCACGCAGCAGGACCGATTCCGTCGTCCGGAACGCGATGGACCTGCCAACGGGATGGGCATGGGCGGCGGCTCGGTGGAGCGGGATATACCCAATGCCAACAATGTCGGTGTCCCGCCTGCCGTGCCTGGCTTCGGCTTTTCGTTCCCCGGTATGCCCATGTTCCCTCCCGGCTTTATGATGGGAGGAGCACAAGCTGGATCCGGTGGTGCGGCACAGCCGCCTCCTCCAGGCCAAGGAAGCAATTAGCTATGAAGCGTACTATTACAACGACACTTAGCCCCTGCTCTCCGTCATCTCGTTCTTCCCTTGTTTTGATACCAATATTTTCTCTTCGTCTCTTTCTTTCTTGTCTCTCTACCTTTCCCCTTTCTTTCGTTTTGCAACGTTCTCATGTAAATTTGTTTTTGCACACCCCTCCAAAAAATAACCGGCGTTGGCGCTTTCGTATTCATTGTTTAGCGGAAGGCATACGCTTCATGAGTGGGCGTTTCTTAAGGCGGGTCAAGAGCACGGCATCTTCCATGTGGCTCCATAATGCACCCCCTTCATGTCTTTGTTCCTTCAGTTCGTCACATAAACAGACGTCTCAGCAAACAGCGCTTGTTGGAGAAGTGAGTGGACCGAAGTTCGCTGGCTCGAACACTTACCGAACCATTCAGCGTCTCAGCTTGCTTCATTTGTTTTGCTATTACCTATTGTTTTATGTCTTCCCTATCTTCCTGTATTCGCAACCCGCTCATCTCTCTATGGGAATTGGGTGGCCCCAAGTGATGTGATGTATCACTCTCCTGCGTCTCTTCTGCCTTTTCTTTTCTTAGTCAAACGAAGAGCTAGTTGGGCTGGCTGATAATTGCTTCTCGTGTTTCTCTTTTGCACCTGTGTTTCTTTTTCCTATCTTCGCTTCCTGTGCATAATTGACCTCCCACTTATTTACTTGAATTCATAAGTTCCGAGATCTGATCCAGCTCTCTACCTGATGGTATCGTAAGCATCAACGTCCTTGAACACTTGGTACGTGCTGCTCGCTGCTCTTATAGTTTTTTTTATTCTTACTTTTTTTATTTATTTATTTATTTTTTTTTTTTTTTGGTGGTGGAGCAATGTATTACGAGCTACTGTATGGCGAATGGTCGCTACGTATTATATGCTGGGTGCTTATCTTACCCTTCGAGGGTCTGTTTGCCCGTAGTATTTCATCCAACCTAGTAGTGACTTGTAATGCAGGCGCTCCATCCTGGCAGGCTTGTTATACATCTTATCCATTACCATCATGATGTGAGGATTTTATTAGAAGGTTTACGATGGTTCCGCTCTGTATGAGAAACCAGATGCTTCATATTGGTATCGTCTCGAAATCGTCATAGTATCTCATAGACATGTCTGTTCCCGCTTGCGCAGTGAGGATTTTCCATTCCTGCTCATGCACGATGTCGTTTAGGGGTCTGCTTTAGGGTGTCTGGTTCGGCCCAATCCCCAAGTTCTTATAAGTCAGGCGCAGAACCAGCCGCCACTGCCTCCCCAACCAGCAACTCAAGGGCTCAGGTTTCGCCAGTGAGAGCATAGTTTACAGAGCACTAGCAGCCTTGAAAGACTGCTCAAAGTCGGCAATAATATCATCAATATGCTCGGTACCCACCGAGATACGGATTCCATCCTCAGTGACTCCGGAGTCAATGCGTTCCTGCACGGTAAGCTGTTCATGTGTCGTAGACCAAGGGTGAATAGCGAGGGTTTTCATATCCCCAACACTGTAGAAGGTATAATTAGCAGCCGAAGCTTTCAAATGATTCCAGCCCCAACGCAGATGGACCTACTTCGCGAGATTGCTGATCAGCTTAAAGCCGTCAACTACCTGGCTGCCAGCGGCTGCACCTCCCTTAACCCCAAAAGAAAGCACGCCCCCAAATCCATGCTTGAGATAGCGCTTCGCGGTCTCATGGCTTGGGTGGTCCTCCAAGCCTGGGTATGAGACCCAAGAAACATTTTCATTCTTACGAAGCCAGTTGGCCAGTATTATAGCATTGCTTGCATGTCTCTCAGCACGTAAACTCAAGGTCTCGACGCCGAGTAGAAGCTGTTGCGCGGCAAAAGGGTTCAGTGCTGACCCAAGATCTCTCAAGATCTCCACTCGCACTCGAATGGCAAAAGCAAGGGGACCAAAGGTCTCCCAGAATTTCAAGCCATGGTAGCCTTCGGAAGGTTCAATAAACTGGGGGAAGCGTGCTGCATTCTTTCCCCAGTCAAACTTTCCGCTGTCAACAACTATACCAGCAACAGTGGTGCCGTGACCTCCAATCCACTTGGTGGCGCTGTGTACAATAATATCGGCGCCGTGCTCTATGGGACGGCAGTAATAACCGCCGGCGCCGAATGTATTGTCGACCTATATAAAACCCTAGTATAAGTTGCAAATTCTCTTCACAAAATTTTATTTGCGCCCTAACAGACACTTACCACTAGGGGCACGCCCTTTTCGTGGGCTACCTTAGCGATGGCTTCGAAGTCGGGTACATTATAGCGGGGGTTTCCAATAGTTTCAACGTAGACAGCCTTAGTACGGTCATCAATGGCTGCAGCTATGGCCTCTGGGCTGTCTCCCTGGACAAACTTGGTTGTGATTCCCAATCGAGGGAATAGGACTTTGAATTGGTTATATGTACCGCCGTATAGATTACTGGTCGACACTATATTATCGCCAACATGGGCAAGGGCAGATATAGCCATGAACTGTGCGGATTGACCCGAAGAGGCTGCGACGGCTGCGACGCCACCTTCAAGGGCAGCGATACGTTTCTCGAAGACATCCACAGTGGGCTTCCATGGATTAGTTGAAACTAGAACTCGCTGTCGATTCAATGCTTTAGGTGGATGTATAAACTAGACTCACGTTCATAATCCGGCTATATATGTTGCCAAACTCTTTGAGACCAAAGAGTCTGGCGCCATGTGCGGAGTCATTGAAGGTGAAGGACTAACCGAATTTCAGATCAGAATCAACTGCATATGAGACCAGAGCTTGAGGATATGGGCTTACTGTGGTTGCATAGATGGGTACCGCTCGCGAATGGGTCTCGGAATCTGGTTCATGACTTGGGAAAGAAATGTCAGCGCGAGGCTATGGTATGACAGGTCCATGGAGAGATCCGTATGCACATACCCCGCATGAAGCTGTAAAGTTTCGAAATGGGGCTGCTTAGGTTCAGACATGATGCTGCTTCTTAAATGGAACGCTATCCTTCAACTTGTATGTTCCCTAGTAAAGCAAGGACTCAATAGGGAGGACAATGAGGGAACAAATTGGCCAAAGTGGGGGAAGTATAATGGGAAGTTGTTGAACACATGCTCGCATTGTGGTAGATCTACCGACGACTAAGCAATTGGCGACGATGATGGCGTGATTTGATGGAGCAGAACAAAGGAGGGAAAGGCGGGGGAGGCGACGAATCCCGGACGCTAGGAATTCTAACCATCAGAAGCAACTACTACTTACTATCTACTCGGCACTGATCAGATGCGCCATGTTACTAGTGGTCTATATACTTCTAAGCCCTGCTACTATATGCCTATGTAGACACCAATCTGCCACCAACATAGCTTGATTAACATGGAGTACTACTTACTTTGTAGTATAATCTATTGTTTGTATACACACTCACTTGGCTCCTCCGGGCGCTAAAAGCGAGGCCCACATGTTGAACCGGACGTGCCTGATTTCTCCGCCCAAAACCTTTCCAACAACTTGCATTCTGCACGCAGGCTCAGACAATTTGCCTAGTGGGCATAGCTATCTAGTACCTATAGATCGGTTCCTGAATTAAGAAAGTTGTACTTTGTATGACTCTTCTGTTCACCATCGCACCCAGGAGGATATATAAATGGACACAGGAATCTATGTTTGCATCATTTTAAACAACATAGCTAACGCGGGGGATCTCCGTCTCCTAGATCTTCTAGATACTAATTATGGAAGTTGCTGTCTATACTTCTTGCAACTAATGGAGAACTGTGTACGGAGTAGTGGGCGTCATGTGTTTGCCCTCAGGGTCCAGGTGGCATCCCTTGGCTGTGTCTAGTGCCACCAGCTCACTACTAGGCAGACACCTCAGCCCTGTTTTACACTGTACAATACCTCCTGTTTTCTCTCTCTCTCTCTTCCCCCCCTTCTTACTATTTCTCACTATTCTCACTATTTCGAAAAATAACTTATGAGATCATCGCTTGCTTGGCCTTTTCCCTAGTCACCAATCCCAGCAAGCCATTGGGCCGAGGCACTCGCGGCCAGAGAAGCAGCCCGTCCCGTTCAATCCAGCAATGCAGGCGAGTTTCACAAGCTCACTGAATTTCCTCTATTTTAGCTTCGTGAAAGCGTCGGGATCTGCGACCGATGCTGCAGGCGCTGCGAATCAAAAAGTTCCAATACGCGATGGCCCTCGGAATGATGACGGTATTCTCTTTCCAAGTATTTCTGCTGTGTACTTAAGTACACTACTTTGCTTGGATGGGCAGGCAGCTCCGAAACTCCCCAGCCCAACTGGCGGTCTGAGAGATTTTGTTGGACTCTTGTTACTGCGCCACCAAGTTGTCTAACCGAGACTGAAGACATAAGTCTTCTGCCTGCATGTGTGTGCATTGCTAGTTCTTTCAAACGTTGAAGAAGAGACAGGAATAGCACAAGTGAAGCAAGGTACGTACCTAGAAAGGTCAGTCACTGCCTGCCCGTCAGCCCACACACACACCCACGTCACAGCCTTTTAAGCGCACACTGGCTTGAGAACTTGAAACAGCGTCCGCCTGTGCAACAGCATGTGACTTGCCATCGTTCAGGCGCTATGCGCTCATAATAGTTCATTCCATCCACTGTATTTGAAAGCCATTCGTGTCCTCCATACCATTCGTTTTTCTAAGCATCAGCTAACCCGCAAGATTTCATCAGAAAGAGCTGCGACACCGCGCAGACTGAGAGTAGCAGATAGGACGTCTACTAGCATCATCATCAACGCGGGCTCCCAATATCAATCATGGCTGTGAATTTTCCATGGATCTACCCTGTTCGGGTAATCCAGGCCATCTTCGGAATAATCGTCCTTGCTTTAACCGCATACTGTTCGTCAAGTCATTCCATCACACTTCAAAGAAGAACTGAAAATAGCTGACATATGACAAGATATCAGTTGGTTCGCGTATAGCAGCGATTCGCCCAATTTCATGCTTTTCGTTGCGTGCTGGACAGCCTTCATCGCAACTCCCTATCTTGCCTTGGCGCCAGTATTCTTCCCCCAGTTGGCGCATCGGATCGTCATCCCAGCTGTCGAAGTGATTACCATGATATTCTGGTTCGCAGGATTCATCGCCCTAGCTGTATTCCTTCCACCAGCAGAAGCCTGTCACTGGAGCCGTTGCAGCGCATTACAGGCCGCAACCGTGTTTGGTGCACTCGAGTGGTATGACTCCCCTCTGATCAAGATCGCCATTTTTAGCGCTCGAGCGGAAAAGTTCAACTCTGTATTTCGGGACATGAAGGATGTCGTTGATGAGCATTGTTACTAACATGGATTGCGTAGGGTACTATTTCTGGTTACTTCCGTTTTTGCTGTCCTCGGCATTTCGCGTACCCGGTCCAGCTCCAGTACGAAGCCCACCCCTAACGATCATACCCACGTTGGCGTCTAAATGGAGTCGGTAGTGACGGTTCCATGATACATTTCTGAATAAAAGTACAACAACTATTCGGCTAGCGGCGGAGAAAGCCCTGAATTAGCCGGCAGTATGATGATGACGTCATTCTTTTTCACGACTACTACTTCATCAGTTGATTCAGGTACAGCGAGGTTGACGACGGTAATGATGGTAAATGATTTGGAATACTCGGAGGATAGAAGGATATGGACAAGCAGCTGACTATAGCCGTGCTTTCTGTTTTCGATCGTTGACTGCTTTGTTCTGGTCTAGGCAGGATACCCATGTGTTACTAGTTACTAGGGGACTTTGATCGCCATATACTACTACTTAGTCCTAGGACACCTTGACATGTGTTTCATTAAGTCATAATATTCAGCTCGTTGTCCGGTCTCTTTCCCCATCAAAAAGCCAATAGTAAGATACGTTTAAATATTGACGTCTTTTTCAAATTTGACCTGATGCAACAATCTGAGGAAGGAGCGGCCAAAACTGTCAAAGGCAAAGTACCACGGAAATGAGGCCGCGCGACAGGCATAAAAACCAGATATGCCGCCTTGATAGCTTACTGGATGGATGGGCTTAGAGTTCTCCATCTGTTAGCAAATTAGCTTTGCTTACATTCGATCCACTGGGAGAACCCACAGCATGTCGAAAAATGATAAGCTTTTTAGTGAACTACCTGCGTGTCACTTTGTATTGTCATTGACTCATTGAGACGCTATCAGCGGATGACAGGGATTGGCATTTGCACCGATGATTCAGTTGTTGGATCATGCGATTGATCAATAGGATTATGAATAATATTGAATTGTAAAGATAGATGAAGGTGAAACTTTTACCTACGTGATCATCAGGACACACAATGCTGGTACGTAAATACGAAGATGAAAGGAGAAAAAGAAAGCATGGCCGTCTTTTGAACGAGCAGCTCCATCAGATGTTTCGAATCTCGACAAAATTACCTTGTCTCCGGCAAATGTGCCAATGATCTATTCGAGATCCGACGGTGACTGGGACGGGTCCGTGGTTCATTGCACCGCGAATATCCGTCCGCTCAACGTTCCAGAAGAAATTCAAGAGAGAAGGAAAATAGGGAAAAAAAAAAAAAAATTTCTGCAACGGAGTAGGGCTGGCTGACTCGGATCTCGCCGATTGGCTTTGTACTATTTTAGCAGACGTGTCCCCGGGCTCTAGTAAATGAGGAGAACTTTGGAGTGGAAAAAAAAAAAAAGGTGTGTGGTGGATAATGATAGTTCATTTGTTAGTGGAGTGGACAACCGTTGAGTTGGAGAGCGCATCAGGCCGGGTAGATACTAGATAGATGCTTTGTATATATATCTATGTGGGAATTCAAAGTATGTTCTCAAGAGGCAGCAGTAACAACCAACCACCACTCAATTGCATTTTAGAATTACTATTCTGCCGAGATATCGTTAGTATGATTTTTTCCTTTGCCACCACGCGACGTTGTGGGAGGAGCAGGCGTGTTAGGAGTTCTGACTTACGAGAGAAAAACTCTGTCTCCGCCCAAGGAAGGCCTATCTCGCGACCCACCATCTAGCACCGGCGTCGCTGCTGGGCCAGCTGGAACACGCAACCATTCGCTGAACCTTTTCCAAGTTCCCAGATTTGCCCGCCTTGGATGGAGAAGGAATCCACGTTGAGGAGGTTTTAGTGCGGACGAGTGGCACGCACAATCCATAGCAGCAGCCTCTTGCTAGACTCAGAGGTATGTAACTACTCCGTCCATTAGTGTGTAGGAAATGCTGTGCCGATGTCAAAGCCAACTCAATTGAGGAAGGAAAGCACAAGACACAGGATAGAAATTACGGGGGGAAAAGTGTTTTCATCATAAATCATGGCCATGACCATCATCCGTGATCTCAAACTCGTGGTCCTTGTCTGGGGGAAGCAGGCTTCGACCCAAAGGGAATCTCTGCGCGAGGTTGCATCCGGCGTGCTGAACCCCCATTCCCACCCCCTCATCTTGACTGTTCCTTTTACCTAAAGATTTTCAGTCTTGGAGCATAATTCGATTAGATTCACTATCATCATCATTCGTTGCCTCTCTTATCGGCGGGCAAAGATGGTCTGTTGACAAGACACGATACATAATCTCTCGACGTGCATATGCATCTCCAGCCGTGTCTGTCGTACCTTAATCGTAGGTGGATGCGATTCATCTTTAGCGGATTTCGGAGAGGCGACACGCAGAACCCGCTTATAAGGAGGAGCTCGACGACTGGACGGACCCGAGTTTTGGTGACTCAATCGAACCGTGTTCCCGGTGGAGTCGGTCCTGGCGGCGAGCTTCCTTTTTCCTTCTTTTTCGCGATTTTGACTTTTGTGACCTCTTCCCGTCACTATCATACACACTGTACGTCTGACGCTCTAACCTTGAGGATATCAGCATCCTCAGATTTTGGGGCCGTTGAGGGTCTAACATGGCTTTCGGGAACAAGGTCAAATCCACGTCTGCCGAGGGGGAAAAGGGCAAGATGGCGCCTGAAGAGACTGTCCAGGTTCAGCCCACGAACCCTTCGTCCGACTTGAACGACATCGATTGTGAGAAACATGGCGCCAGTCGCGAGTCAAATCCCATGCCCGATCTCAAGCGGAAGCTGAGAAGTCGCCATCTTCAGATGATTGCCATTGGTGAGTCCTGCTGGCTGTCTTGAGTTCTTTCCCTTTCTTCTTCTGCCGTAAGACAGGCGGCCATTCCGCAAGTGACAACCTGCTCATTCAATTCATAGGTGGTACTATTGGCACTGGTCTGTTCATCGGTAGTGGTACTGCTGTCGCCAACGGAGGTCCTGTTGGTGCCCTCATTGCCTACATCTTCGTCGGTACGATCGTCTACTCGGTTATGACCTCCCTGGGTGAAATAGCGACCTATATTCCGATTCCTGGAGCGTTCACAGCCTACGCTGCTCGTCTGGTGGACCCCAGTCTTGGCTTCGCCATGGGGTGGATCTATTGGTTTTCCTGGGCTAGTACATTTGCACTCGAGTTAACGGCAACCGGTCTGATCATTCAATTCTGGGACGACTCCATCAATATCGCTATCTTCATCGCCATCTTTTGGGTTCTGATAGCTCTATTGAATTTCCTGCCTGTCAGCTTCTATGGTGAATTGGAATTCTGGCTTTCAAGTATCAAAGTTATCACCGTTGTTGGGTTCATGATCTTCGCCATCTGCATTGACGCCGGCGTCGGTGACAAAGGGTATCTCGGATTTCGCTATTGGGTCGACCCAGGCCCCTTTGCTCCTTATTCGGGTGTCCACCCCGACTCGACAGCAAAGTTCGTCGGTTTCTGGTCCGTTCTTATCCAGGCTGGCTTTTCGTATCAGGGAACGGAACTGGTCGGTATCGCAGCCGCTGAGACAGAAAACCCTCGCAAAACGGTGCCTGCGGCTATTCGCAAGACCTTCTACCGCATTCTGTTCTTCTTCGTCCTGACCATCTTCTTCATCGGTCTTCTGGTGCCCTACACCAACGAGAACCTCCTGACCGATGGAAACGATGCTAACTCGTCGCCTTTTGTCATTGCGGCTAGGCTTGCTGGAGTTAAGGTTCTGCCTCACATTATCAACGCAGTCCTGCTGACTGTGGTGCTCTCTGCTGCCAATTCAAATGTTTACAGTGGCAGTCGTATCTTGCTTGGTCTGGCTCAAGAAGGGTTTGCCCCGCGCTGGTTCAAGAAGACTTCTAAGAAGGGTGTGCCATACTTCAGCGTTGCCTTCACGGCAGCCTTCGGTCTTCTCGGTTTCATGAATGTCTCCAATGCAGGTAGCACTGTGTTCAACTGGCTCGTCAACATCGCCGGTGTCGCAGGCTTCATCACTTGGGCATCGTTGAACGGCTGCCATCTTGCTTTCATGCGTGCCCTGAAGGCTCGCGACATCTCCCGTGACACCCTTCCTTATAAAGCTATCTGGCAGCCCTACTATTCCTGGTACGGGTTGTTCTTCAACATCCTCATTATCATCACGCAAGGTTTCACCTCCTTTATTACCAGCTTCAGCGTCACGGATTTCTTCATTGATTACATCAGTCTGATTCTCTTCGTCGTGCTCTATGTTGGCCACAAGATCTACTTCCGGACATCTTTTGTCCATCCTCTTGAGGCTGATATTGATACGGGCCGCCAGGAGGTCGAGAACGAAACGTGGGAAACGGAGGCTCCCGCCACGAAATGGCACCAGAAGCTTGCACGCTCATTCCTGGGCTGAGAGGATCGCGACTGGGCATCTCAGTACAGGCCCGTCGTTACACCACTTGTGCTTCTGCTTTTTTATTGTCTTGTTTTAATTCTCCCATATTCACGCCATACCTCTCCTCGGTTGATAGAGAGAGAGATATCCCTATTGCTTCTACATTTGAACCCTTTGGTTAATACATATGGCGCTTAGAAGTTGGGGTTCACGCATATACACATCTGCTGAGACAGCTGTTGCTTGTCGGTATATATAAAAAAAGAGAGAAAGAGAGAGCGAGAGAGCGAGACGGATCTGCATGAGTTGATGATGAATGAGGGTCGGATGGGTGTCTTCCTCTTGATTATGAGGGGCTTTTGTCTATATCTTTGGGTTCAACGGTCGAGCCTCTTCTGTACAGTATACAAGTTGGGATGTCAGCATTGGCATGGAGTTTGGTAAATGGTTTTTACTGTCGAACGTCTTGTTCGAACTGACTGTGGTCTAACTTTCCTGGAATCGAAAGTTTGCAATTAATCGACGTACTCTTGAATCTGCAGTGTATCTTATACTATATGTTAAATGGTTCGTAGCTTTATTTGTTTCACATACATGCTACTAGTAGCAGTAGCCGCCGTTGAGCAGATACATTATACTAGTGGATAATTGGTTAGTGGCAGTGACACGGCCAGGGTTAGACACTGCGTAGTGCCAGTAAGTACTAGTACTAAGTAAGTACCATTCTAGGATTTAGTTATTCAGTAGTGATGCTGATTAATTACCGAGAGCTCTCGAGCTACGAGAGTATATACGTCACGAAAGTTCACACGATTACTTCACAGAAATAGAGATCGGGGAGACCAGTCGGCACTGTATCCTCAAATCTTCACATGGAATATATACTTACACGTGACGGACTAGGAGGCGAATATGAGCCAAGGTCGGATCAGAGGGGCTTTTTAACTTACGTTGTCGGAGGCATCGGTTAAGCCAAAGAGCAAGCATGTGAGATGGTCAATGTGTCGGCTGGTTGTTGAAGATCACAAGACTCAGGTCCGATCATCTGTACAACGTTAGTCCACGGGCTTGAAAATCCTGGCTTGTGGATATCTCGACTGGCATGTAACAGACTTATGCATTAAATGCGGCCGGATGTCAATTGAGGGGCGCCGGCATCTGCGGGTTAATTCATGGGGCGTGGGGAGACTAGTAGTAATAAATAGGAGTCTAGTCGTTCCTTAGGGGCTTACGCGGTGCTGTACGAGATCTTATATTTATTGATCTATTACATCAATTTATGTGGTTTTTGCTTGTACTACTTTTCTCAAAGAAATCCGTACTGAGAGGTGTCTGCCCGCATTTTTCTTTTTCGGGGCCCGGAGATATTATACAGCATCGACTGCATGGTACTGGAGGAAAGGATCGCCTGCCAATAAGGTCGGCTAGATAGTTATCGAATAGTATGCATGATATGATTGTCCACCGTAGAACCGAGGTATGGGGTCAACGGGCGGGAAGAAAGACACCAATTTCGAGGGAAATGCAAACGGGGAGGATTAACCCAAAGAAGCATATGTTCCATCAAGTTGAAGATAGATACTTATGCTTGGTACTGGAAATGAAACGGGGAGGCTTCCCCAACAGGGCAAGTGCCGAGGTTCTGCGGATTTGGGGAAGGGTTTGGGACGTCGCGTGGCGGGAACACGAGCGCTGGCCAGTCAGCGGCCGTCATTTGCGCGCATTCCGTCTCGGAGACCAACAAAATAGTAAGGGAAGGAAGGTTCAACTGGATCCCTCCCTTTCCCAACTTGGCACTCCATGCCTCAGGTAGGCAAGTTGCCCTGTACCAGTACTGGTAGTACTCGGAAGTGCTTCTTCTTCTCCTCCTCCTCTCTATCTTGTTGCCCTCCTTCCCTGGCAGTGCCTTTATAGTCCCTTCTTCTTTTTGTGGTTGTTCTCCCTTTCATCAACACCCCTCACCTTCACCTCCGGTCTCTTGTTTCCCCTTCCTCTTCCGTACTTATCCTGACCCTACCGAACTACCCTCGCCACACTCCAGTCGTCTTTCCCAGACAACTCTCTCTGGAAGTTGGGTTCGCTATAATTGTTCTTTTCTTCTTCAATAATAGATTGGTAGGCTCGTCTTTGTTATCTGTCTCAAAGAACCAGTCTTATCATCGAAATTCTAACTTGCTCGTCTTCACCAGCTGTAAATTACACCTGTCGCTATGCTATTTTCTCAACAACCTCTCCACCTTACTCGCGCAGATGAGTTGCGACAAAGCCCTCCCAAGGGCACTCCCTACTCGGTTGCCTTGCCCGGGACAGAGAAGCCGGGGCGGAGTAAGGTCTATCGGGCTTGGAATGCGACTGAGGGCGTTCTGAAGTCGCTGGATCCTCAAGTATGCTTGCTCCCCATGATCTGCGGCGATCCGCCATTGTAGCACAATATGCCTTTCCCTGCTGGATTTTTTCTGACTCTCTTCACAAATAATTCCTAGATCCTCACTGCACACGATATCTTCGAGTCCACCGCAAACAGATTGCCGAAAAACCACTGCCTTGGTTGGCGTCCGTACAACCCCACGACCAAGACCTACGGTGTATACCAATGGTTGGATTATCAAACGGTACAAAAGCGACGGGCTGCGTTCGGTGCAGGTCTAGTGGAACTACATCACAAGCACGAATGCAGTCGTCCTGGCCAGTATGGTATTGGGCTATGGTGTCAGAATCGCCCCGAGTGGCAGATAACTGGTATGCGATCTTGTCATTTCTAGCGTGCGCAACACTAATCCTGGTCGATTTAGACTTGGCATGCATGTCGCAAAGCCTGTATTCGGTCTCCATCTACGATGTCCTCGCCCCCGATGCGACAGAGTATATTATCAACCACGCGGAGTTGGCTTGCGTTGTGACCTCGTTGCCGCACATTCCGACACTGCTCAGGCTGAAGCCCCAGTTGCCTAACCTCAAGATCATTGTCAGCTTGGACCCCTTGGACGGCGGTGAAGAGGCCGGCCACTCGAAGCGTGCTTTACTCGAGTCAATGGCTGCCGGGCAAGATGTTTCCATCTATACCATGAGCCAGGTTGAAGAGTTGGGTGCTTCGGTGGATCGTCCCTGCAAACCCCCAGCTCCCTCTGACACCATTACCATCAACTATACGTCTGGTACCACCGGCCCCCCGAAGGGTGTTGTCCTGGCACATGAAAATGCTGTCGCATCCGCTTCAGGTGCGCTCATCAACAGCATACAAAAAGCGGGCGATACCATTATATCTTATCTTCCGCTGGCTCACATCTATGCTCGGATGTCTGAGCATGCCGCCTTTTGGGCAGGAGCCCGGATTGGGTATTTCCATGGAAACATCCTAGAGCTTGTCGACGATCTCAAGCTGCTCAAGCCAACCGGTTTCATATCTGTTCCGCGCCTCTATACTCGATTCGGAAATGCTATTCGCGCCTCGACTGTTGAGGCTCCTGGGTTTAGAGGCGCACTGTCAAGGCACATTGTCGCTACAAAGACCGCAAACTTGAAGAACCCTGACCCTAGCCAAGCCACGGGAAAACATGCCTTGTATGATCGGATCTGGGCGAAGAAGGTTGCGGCTGCCATCGGCTTGGAGCGTTCAAGAATGCTGGCTTCCGGCTCGGCGCCTTTGGATCCTTCACTCCACCAATTCCTCCGGATTGCTCTTGGCGTCGACGTTGTTCAGGGATATGGTTTGACTGAGACTTATGCCATGGCATGTGTACAGTCCCTCGCGGACTTGACCGCTGGCCACTGTGGTGGGCTGATTCCTTCTACGGAGGCTTGCTTGATGTCTCTACCGGATATGGAGTATTCCGTTGACGACAAGCCGTACCCTCGGGGTGAGCTAATGCTGCGAGGCGCGAACGTTTTTCGCGAGTATTTTAAAGACCCTGAGGAAACAGCCAAAGCAGTGACCGAGGATGGATGGTTCCGGACCGGTGATGTCTGCAAGATTGATGAGATGGGCCGTATCGTCATCATCGACCGCCGGAAGAATGTGCTCAAGCTGGCACAGGGAGAGTATATCTCTCCGGAACGGCTCGAGGGTGTTTATATGTCGGAAATGGGCTACTTGGCCCAGGGCTATGTCCATGGTGATAGTGTTCAGACGTTCCTGGTGGCTATCTTTGGAGTCCAGCCCGATACCTTCGCTGTATTTGCCAGCAAGGTACTTGGCCGCACCATTGAAGCTACGGACATCGAGGGCATCAGATCCGTACTTAACGACCCCAAGATCCGTAAAGCTGTGCTGAAAGATCTCAACCGCATTGCCAAGAAGCACAAGCTTGCAGGATATGAGAGAATCAAAAACTGCGCACTGATGATTGACCCGTTTACCATTGAGAATAACCTGCTGACGCCGACGTAAGAAACCGCCGCTCCACGTTCCAATTATGACTATATATACTAATCTGCAATTCTCCCATCTAGGCTGAAGCTGAAGCGTCCGCCCACCACAAAGAAGTATCGTCAGGTCTTGGACGAGCTCTATGCCGAGGCATTGGCTGAAGAGTCCGCCCCTAAGGCTAAGCTATGAGGGGTTCATCTATATGCATCTCTTTTACCACCGGCAGTATGGGATCATCTATTGGGACACCCTCCAGACTACACTGTACATATAACCTATTGCCCTCTTGTTTCACGCATATGCTGTTCATATTGTTCTCAATTTGAGGGGCAGGTCCTCGGGGTAGTTCAGGGCGAGAATAGGAGTCATATGCCCTTGCCTCGGCCGCGTTTAGAAGTACATATTATATGCTATTATCTTGATCATTGTTTGCAGCATATAGGCACTTTTACTGTCTAGGTTGAGCCAGATACACAGTGTAGATAGCGGTGTGGAGCGCAAGTGCTACCTAAAGCTTCAAAGATGAAGCGTGAATCGTCAAGATAACAATTCGGACATTTGAAGAGTGCGTAGATATTTCCAGCCCAAGATTTAACAGAAAGACAAAGAGTTGCAATCGACGTTGCAAGCTGCAGTAAAGGTGAAAGGATGCCAGGCGGCGCCGTGACTTCACCGTCAGCCGGCCGGCGCTTGGCACTGGCGCCGCCGTTGAGATCATCCATCGGAATAGCTTCACCTCCACCGTCCACCAGCAACCTCCGCATTTCTCTGCGGACACTACCACCATTCAATTCCCATACTACACTGACCAGCTGCACCTGTCAGAATAACATCCGTTGCCCATCATGCATCTCTCTCTTTTCTCTCTCTTTTCCCTCCTCTCCGCGTCAACACTGGCAACCGCAGCATCCGCCGCCCGTCATCTCACCATCACCATCCCCCCCTCGACCATCCTCCCCAACCCGAATATCCTCTCAGCCAATACTCACGCGACGCTCACAACCTTCACAAAGAACACAAACTACAATCACCACTTCGCTGCACCCCTCACCCGCTCCGCAACCTTCAACTTCCACCATCTCCCCGCCTCCTCGAAGCCTGAATCCTACCTCCTCGACATCCGCTCCCCGGAGTATGTTTTCGCTCCGCTCCGCGTCGACGTCGCTGCCGATGGCTCTCTCCTGGGTATCTGGGAGACCTTTCGCGGCAACCCCTGGGATAATCGCGGCGCGGAGAAGTTCGTCTTTGATGCGAGTGCTCCCCGCGGTGGTAACAGTGGAGCTGAAGAAGCTGTAATGGTTGAGGCGAAGGTTCTGGCCCGGAGAGGATTCTATGAGGAGAGGTCGAAGTGTATGTTTTCCCACCCCAGTTGTTCCCTCTTAAGTCTTGATGTTAGCTTTAGAGGACGAGGAGCATGCGTGCGCAATGGTATCTGTTCATCGAGTGAATTACTTGGTAACCATTGAGCGCACGCGCGAGTCTTTGCACTTCATATTTCACCTTGTTTTGGATTCAGATTGCTGACTGGGATTGAAATCATCGATATAGTCTCTCCCCTGGCTTTGTTCAAGAATCCCATGATCCTGATGGCTTTGGTGGCTCTTGGGTTCACCTTTGGAATGCCCAAGTTAATGGAGAATAGTAAGTCCCGTCCAAAGTCCCTAGACCTCACTTGTTTTATATTCCTCTCGCCACGTCTATCTTGTGGATAGCTTCTTGCTAACATGCACTCTTATCAGTGGACCCCGAAATGCGCGCCGAATTCGAGAAACAGTCTCGCTCTTCTCCCATCGGAGGCGCAACCAGGAGTGCTATGGCTGGCGGTGGGGCTCCCGGGAACTTCGATCTGGCTGGCTGGATGGCCGGTGCTACTCCTAGACCCGGTGCATCTGGCGCGGAAGCTGCGGCTGCGGTTGAAGGAGCGGCTGCTACAACGGGCCGGGAGAGCGGTGGTGCATCACGGAGAAGAGGTTGAAGCATTGTATGATAGCAGTATCGTGTGGAGGTTTAGTGGACAGTGTGGTATGCGTGCATTGCGGTGTGTGCTCTATGGATAGATATTGATGTGTCCGTCTATAATAAGCTCCCTGATGGCCCTGTTCCTGGAAGACCCGACTAAGAGAATAGAGTTACAACTAATGATATAATTATCGATTAGCTATAGAAAGATAGCTTTATTCATGCATCTTCATAGGCTATTAGGTTGAAAACTATCTACAGAGAAGACGACGTTTCCGAAGGCAAGCAGGCAAAAAGAAACAGAAGAAAGCAAAAACAAAAAACAAGAGCAATCAACAACTGCTAACCTCCCGGTAATCATAACTCATCAATCGCAGTCCAGCGAAGCTCACCACACGACACGACCTAGAAATCACCCCCAAAGTCATCGCCACCGAAATCCCCTCCACCAAAATCACCACCACCAAAATCACCCGGAGGCGGACCATCAAAATCATGTCCGAGATCCTCAACAGCATCCGCCAACAATAAGCCACCCAGCAAACCACCCCCAACACCTAACGCCGCAGCCCCCGCAGTTCCCATGCCATTATGTCGCCGCTGCGGCGCCTGCTGCTGTGGATAATAGCCACCCTGTGCCGGATACGAAGGATAACCATACCCCGCCTGCTGTGGAGGATACCCACCGTATCCGGCCTGAGGATACCCATAGGCTGCTTGCTGCGGTGGCCGACTGTAACTCGCACCACCACCACCATTGCTGCTGCTACCGCCAGAGTGTCTTCCCATTAACTTGCCCAAAAAGCCCCTGCTCCGCTCCTGTTTGGGTGCGGGTGATGTTGATGGTCCCTGGGGGGACTGCACGCGGGAGTTCTCAGCATAGTAATCGGACGCAGCTCCAGATTGTGCCTGTGCTGGTGGTACCGGACTTCTGCGACGAGCTCGGGCTTCTTCTTCAGCCTGTAACTGAGCAGCTAAGCGGGCATCGCTCTCTAACGTAGAATCCGGTTGGCTATTGTACGGATTTCTTGAGCCCAGCGGTTTCTTGTCGCCGGCGGCCGCTGAAGCAGGTCGATCACCAGGACCTGAGGCATCGTATGACGGCGGTGGCCCGCTGGGTGGTCTCTGCGAGTCTTCCATGTAGGTTGGTCCTTCGGGACGCTCCCATTGCGATCTGCCGGTGCGTAGATCTACATAGAACCTTTATGGCAGGCGTTAGTTTCGGCTTACAGGCAAACACATGTATCCGCAACTTTTTGGGTGGGGGGGATGATGTCTCGGCGGAGACGTAAGTTAGGGGCTTACCATTGCTTATATCGGTCGTCGAATTGGGCTTTCCATCCTTCAGGGACTGAAGGAGGCGGGGGCCCGGAGGGAGGAGCAAATGACATCTGTGGTGGTTTGACGATCAAATATGCAGAGATGGGGTCTGGAAATGGGTCGGCTAAGGCTTGAGCGCTGCCAACACAGTTGAAGTAGCAAGTTTATAATGGCCAAAGAGTTGGAATTCGTGAGACATATATGTAGTGCCGACTAGAATCTAAGGTACGGATATCGAAGTAAAGCCACCCAGCAATGCCCCGTGGCGCTGCTCAGCCACGTGATGTAATTGGCCGGCACACCGTTGACATCATTCATCATGGAGGAATGACTTTCCTGCCGCAGGAAGCTGAGGGCCAGTGATAGGATCAGCGTTCTCCCAACCGATTTCGCCAGGCCCAGACTAAATACCGTCAACTTCTCGGATGTTTGCATCGATGGTGCCACTGGGCGGCCACCAGAAGTCTTCCTCGAGTTCCTCTTCTACTTCTTCTAGGGCCGTTTTGAATCCAGCGAAATGGATAACATTCGAGCCGGTCTTCCATTCCGTGTCAGTGTCCCCGACTAATTCAATGACCTCAGTATTCGGTGGCATAGAACCTGGTGGTGATACAACATGATGTAACCTGCGCTTGAATTCGTCGGGTACATCGCCAACGAGATTAACGGCATTTGTCCTGCCATATGCAAGAGGCTCTGCAAGCCCATCTCGTGTTCTTTTGTTCTGATAGCGCCGCTTGTTCCGAATATGTGCGAGCTTGATCTGCGCGTTAACATCCTGCTGGGACGCTGTATCTAACCCGATCCTGCATTCCGGGGGCGGACCTTCAAGTTGCCGTAGCTGCACCTCTTCCTTCAAGCGGGCTTGTGCAATCTCACACTCAGGGATGTTTTCTGGACGAGCCCAGGCTGCAAAGGGGCCATCATAGTATGGTCCTTGTCCAACTCCGAATATCGGGTGCCTGGTGAGCTTCCCGGACTCCAGGAGATCTGCACCTGCCTTAATACCTGACTCGGGGTTAGATACATGCCCATCAGGACGCATCTGCAATTGAGGCTGTAACGACGAAGGCTTGAACTCCATAGAAAGACCCCCATTGCTTGTAAAGGGGCCGGGTGATAAGAGATGGACGCCCCCAGCAGCATCGCCGACCAACAGATTGGACTTATCGTTGGAAAAGGCACCGCACATAATCTCCTCGTCAAATCTGGCCGTATCTTGGACGAGCACATCTTCCGGGGCTCTAAGAATATCCCATCTCTTTAAAACTCCGTCGGAGGACCCAGTGTAGAACTCGTCAATCCGATCACCCCATAGAGACAAACGGACACCAACATCGGCTTGCTCCCTGCTGATTGTTTCATCTATCTGATTTAGGGGCTCTCCGTGTTGGAGCTTGTGAAGAATTCGGTCTGGGCGTCGATGGTCCCAAACATAGGTAATTCCATCAGTGCAGCTGGCTGTCACGTAACTTGGGTTCATGGGGCAAATATGGGCGTCGTTGATATCTAGCGCCGGACACTCAAACTCCATGGTGCAGACTTTCGATGACAAGGGTTGATACATTCGGACTAGGGATCTGGTATCCTTGTAAGCCTTGTTGGCAGGGCCATGACCTATCGATGTTGCTGCTGCAAACATTGGCAAGGTGGGATGCCATTTAATGTCAAACATGTTCTGAGAGTTTGGGGAAAATTGCATAGGTGTTATTGATGCCTCGCCTATTCGCCAGCCTGCCAACAGACCTGTCTGCAGTGTACCGTCACCCTTTTCACACATCCCGGCAAGCAGAATATTTCCGGTTTCCTTAATGGTTCCCCATGCTAAAGAAGTAGGTACCAGCTCTCTGTCCTTTTTGGATCGCGCCCTAGGCAGCTCTAGGAGATTGTGAGTTGACTCTGCCAATGTCCAAAGCCCTATTGAGCGTGTGCCGGTTGCGAGCAAATTCCGTTCATAAAGGGAGCGAGCCATAACCTCCACCTTGGAGTCATGCTGAAGAGTTTTGCGGCACGATATATCTCGACCGGAAGCATTCCATATCTTCACTGTATTGTCGTAGCTAGCAGTAAAGAGTGCATCTTCCCACCACTCGACGGAAGTAACGCTCATCCAGAGACGGGGATCATGAAGAGTCCGGCTTGCTGCGGTCCTACCTGGGGGCCGAAGGACATAATGGTCTGGCATTTCCATCAAAATATTGTTGACAACATCACCAACAACTAGATTATTATTTCGGTTATATTGCATATTATGCTCGTCACATTGTGCTGTCGCGCCTGCGGCAAATTTCGTGCCATCAGGTGCCCAAGCCAGGACAATCACATCATTCGAGGCATCTCTCCAAGTTTTTGCAAGCCTAAAACCTTCGTTGATAGTGGAATGAAGCTGACGGTTTACACGATGCCCCAGCTCACGGCGCTGCAAGATTTTGTTCAACGACCCACTCATCTCTACGCATCCTGACCCCGATGCGGTAGCTTTTATAACACAAGGGTTGGATGGAAGGCAGCCTCTTCTTGCATCAGCAATAAATGAGTCTATATCAGTAGGTCCACGCCGTCTGAGCACCAGAGCGGAGGGTAGGACCCTGGACAACCCCCAAAGCTGATCTTCAGAAAAGAGCAATGGACTATGTTGAGAAGTGTCCTGGGCTAACCCCAAAATTTTCTTTACCAGGCGTCTGGCTTGTCGTTTTTGCTTGTCTTTTTGGTTAGGTGCCATCACTTCTAGAAGCCATTTATGGCTATCATCTATTCCCTCGATTCCCTGAGTGGATATGATCTGCGCAAGCTCACATACCCACCAAATCTTCTCAGAGCCCCTCTGTGAGATATCATAGATATGAGCAGCCTGGATAACCTGATCCGAAAGCGCGATTTCCATCTTCTCGTATTTCTGAAAGCCGTAGAACGAGAACAAGTCCAAGACAGCTGCCGTTTCGGTTCTGTCAAAGTCAACATGGAGAATCTTATCGGCCAGCGGCGGCTTGCTCAGATACTTCAAGGCGTACTCTGATGGGCTACGCACTGATGAGTAGCAAGCACGCTCCGATACAATCAAATCATCTAGAGTTGAGAACGACGACTTGAGAATCTGGACATGAGGTGCAGAATAGATGACATGGGCCTGCTCATTTCGATCATGAGAGCATGACGAAGTTTTTGGTTCAGCTGCAATGTTAGGAAACCGGGGCTGTCGGGATGTGGTAGGAGACGGCCTGGCAGAGCTTTCGCTGACTTCTTCATCGGAGCCGAACCCCAAGTAGTTGGTCTTATCGTAATAGTTGTTCGGGCCTGTCCTTGCACGCCTAGAGCGTCGGTTACTAGATATTCTATGTCCATCTCCAGGTGACGATGCAGTATTTTGCCTATCCTGCTGGGGAAAGTACAAGGGATCCGGTGTTTGCGGTGTGCTGGATGTCATGCGTTGCTCGCCAGTGATCACTGGTGATGATCTAGCTTCAACACGCGTCTTAGACGTCTTAGGCCGCCGGTCACGCTTTTTGACGCTTTTCTGAATATCCTCCCCAATACTGGAGCAATCTTCTGGGGCAAGGTTTTGATCACTGCGACTTCCAGCTGGAGGTCCTCGTATTTGGTGGGAGGGGCCTCTCATAAATTGCAAAAGGAGAAGCCGGGCTTCCTCATCAGATTCCTCTGGCGCGTGTATACGGGGCATTATGCGCAGATAACTTGTCTCCAACTAGGTATACCAAACCAAGACAACTGAGTTTGCGGGCACATGTCGATCAATGGATCTGTCAATGAGTGCCAGCACTGGAATTGAATCAGACTGGGAAGTATTTGGGATGAGGTATTTGCCGTAGCGCTAGCATGAGGGGTCAACAGTCAGCGGAGAGCCGGTGAATGGCTTATTCTAACACAAATGGGATTCTGACGGCCTGGCGGGGAACAAACACTATATGAGGGGAAGGACTAGAACTCTCCCCAGCATGATTACATAAGTCCAGCAGGGGCTCACACAGCTTCGAATAGTCATCACTCGTACAGACCTCACTTGGGCCTCACCTGAGCCTCACTTTTGAGGGTGGCAGTAGAAGAACATAGTAGAATATATCCTGCATGTCGATTGCGACGCGCGAACGCGCTGGATAAGTGCTCTATATTCTTGTAAAAGGCAGGCGGTCTGGCGGCAACGGATTAGGCGCGTTAGGGTCAGCCACGCAATCGAGCCGCGGTTCCGTATCGAGTAGATAGTAGCTTCATACCTAGTAAATGGCACAAAGTAGTAGAGTGTTCTAATGTTCTCTACCGATGCTACTAGCCGGAGCCTTTACACGGTCGACGGGACTAAACCCCAAGGGCTCAGGCCAAACTTCTTCTTTCACTGAATGATGAGCCTACAGCCACTACAGCGGGATGCCATGATCACGTATCCATCATCAACCGATCAATCTATTAGTGCGATCAAATAGGGATCAGGTCCGATCAGAAAGGCTTAGTACTGCATATATTGCAAAAACTAGACATCTCGATTCCTCAGATCGGCCAAAAAGAAAGAAGAAGAAGAAGAACGCTGTGCCGAAGCAAATAAGAGTACATTTGGGTACGGAGCATATCCAAATCATTGACAAAAAAGCGGTGGTCTGGCTCAAGGCACACGGTGATGGAAATCAGTAAGTATAAATCTCTGGTTCAAAGTCATACTGATTCTTTGGCAATGGTGCTAGATGAGTTTCTTCTCCAGTTTTTACTTGGAAATTGCTCGGTTCCTCTTCCGTAGAGAGACCATAAGGTCATAAAGAACATCCTTGAATGCAAACAAGAACGCTGCAGTAATGGCGCTCTGTGTGACCTTCGGCCCAATGCCTGTCATGTGATGTTAGCTGAAGTTTGCATGGATCCCCAATTGTCAATACTTTACCTCTGTACAGACCCACAAAACCCTCTTCTTTAACAATTCTCTTCAAACTCCCGTTCAAACTTTCTTTAGGACCATCTTTACTGGCAACATGCATGCGGCTCTTCACTGTGATATAAGGATAGGTAATCGAAGTTGCCAGTATCTTACCAAGAGCCCCAAGATAGAACGCATCCTTTGGCGTCATACGTCTACGACGCTCCAGAATATTCTTCAGCTGTTCAAAGATTGTGTACTGTAGGATCGGGTTGATAACCAATATAAGAGCCGGAAGAACACCAGCAAAGAGGGCCTTGGGCCCCTCCTGCCGGAGCAAGTCCATCAATGTACTGATTGTGGATGCCCGCGACTTCTTGGAGGGAGCCCCTGGCAATGTTTCTTGCTCCGACTCGGACTTGCGGGCTGTCATTCTAGTGTTTACAACCCATATTGGGTTTGTGATGAGGACTGTCGCACTCCCAGCGATGGCCCCCGCGATCATTGACTCCGACGTTGTGAGCTTCTTTGAGGACCGCCCAGCCCGCGCAGCCGCCTTTTCGAAAGCCGAGCGCGTCCATTCGTACCAGTAGTAGTAGACGAAGTTCGTGACACTGATGCCAAAAAGCGCAGATTCAAGGCCGGAATAGAGCCCCGAAACCCCCTCTCGTTGAATGATGCGGCGTATAGCGTCGTACGTCGTGGAATGGGCACGCTTGGACTCGACTTGCGCTCTCGTTGAGAGGGTTATCAGCGGGTAACTACAACATATGGGATGTCAACGTTGATTTCATTAACGGGAGGTGTTGCCGCACGTCAAGAGCATCGACAGAATACCGCCTCCAGCGCCCGCCAATGCATGTGCCATGTTGTCACTTTGCTGGACTGCAGCGGATACCGCAACCGCCTTCTTTTGCCCTTCGATATTAGATTGAGACATGATTGATAGCGCGGTGGTTCTCTTTTCCTAGCGGGAATAGGTGCGTCAAGAAAGCCGGCCGATATTGTACTATGACGGTGCACGTAAATCGGTACCTCGGATCCTTATAGATGCGATACGAATTGCTTTGACAAGTGAGTATGAACAAGACGGTAAGTGGAACTAGCGACAATTCAATAAATTTGCCCGAGAGGGTCGCAAGGAATGACTGCAGAAAAGGAAGAAAGGGGTAGATATGTAGGCCTTGAGACGAATGGAGTAGGGACTGTTTCGATGTCGGGTGCGAGAAAGACTCGGCTCTGGATTGGGGGTGATGGTTTACATGACGTTTGCCGAAGCCTGTGCCTCGGCTGATGGGAGACCCTCATCAGCTGATCGGATCAACGCTCATGCCATATGAAATTTAGCTGAATTATTGGGGATGCTCCGTCCTCCTGGGTCAATTATTGGGGAGAAAAAAACAATATAAACTAAGGGACTGATGTTTACCGGTAAATGGCAGATCCGCTTCACGTGTTTCATCTACCCTTGTAATACTCATCCTCCACATTTCAATCGAACTCTTTGATACAATAGCAAGTATCTAGAATAAGAGTCCTTTGCTTTCCAGATCAAGCGGATCGTATTAGTATCTACTATTCTAACAATAACTAGATATAGGTCTAGAGCCCAGTCACAGTTGAAGAGTGAGAGGGACTACCTAGGCATGAAGGCATCAGAAACTGCTAGGGAAGGCATGTATGGCATGTGACATTCCTGCGCAGAGTACATTTGGTCTATTAAATCCTCGCACAAAACAACCTATTCGCGACAAACGAACCTTGTTCACTTGTTACCTACCAAAATTCGACATATGAATTAGCTAGAGCAAGACAATGTGTCCTAGATAAATGAAAGTGTAAATCCGACACAGTTGCCATTAGTCAAGGATAAGAAGCGTTAGCAAGTACTCTACATATCCTACAACTTTTTTTCCACCATAACGGTAAAGTCCGAGTAAATGAAGCGGGAAAGCGAGTAAGCTCTGATTTTGATTTGCCAGATAACCATATTCACTAAGTATCATCAACTTCTGCATTAATTGACCCAGACATAATCACGCAACGGATCCAACTAAAGAAAACTCAACGAACCAGATAGAAAATGCTTCGAGTTAGGGAAAGGCCACGAGCAAGACAATAGTGACAGGAAAAGATAGGGAGGGGATGATAGATGACCGAGAGGAGGAAAGGGAAAACCTGACACAAAATTATCCATAGTGCACCATGTATAAGACGAAACGAAAGCCTTCTAAAGCATAAAAAAGAAAACTACTCCCGGTGACCATTACCAGCATAGAACATTTGAGATAATGCTGGCATTCGAGAAAGACTGCCCGGCAGCAGGGTGCAGCAGGTAGCCTCCCTCATCGCTCCTCTTCTTTAATCACCAAATTTTCACACAGTCTCAATATGGCGTAATGCAACGCGGGATTAGGATCATCAATAGTCTAGCAGCAGCCGCCCGCGGAGCCGGATTGAACGCCCTGGCCTTGGCCAACCTGCACAGTTGGCTTGTTGTTGACAGTCGCAGTGCCCATGCGTTCCTTGATCTGCCTCGCCATTGTCAAAAAAGCCTGCTCGACATTCGAAGCGTTCTTCGCCGAGGTTTCCAAGAACGGGATCCCAAGGCTGTCGGCGAATTCCTAAACCAACAACACATTGCGTCAATCACCCACTCTGCCAGAAATAAAGAGTCCCACACCAAGGTCTGGCCACATACCTTAGCCACTGTGTATTCCACGACCTTTTTGTCTTCCATATCGCTCTTGTTTCCGACAAGGAGCTTATTGACACCTTCAGTGGCGTAGCGATCAATCTCTTGAAGCCACTGCTTCACATTGTTGAAAGAGTCCATGTCGGTAACATCGTAGACGACACAGATGCCATGGGCACCACGGTAGTAAGACGACGTGATTGTCCGGAAACGTTCCTGGCCTGCAGTATCCCACTAGAGCGCCCGTTAGTTAAGCCAGGTGAGCGACTGTTGTGAACGGGGCTGCCTTACGATCTGGAGTTTCACCGTCTTTCCATCCAGCTCGATGGTACGAATTTTCTGTATTGGAACGTTAGATGTGGATCTATGACGCAGTTCACTGCTAGCAGCTGTGATGAATAATGAGAGGCCAGATACGTACGAAGTCAACTCCGATGGTGGAGATGTAGCTCTCCGTATAGGTATCGTCGGCAAAACGTAGGAGCAAGCACGACTTTCCGACACCAGAGTCTCCGATGAGGAGCAACTTGAAAAGATAATCGTATCTAGCCAAATCATTAGCATATGGATCGATACGCACACAGAGGGCCGCGCCGGCCAAGTAAAGCATGGGGGAGACGGAGGATCGTGGAGGCTCTAATAGCGATTCAAATTAGCACGAAAAACAAGAAACAAGAAATTTGTGGATGAAAAGACGTAGTGCCATCATGGCAAGGGGGGAGAATCGCCAGAACCTGATGAGCTGTAGGCCAAATACAGACGATCAAGGGCACTTACCACTCGGGGTTCATGATGGAGCACTTGGACGGCACGTCAACGTAGGCGAAATTAAGAGAGTTGTTTGATGAAAAGGTGGAGAGCTGAAGTTACAGGACAAAGGTATTAGGCGTGGCAACAAGCCGATGTAGTAAACGATACTTGAGTGTCTACTTAATGAGATGACCGAGCGGTCTCTTGAAATGGCGGTTGCGTTGCTGACTGCAGGAGAGCAGGCGAGCCCAACGTGCAGGTTCCAATAATGGCGCTAGTCTGTCTCCTGCCTAGTGTGGACCTCCTGGGTGGGAATGACCGTTTCACGCTCGCCCGCCCCAGACCCATGACCCAAGTCAGTCTAATGCACCAATCAGAGACACTAACAGCCACATGCAAATGCAAATAAATAGATACTACTAGGGACGGGCCTATCTAGTAGATAGTACTCAGTCCTACTGGGTTGTACAATGTGCATTCCGGTTTTAACAGGTCTAGGTGACTGGGTACCACCCCTTTCCTCTAGGTAACATATCTGTGGTTTTCCCGGAAAGAACGATGCAAACTGGTACTCATGTCGACTAGCTATATAGTACCAAGTAGTGCCGGCCCTCTCCCGTCACATGTGCAAGCCAGAGAAGCACCGGAACACCAAGTGTTTCACCTTCGCCTCTCTAGACGAAAGACATTCCGTCATGCATCAAGACGACTACAAGTCAGATGTTTAGCTTTTATGAAGCTCTAGTACTCAGATGATTCACAAATGGCAGGTATCTTGATCACAAGGCACCATATTCACCTATTGGAACACACAACTGTCAAAAACATTTGCCTTCGCCCAAGAGGATCAAGCGTAGCCATGGCCCCGAAGCCACTCTAAGACCTGCTTCTCATCTCTTTCCTTGTAGCGTGCATTCGTTCGGATGCTATCAGCAACGATTACCAGGGCGCGATCGTACGCACCAGTGTCCTTCTCCCGGAAAAACGAAGCAATATCGGCTGCGATATCGTGGTTCGCGAATTTGGACAGTCCCATACGCACAAACCGCTCGAAAACGACATTGTTCGCTGACAAGCGAGTTTCAACGGCCGCCCAATTCTCTTTCATATAATCCCATAGAAGGTGGCGAGTCGAGGGATTCGTAGCCATTGAAGCCGCGCCATTGTGAATATCCTGGATGGCAACCTTGTCTGAGAAAACAAAATCTAAGTAATCCTTTACCAGCTCAGCATCTTTAGTACGTCCAAGAGCTCCTAAGCAAATCTCCTTGCCGTCAACGGAGTCGGTCTTGAGATACTCTTGCTTTACAGCATTGTATTCTTCACGACCGCCCTCTGAAATCACGATACTAAAGATCACTGAGCGGAGGTTGGTATGCACAGCATCCTTATCGCTGCCTGATTTCCAAAGCTCAAATCGTCGTTCGGCCTCGGATATTATGCTAGCAAAAAGTTAGATTTGCAAGAAAAGCGTACAACATCTCCTAATAGACCCACTCGTTGTGGCCCGCACGGCCAGCCATTCCGATTAGAAGCTTACGGAGCTGGATAGTGAGATAGTCATCCTCCGAGCTAAATTCCCAGCCGATTTTGTTAGCAGCAGGGGATGAAAGCTCGAGGGCAAACTTCTTGAGTCCTGCTGCTACCGACTCATTCAGGGCGAACACAGAGCGTAAGTTCGCAATAGTGGAAGAGATTTGGGACCAGACCCTATGCAAGTCGTTAAGAACCAACCATGAAGCATAAGGATTGTTGAAACCCGAGAACGAATGAAGGACATCATAATTAGTTACTCACAAATAATTCTTCTCGCCCTTGAAACCCTCTAAGAGAGCCAATAGAGCAGCAGTGGATCCGTCGCCAGAAACAGCTAGGGCAGCGGCATCGCCAATCAATCCAATCTTATCCTCGGTGCTCAGCAGTTCCAGAGACTGAGCGAGTTTCGCCAGCCGATCAGCAGGGTAATTGGTTCGGTAAAAGCCAGACAGGTCTTTGTTCAGCTTGTAATAGGAATCTTGTCCGAGCCCCCAAATTGTATCTTCCTTGGAAACAAGAGCACCGGGTTTTACGTCGGCCATCTTAGGTCCTGATTTTACACCAAGGGGAATCCACCAGGCCGTCTCATCTTCCTCGGGCTTAACATCACCCGTCGACAAGAAGCGGCTTTGACGAACACTGAGTTGGCCGGCTTGCTCGGTTACGGTGACAACAGGGAAGCCAATCTTGCGAATCCAGGGATCCTTCGTAATGAAGTCAGAATAGTAGTCCAGTCTGTACAACGAGATAACTCACCATAAAGCTAGTAACATCCTGATTAGACGCTTTGCTGAGAGCGCTCCAAAGATCATTAGTGGTGGCATTACCTGAAGTTGTCAGTAATTAGCAAGCCCGATTCCCTATACGTCTTCGATGTGTACTTGCCATATGCATGAGCTTTGAGATATGCGGCTACTCCACGCAGGAATGTTTCCCGGCCAAGATGATCACTTAGCATCCGAATGACCGAGCTTCCTTTGAGGTAGCTGATATGATCAAAAATTTGATCGACTTCGAGAGCGTTCCTCACGGGCACCTCGATCGGGTGGGAAGCTCGCAGTGAATCGAGTTGAAATGCTTGTTGGACACTCTCAGCCTATGCAAAAGTCAATATTCTGCCACACAGGACTGCATTTACCTCGAGAATTGCGTACGACAAACTGAGACCAGATGTTCCATTCTATTTGCAAGAAAATCGTCAGCTTTTCTGGTTCTGTAAGCGCCTGGGGCCATCGGATACCTGGATAGAAATGATCCACAGCAAGCCAGCCAACCCATGTTGCAAAGCCCTCATTGAGCCACAACTCATTCCACCAATCCATCGTTACGAGGTTTCCAAACCATTGGTGCGCCAATTCTAGATTACACCCGTTAAGAAGGAACAAGGCCGCTCAGATTGGAAGGGACGACAAACCATGCGCGACGACATATGCAATACGATTCTTGTATCTGGTGTCTGACTTGCCCTCATCGAAAAGAACAGCAGTCGTTCGGTAGGTAACAAGCCCCCAGTTCTCCATGGCACCCATAGCCTAGATTATTTGCGGTTAGCATATTCGCTTCGTGTGCAACAGGATCAATTTCCGTACAAATTCATGGACAGCAAGGAGATCCGCCTTAGGCAACGGATACTCGATCTCAAAGATTTCAGAGAAGTAATCGACTGTACGATGGGCACATTCCAAAGCAAAGCGAGCCTGCTCCTTGAGGCCCTTGGTCGTATACACGCGAACAGGTATGCTCTTGCCTTGGTATTTGCGTTGAGTCATTGCCTCAACATATTCAAAGTCACCGACTGCCCATGCCAGAAGCTGAACGGAGGATCTCCAAAGTTAGCGCCGAGGATCATAAGCAAGTAATCGTGCATACTGACGTAAGTACTCATAACAGGTGTAGTTTCAAAAGAGACCAACTTGAGCTCTGGCCTGCTGCCGCTCCTCTCAGACTTGATAGGCATGTTGCTAAGGGCTGTTTGACCTCGGGGAACCTCGATCTCGAAGTCGAATGTGGCCTTCAAATTCGGTTCATCAAAGCAAGGGAAGGCCCTACGAGCATCACAAGATTCGAATTGGGTACTAAGCATGTAATAGGAATCTCCGTCCTTGGGAGTATCGTCGGTCGGATCCACCACCGGCTTGTACTTGGAGCGGGAAAATCCAGCCATGGCATTGTTCATTATACCGGTGAAATTGATTGACAGGACAACATCTGCGGGGAGTATTTCTTCTGCAAAGGTAAAGGTGACTCTTTCCGATTTGGTGTCGTAAGCGATATTAGATGCCTTTGCCAGCTTGGTCCCTAAGTGCAACCAATTTGTCAAACTCAACATTCGATCATGGATTACAAATGGATCAGGAGAAATTGGAGTGTGGCTCTGTCACTAACCGTCATTTCCAAAAACTTCGGCATCCTGGACTTCGATTTCCTTCGAGTTCAACACGATCTCTTTTGTGGGACGGTTGACCTTGGAATCGATTTTGACGGTACCCTTATAACCCCATGAGCCACCGAACTGAAGGTCAAACAAAGACACATTGTAATGAACAGGCTTGACCCTGCCAGCGATTGTTAGAGAAACACCAACAGATGGGTGCACGATACTCAGCTGTTGGCGATCGGTAACTTACACGTCCGGGAGGATATCTCTGTCCTTAGATGCCATTGCGCGGATTTCAGATGAACAGTGCCTTACAGAAACGGGTGACAATACAGCAGGTTTGACCCTACGGGTAGACTGTAGGTATGTCGAGTAGGGCAATCCGGAAAGGGAGCGGGAGCGTGACGAAGAGATGAAGGAGGGGCAGAAAGAAGTGCTGGTGGAGGAGGAGGAGGAGGAGGGGCAGAGGTGGGAAGCTGGTCGGACCGGACGATAAATTGGAGATTGACCACGGACTGCATGAGCATTCATACCACCACGTCGGGTTGACGCGATGCATCTTCTTCCCCACATTTTTTAGGACGGAGCCAAGTCTGCCTACCTACGGTTACTCTCGGAGCAGCTCATTAGTTATTGTAGTACACCGTCGTAGCAATACGAAGTGTAGCTGATTAATCTTCAGGTTACGAAGCAGACTTTCTTTGACCACAAGGGAGCTCAGAGTAGATAAAAGGGTAGGTATCCAAAAAAAAAAAAAAAAAAAAAAAAAGACCTAGACAGGAAGGTTAGTATTATAGAATTGAGAGAAGTGAGATAGTAGTAAGGAATGCGAGGATGAATTGATAAGGAAATAAAGAGAAAAGGGAAGAGAATAGCAACTGCTAGATAGGCCTTTGGTTCATGAGGAATCGAAGGTAGGGAACGGAGCTCCGGCGGAGCTCGGACCCTCCCTGCTGGAACCGAATCCAACAATGTGGATACATGCCTAGATAGACCTTTCCATTCTAACTTTCATGACACCCGACGCACTCTTGGGTTGACGCACTCGCTTCCTTTTAGTGCAAGCATGGTCGATTCCGATGAAGAGTACATAGGAGAAATCTCTGAGGATGAGGATGAAAACAATCTTCTACCAGGGTCTCGCGGAGAGACTACGTCCGCATCCCGCTCCAAGAGGAGAAAGCACCGTGGAGGCGCAGAATGGGAGGTCTCGAGAACATGGGAAACCTTAGTTGAAGGTGCCGACGGTACAATCAGCTCTACAGTTGAAGGGCTTCTCGAGGCTGGGAAAAGGAAAAGGTAGGGTGTACTTTCAAGCCGAGTTAGTCTCAGTTTTGATAACGGTTCGAGCTGAGTTCCATGTCTTCGCGCTTGCAGGCTCCTCAGAGATACGACTCCTTTACAACGGGGTATAATCCGTCATCTCATCTTGATTATAGATCTGTCACAATCTATGACCGAGAAAGATCTCCGACCGACACGTTACTTATTGTCCTTACGGTATGCACAAGAGTTCGTGAGGGAATTTTTCGAGCAAAATCCCATCTCTCAACTCGGCGTTCTTGGCCTCAAAGATGGACTGGCGGTCAGAGTCAGTGATATGAGTGGAAACCCTACTGAGCATATTAGTGCCATCCAATCACTGCGAGACCAGGATCCGAAAGGTCTTCCTAGTCTGCAAAATGGCTTCGAAATGGCTCGTGGTGCCTTGTTGTATGTCTTTTCCACGGTAGCGTCGTACACACTCAATGATAAGGTGGACTAATTTGTCTTGCAACAGCCATACTCCAAGCCATGGCACCCGTGAGATCTTCGTCATTTTTGGCTCCCTCCTTTCCTCTGATCCCGGTGATATTCACCAAACAATTACTACGCTTATAAATGATAAAATACGTGTTGGAATCGTGGGCCTTGCTGCTCAAGTGGCAATCTGTCGCGAAATTTGTGGCAAGACTAACGGGGGCGACGATACCACATACGGTGTAGCACTCAATGAACAACATTTCCGTGACCTTGTGATGAATGTGACAACACCACCAGCCACATACTCTCAGAAGCAGTCCACAAGCTCTCTCTTGATGATGGGTTTTCCATCACGAACCGTTGAGGCTTACCCTTCACTTTGTGCATGCCATTCCAAGCCTTCTCGTGGGGGCTATCTGTGCTCACGGTGCAACAGCAAGGTTTGTGGTCTCCCTGCCGAGTGTCCTTCCTGTGGTCTTACTTTGATTCTTTCAACCCATCTTGCTCGGTCGTATCACCATCTGTTTCCCCTTATGAACTGGGTGGAAGTTTCGTGGCAACACGCTTCACGCAGTAGTGTCTGTTTCGCTTGTGGGATATCCTTTCCATCAGTACCACCCAAGGAGCAGTGGCATACTACAGAGGGACAAACAAAGGGAATAAGCGTAAGCAGCCGCTATGAATGTACTGTTTGCAGAAACCATTTTTGCATTGACTGTGACCTTTTCGCTCATGAGGTTGTGCACAACTGCCCTGGCTGCCAAAGCAAGATGATAGTTGCCACGAGTTCTGAGCCCTCTCAGGACCACGAAGCTCTAGACAGGATGGATACCTCTGCATGATCATATGGTTGATTCGAATAAAATATCAATATAATGACCACGGGGCTTACTTCTCGACCGGTTGGATAGATGCCCCCGCCATCGCTCTCGCTAGCGCGACGAGTTTGTTATCAATCAAGCTGTCAAACTAACCAACAGTCCAACACAGTGACATAGGGCCCGAGGCGGACTATATATGCTCTAATTATTATCAGTCGAGATGTCGGTGCGAATAAGGCCATCAAATTCTGTAGAGTATGTCTATGCCACCTAACTAGAAAGGATATCTTCTGGAATATGTTAAGCATGATGGAACGGTTCTTCGACATGGTGGAGTTGCGACCACGAAATAGCAAATATGACAATTTACAGATTATTCCAGACGCTCCAATCCATCGCTTCCGACTCCTCCCAATTGATTGACAAGGAGCTATGATAGAAAAATATTGTCAAACGGAGTAGTTATTGCTGGATAGGAAAGATCATCCATGCTGCTAACCCCGATAGGTCCGAGTTTTAGCGGGAACCCCGCCAAAGGACCCCAGTGTACGTCACAGCCTACCTAGTAAAGCTATCTAAACTATTTCCTAATCTTCAATCTGCATGGACCTCGGTTAATCTTGGTCCCGGGCGCCCTTATAACGGACTCCCCCGTTGGCATCATTCACGAGGAAGTTGAGCAGCAGAGAAACAGCAACAGATTGCACAGTAGAAGCAGTCACTCTGTTCGAGACACCGGGAGAATTCTCGCCTTCGTTTCGAGTGCCAGAGGCCGCGCAACATATTCCTGAACCTGCATGACCCCTCGAATAAGCCCACTAGGTAGTTTGAGAGCCTGGAGCAGTCTGTCACAGGATGTCAGAGCTACAGTCCTCAGATATCGAGCTATTTGAAAGGTTGAGCTCATATCCCTTCGGTTCGGATCGTGAGTTTGCAGTTGGGCTCTCCATCATACTAGGCCATCCGGAATCACCTGCATCGGAAGAGGAAATCAATCGCAGTGATGACCTTACACTACAAGCTAAATGCTTCTACTTCTCAAGGTATACATAAATTCTGTATCCACCTGCGACCCCCGGTATCATAGCATATGCATACGCCATTTCATGATAATATACAAGTACGTGGTGCTGATTTCTGTTATCGTGCCTTGTTGTTCTCAGGAAAGAAAAGCTCACGCCACCACTCGATTTCTCGACCTACAAAGCTTGGTTGGAATCAGCATCAACATCTAAGTCAGCCGACCTTTCATCACCAGGCCCTACAGTGGACGTTCCAAAGTCTCAAGAGGAGCCTACATATCCTTCATCCTTCGCTCATATAGTCGAACTCATCACGACCGGTCAACCAATCCCTGGAATCCAACAAATTCCAGACACCGTCTTGACAGGCCATGACAAACCGAGCGAGAAGCCAGAAAGGCGGAAACCATGGGAGAAAGGGATAGCTAGCAAATGACGGGATTTAAGTGCTCAGCGATAAATCCATGGGCTGCAACTGTCCGGGACCTGAAAATCTACATTGCCAATGGGTGGCTTCTGATGAAGTCCAGAGTTATGGTCAGCATGCAAATATCATTATTTCTGCAAATCGCAGGGTTGTGAAGGATAACAAGCTTCGGACAAATGAGCGGCTGGTATGATACATCAGTTCATAATAAAAATATCATCCCGACGACTAGTAGGTGAATTAGAAGTGTTCGTTCTCGTAAACCAATCTCCTGACCTGCACTAGAATCTCCAGCAACTTCATAGGAACTGTAGTTTTTGAGTCCGTTTTTGATACGTTTTTCGCTTGCTCGAATTTCCCCCCTCACGTTCTTCTGTCCTCATCTTCCTTTCCTCTCAATGCACCTGTAAAAGAAGAGGAGTCGCCATGAGGGCGTAAGTCGTTTAGCTCCTGCACAATGACTAGAATGGCGTGTATGAAGAAATATGTCAGACAACTTCACGTTGTCGAAACACGCTTCGAGATCCCAGATCCTGGTATATGGGGTGCTCGGTGCCTACCCTGGTCGAATTGAAAACGATACCTTTTGTGAATAAACAAGCATATGGCTAGAAAACGAAGTGTAAAAGTACATCCTCGAAAACCTTCAGCGAAACGGTGGATAGTTGGGATTCCACTGGTTTCCTCGGCTGAAACGGCCTCCATGCTGTCCAGCAATCGGGAATCTGTCCTCATTAAAATTACCGTAGCGACTGACTGGCATCCCAGAACCTGGTCCTGGGCGAGTTGTATGGGAGGGATTGCAGCAGAGCATAGCCACACGTGAACCAAACTTGGAACCCCGCAGAGATACCATATGTTTCCTTCGTAGATACGAGGTTAGGCCTGTGCAATGCCATAATGAAGGGAAGACTGTACCGAATATGGCTGGCAACCAGCTCACGCTGATGTGGTGCAGCATTCATCAAGATCCATTGGATTAGATAATTTCCATACTGATCCCCAGCAACTACTTCATGTCAGAAACCTTCCGTTTAGGCTAAGAAGGGTATACGCATCAGACTTACTGTCAATCAGAGGCATTCTCGGACGGTCAGTTCGGCCGGTGCAGACTCGAGCAAGGTAGCGGTCCAGAAACTCTGTACCCCCTATTTTCAAACATTTCTCTACAATCTTGGAGGCAAACTGATCCATGCTATAATCCACAGACCAAATGACAATGTGCTCTATTGCACGAGTTTTATCCTGAGGAGCACCATGCTCACAGATATGTTGGATACACCAGTTTCCGAATTGACCGTGTGCAAGCATATCAATCTTTGCTAGCACTTCTTCAATCGCTGGACGCTGTAGACTTTGTCAGCACATTTCCTCATGCAATTCATTAAAGCCTCAAGTAGAATATGCCAGATATTCAGGGATCCAATTCCTGGGAGGTGTAACAATCGAGAGGACGATAGGACTAGAGGGATGATTTGTTGAATAGGAATGACCGTGGTAGGAATTGACGTATAAGAAAACCAAGTACCTTCTCATCCTCAACGCAATTTTCGAAGATATTCTGGACTACCAAGCTTCCTGTCTCACCTAAGGCGACTTCATGCCACATGCCACGCAGTGCTTCGTTTACTTTGGTCATTATCTGGGGTGGCTCCCCACTCCAACGTAATTCGAAGAGTTTTTGCCAGACATGGCAGGCATACCGGTGAATGACAGTTTCTGGGATTCTGCGTAGAAGCTCATGAACCATTATTGCCTTATGTTCTTCGGGAACACAATCAAAGGCTTTCTGTATGACGTGACAGCCAAACGGATCCATACTGAGGCTTAAAGTATTTCCCTTGATCGCATTGGCGATTGACACGACTTGCTCTGGGGTTCCGTGTTCGAAACATCGTTGCACTAGAAAGTTGCCAAAACGATTGACCATCAGGGGATAGGCTTGGTGTACTATGGCCTCTATAATATCATATTTCTGCTCTGTGGTCCCTACTTTCAACTTCTGTTGCAGGAATATTGACGCTTGTTGATCATTGTTGCAAACGATCTTGTCAACGATATATCTCCAATCACAAGAAACATTCCTGTCAAGGAGCCGGCGGTAGTTGATTGGTTCGAGGGGCGAGATGTATGTTTGGTGGGTACTACCTCCCACCTGGCAACATAAGCCTGGTACTTTAACAAGTTCATTCGAGCTCCTACTCACCACGGAAGTTGGCCACTGCGTCGCACTAGCGTTGGAAGCAGTGAACTCAGTCGCCGTGGGTGAAAGTGGTGTCCCAACAGGTCGCTGATGATATTGAGGGATGGGGAATAGACCGACATGTTGGTATGTGTTTTTGGATCTATTCACAGGGGACCTCGGACCATGGGATTCAGAAGAGCTGGGACTAAATGCACTCCAAGCAGAGCTTTGTGTTTGAAAAAATGGTCCAGTGCGGCTGGCTTGAGTGATTGAACGGCGTGGCGCAAGCCCGGGTTCTTCGAGGAATCTCACCTGTTCTTCAGGAACTTTTGTGTCGAAGGCGTAAACCCCACTTGATGGCCCTGATAACACACGATGGGATCGAAAAGCGTCGTGTCCAGCTACGCTGGGATTCGTGCTCGAGTTACCCCAAAATCGATTCGCATCTCCCCCGAGTGAGCTACCACTTGGAAAAGACATAGGCTCGCCATATGATCTTTCAGCAATGGGGGCACTAAGAGCCGTACTACACGCTTGCTGCGTGGGAGGATTCCAGTACCCCCGAGCTCTATTGTATGCTCCGGCGGAGAGTGCATCGGACATATCTGATTGCGAATCATCCTGAGCATTCCACTCAGCTTGCAACTGACTATATGTTGGGTTGGATGAATTAAGGGCGCTCTGGAGAGTACTTATCGTTTGTTCTGTGACTTCTCCATTGAAGTCGGTTTCAGAGGGTGGCCCAAGTGCCTGGTCCAAGGTATGTTTAATCACGCGTGTCTGGGCCAGTTCCTGCTCCTGGAGGGCAATCTTAGAATTAGCGACAAGCAATTCTTGCTTTAAACGTAGTACCTCGCACATATCGACCGATACGGTGTCTGTTTTTCCAACATCTACCGAGTGCGGTACACCCCTAGGTCGCTGAATACTTGAGGCTGTAATCAGCCCTGAATCATCTCCTGAAAGAATCCTGTGGTGGGGAAACGTGTGAGTGTGTGTTCTGAGCAAATCCTGCCTGTCCGGTAATGTTGCAACGATCTCTTGATCTGCAGGATACTTCAGAGTAGTCGACTGCGGCTTAGGCGAGAGCTTTGCTAGGAGTTTTTCCATCTCGGAGTGCCCAGAAGAAGTGAAATTGCTTAGATGTTCCAGCTTCTGCTTCTAGGATTGTGAGTGACTTGACTTCCTTGAGAGTTCCAGCATATCTGACCTTGTTCGACAGGGGGTTTTTCTTGTCACTTCCAGAGACCTGACGATCTCCAATTTTGGAGGATACTGTACAATCTGAAGGGCTGTTCGAAACATTCGAATGCTTAAGGCCCTAGAAATTTGTCAAGGCTATTTAGACAACATGTCTCGGGTTGTTCTAAGATGTATTCATTCAATTACTTACTGATGATTCACATTCAGCATATAGCGTGGGTGTTGTAGCACTCGTGCCACTATCAATAATACCATCTTCACATTGCTTGCATCCCGGTTTGATGGGGGCATCAGAGTGCGAAGACATTTTTGGATAGTAAGTTGAGAGCACTGCCACAAAAGTTACGGTTTGCAAGCGTCGGCAACACAAAGCTTTGCAGGACAATAGTCGAAAGCACACTGGTGAGCGAATAATGCGACCTGTACGCAATCCAAATCCTCCGCAAGTAATTGAAGGCTGAATATGAAGCGGATAGCTAACAAATGACTGTAAGTGGGGAGGTACGTTCAACTGTTTGCGGGATAATTCAGAAGGCAAATAGTAGTAAATACAAGGAAATCAAGATCCAAATCCCGAATAAACGCATTATAAGGCCTGCATCAAGGAGTTGCAATCAAGGAAAGAGCGACGAGGACCCCATTGCGGGTGTAGCAAGGATGATAGAAATTTGGGAACTGGAAGCCCTGGGCGAGATTTTATCTCCGAGGCACCGTTTGGTGCATTTATCTTCTACTTCTGGCAAATTTATCATGAAATATAGGTTTGCTAGAAACAGTGACTGCCTTAAATGGTTCACACAAGATAATGTTTGAAAGGAAATCAAGCAACAACTTTTGTCTTGGTTTAGGCTCTGTGACTAATGCTATGGCTAAAGATTGCTTTGGTAATTTGTGTCATTGGACAAAGACAAGCGAGATTGACATTGGTAATGATCCTGGTCCACGGCTATAGTAGGCCGCAAATTCCCAAAATATGCAGTAGTGAAGGTTGCTTAGAAAGAAAAGAGAAGAAAACGTGTACTGGTCGTGATATGAGCGGCTGTCCATGGCTAGCGAGGAGACCAAAATCAAGTGTTTCAGACCCCTTTATTTCTTTAAATGTCCAAGGCTAGTGGAACATTGCATCCAGGTTCTGTGGTCCAATAGCAACGTATCGCTTTTTTCGTTTATGTTGGAACTATTGGGAACCAGGACATACCCGGTACGCTACTTGACTGTTTTAAGACACCTACTATCCAGCTCAATAATGAGTCTATTATCTATTGCCTTAGCAGTAACCGTATATATGTTTATTCTCTTACCAAAGTTGTTGGTTTTATAGATGATAACAGCATAGAGCGTTGATAGGATTCGAACAATCTCATACTAACCAAGATTGACATTGATAGCTAGATACTTACTCTGCTATGTAAGAGCAAATTATAATTATATGGAGCGAAAATGTGTTATCTCAGTACCACTCATCTTTCAAGTTAGAGAACTACTACTGAGAGGGAACGAGCATATATAATGGTGTGAAGCTACTGACATATCCTCCACGAACTCCAGAACTCTTATTAATATATCATAGCATGCTAAGAAAGCTGTTGTATTGGATCAACCACGCAATGATAAATCTAGAGACAAGAGAGTTGCAGGTGTCCTCGAAGATATCGTGGAGCCAGAAGCTTAAAGGTTCCGGCAACACGAACCATCTCTGTTAGAGCCTGCAAAGGCCAGGATCCCGCCTTTCTCAGTTCTTTGCATCTGAGTGACGAGAAGAAGACATGTGATACTATCTGCAATGAAGTGAGGAATAGGTCTGCAGAACTACAACCTCCCATATAGTCCCAAAGTATTAGTACCAATTTGTAGCAACTTGTCTGTGTTAGGGACTGCAGGAGAGGATGAAGCAGCTGTTTCGAAAAATAATTAGATGGAGAAAAAGGTTGACAGGAAGTTTCTAGTTTTCCCGAGTCTGCCTGTAATTACTTTGGGAGGCTTGTTATCGTATAAGTATTCTATACTAAGTAAGTACTAACTAGTAGTTAGCTAGCTACTTGACTAGTTGATTGGTTAGTTGGTTATTGATGCAAGGCCTGTCCTGTCATTAGTCAGTTAACTATACATGTTTACGTTATGCAGGTGTAACGAAAACCTTGCCTATTTCGTCCGTTTTATCGGACGGACTACCTACTAAACCAGTCTAAGTAAGTTCCGACTTACTTACTCCGTTACAACCTTAGTAAACTGGATGTAACATCCCGCCCGAGCAGCGTGTTCCGAATACTCAGTGTTTATTCGTCAATAGGGATTCGTCATCTAGAAAACTGCAAACGTTACCCTGCAGCACCGAACTGCTGCTACCCACGTACTTGCCCGCCCGTCCATCCTGACATACCCCGATTCACGCAAGCTCACAAAACATCACGTCCAGCTTCCTTTATTGAGCCCCAAAAGCCAATTTGTGCTTGTCACCGCTCAAGACGACTGGAGGGCACAACTGTCGTTCTCAATCGCCATACAAGAATCTGCTTCCATGGTAAAGTGGCATTACATTAACTTGCTTGAAGCCGGCTAACAGGACCGGCTAATTATCTAGGTCGTCGATCTTGAGAAATTAGGACATGACCACAACAACTGTGACCGGCACTGGGAGACGCTCTTCTATACGACTACCAGACCTTCAAGTACCGGCGACTTCATCCATCTCGCAACAAATGACCAGTCCGATAGACAAGTTCCCGCCTTTCATTGATGAAGCACCTGAGCCTACGAGCGAACCAAGAGAAGCGCACTCCCATTCGGTTAGATATGCGGCGACAGATCGCTGGGAGCCACGGAAGCAACCCCAATCTTCACGGGATAGCAGACATCCTACACTGAATTCGAAAAGAAGATCAAGGAAAAGTATCAGTGATGCCATCAGCACAATTAGAACGCGCAACGGCAGTGTTAGCGCCAATGCACAGGAGTTGGCTGAGGCCCTTAGAGCTCCGATATCATACAAGCTGATAGTAAGATTGTTGGATTCTCATGGATGTTTTCCCACCATATTGCTTACTCCGGGTTAGGTTCTCTGCCTCATATGGTACATGACCTCCGCTCTGACGAATACCTCATCGAAGTCTATCTTAAATGCCCTTCCAAAACCAATAACGCTTACGATCGTACAATTTGCCTTCGTAGCATTCTGGTGCTTGGTCCTAACCTATTTATCCACAGTGCTACCCTGGCTGAAAGATAGCATACCGGCCCTCAGGAACGGGATCCGTCCTCCGTCCCGTGATGTTGTCATGACAGCTCTGCCTTTGGCAGTGTTCCAGTTAGCCGGCCATATACTTAGCTCTATGGCTACCTCACAGATTCCCGTCTCACTCGTCCACACAATCAAGGGACTGTCACCCCTGTTCACAGTTCTGGCGTATCGGGTCTTCTTCCGAATTCGATATGCCAAAGCAACATATCTTTCTCTTGTCCCATTGACTTTAGGTGTGATGCTCGCTTGCTCGACAGGCTTTTCCACAAACCTCTTCGGCATACTATGTGCGTTAATTGCCGCATTGGTCTTCGTCTCGCAGAATATATTCTCAAAGAAGCTTTTCAATGAAGCGTCCCGTGCAGAGTCAGAAGCAGAACCGTCGAGCCGACGAAAATTGGATAAGTTGAACTTGCTCTACTATTGTTCCGGATTAGCCTTCATTCTCACACTACCTATCTGGTTCATAAGTGAAGGATATCCTTTGATTTCCGATATTATACAGGATGGCGCCATCTCGTTGTCGGGAAATAGAGGCTCACTGGATCATGGCGCTCTCTTCCTTGAATTCGTATTCAACGGAGTGTCGCACTTCGCACAGAACATACTGGCATTTGTTCTCTTGTCTATGATATCACCAGTTTCTTACTCCGTCGCATCTTTGGTGAAAAGAGTTTTCGTGATTGTTGTTGCGATCGTGTGGTTTGGAAGCTCAACGACATCCATTCAAGGTTTTGGAATCGCTCTTACCTTTATTGGACTCTACCTCTACGATCGCAATAGCCACGATGATCTAGCGGACCAGAGAGCAAATGCTGATCATTTCCGCACAAGGGAAACTGTCCTTCCATTGAACGCCCAGACTGCAGGCAAAGTTTGGGACTCAAATGGCTATGGCGCTTCGGCAAGCAAGCTCTCTTACTATCAGTCACCAGATGGCCCTACCTCGCATGCAAGTACACCTAAGAAAGAAGATGATGACCAGGGCCGTGTCCGTCCCAGAGGAGGCAGTAGCTCCCGGGTGTGGCTACCTCCTGGCACAAAGCAAGAGACCACTTGGAAGGCGAATGATTCCTAGGTCTCTCATCTCTTGGATGTCATCTTCATTGTCTTTGTTCTAAAACATCCGCTGTCTGATTATCTTTTGAATTTCGAATGTAGCATATTACCATGGTCTCTAGTGAGGTGGCATCAATATTGTAACAGACGCATTCTCTGACCAATCTGAAGCTATGCATGCCTAAGCATATCTTCAGCTTGCATAGTTATATCAGCCTCATTGATAAGCAAAGTTGGGCTATAGTGCTGGAAAACGAGTATACATGTCGATACCCGGCGAAAGTTATGCTAAGGATGAGTTGAATGAGTCTTGGTGGGGAGGGGCAACTACTGCTGCGACGCTCTGCTTACGAGATCGAGCTCCTAATGTTGACCCAAGAGCACTTTTACTATACAACTTAAATTTTCAAGCTACACATGTCGGTTATGCACCGTATGGTTTACCGAAGAAACAAGTCATTAGAAGCTTGCGGTCAACACGTTACATCCACTACGTAGCAAAGGATATTGAAATTATTATCAGTGCATTCTTTGTCCTTCAATTCCCTTATATAGAAATAGCGATAGATGTAGCGACTGTCAGTAAAGAACTATACCCTCATCAGGTGATCCTCGATGAATAACCCTAAGGAGCTCCAGCTCAGTGCATCTTCTTCTTGGGTCATGTTGCAGAGGAGGAAGGGAAGTGAAGAACCCTGCCACCTACAATAAATCATGCCCGTGAATGAGTTATGTTGAGAAAAGAGAAAAGAGGAAGGAGAATAGCACCGGAAGGGCTTATTAAGAAAGAAAAGGGAGTAGTGCGGACTAATATATCCTCCGGATAGCCGAGCCAATCCGCAGGCGGCAATTTGCGAGTGACGCCCCGGCTCATGGCTGGCAGAATCCGAACCAAGCCAAAAGTGCTCCCTCCCATTAAGAATCACCCAGCACTATAGACTTCCACCGACGCTTCCTGATTACCTCCATTGCGCTTGCTACTCAAATTTGCTCTATCCTCTCACGTTTGCTTCTATTCACAGTATGCGGCCGCAGTTATCTCGTGCGGCCGCCCGGCTCGTCCGGGTTCCCAAGGTCAACTACCCCAGGACTTTCGCGACGACAATTCCTCGCTCCGCTGAGGTTGAACTCACAATTGGTAGGCTATATGCTTCTTGCTGAACTTACATAGCTTTGCTGACCTCCTTTGTTAATCTAGATGGGAAGAAAGTCTCAGTCGAAGGTGATTCCGCGTCTCAATCCATGGCTTCTTATCATCTTGCTTACATGGCTTAAAGCTGGCTCCGCTCTCATTCAGGCTTGTGAGAAGGCAGGCGCCACGGTTCCCAGGTATTTCGACCCAAAACGTCATTACTGTAGAAGATAACTAACAATAATTGACAGATACTGTTATCATGAGTATGGTCCATATTGCCAAATGCCATTGTTTTGAGTACTAATTGAATCACAGGAAACTCTTGATTGCAGGAAACTGTAAGTTTATAATTGTCATCGAGTTATTGAAGAGCTCGCTAATATTTTTGCCCCTTCTCTTAAGGCCGTATGTGTCTAGTCGAGGTCGAACGGGCGCCCAAACCTGTGGCATCATGTGCTTGGCCTGTGCAGCCCGGTATGAATGTCAAGACGAATTCACCACTTGTACACAAAGCTAGGGAGGGTGTTATGGAATTCCTTTTGGCCAACCACCCTCTTGATTGTCCGGTCTGTGATCAGGGAGGCGAGTGTGACCTGCAAGACCAGTCAATGAGGTACGGCGCCGACCGTGGGCGTTTCCATGAAGTTGGTGGCAAGCGCGCGGTTGAGGACAAGAATATTGGACCCCTTGTCAAGACGTCTATGAACAGATGCATTCACTGCACTCGATGTGTTCGATTCATGAACGATGTTGCTGGTGCTCCCGAGCTGGGAACTACTGGCAGAGGAAACGACATGCAAATCGGTACCTATTTGGAGAAGAACCTCGATTCGGAGCTGTCCGGCAACGTCATTGATCTTTGTCCTGTTGGTGCTCTCACTTCGAAGCCTTATGCTTTCCGTGCTCGTCCTTGGGAGTTGAAACATACGGAATCCATTGACGTGCATGACGCTTTGGGCTCGAATATCCGAATTGACAGCCGAGGCATGGAAGTAATGCGTGTAATCCCAAGACTTAACGACGACATCAACGAGGAATGGATCAACGACAAATCTCGGTTCGCGTGTGACGGTCTGAAGACTCAACGACTTACGACACCTTTGATTCGCCGAGAGGGCAAGTTCGTTCCGGCTACTTGGGAGCAGGCCCTGAGCGAGATTTCCTCCGCTCAGCAAAATTTGCAGCTTAAAGAGAACGAATTCAAGGCCATTGCAGGACACCTTGTGGATGCCGAGTCGCTTGTTGCCATGAAAGACTTGGCTAACAAGCTTGGATCCGATAACCTCGCTCTGGACCAGCCTGGTGGCAGCTCGCCCCTTGCCCACGGTGTTGACGTTCGCTCGAACTACCTTTTTAACTCCAAGGTCTACGGAATCGAAGAGGCTGATGCTATCCTCCTTGTTGCTACCAACCCTCGCCATGAGGCCTCTGTCCTCAACGCGCGTATCCGTAAGCAATACCTGCGCTCTGATCTGGAAATTGGACTTGTTGGGGAATCATTCGACAGCACTTTCGATTTCGAGCATCTTGGATCCGACGTCAACGCTCTCAAGGCTGCCCTTTCGGGTCAGTTTGGAGAGAAGCTCGCTTCTGCTAAGCGTCCAATGATCATCGTCGGTAGTGCTGCGGCTGAACATCAGGACGCGAAAGCGATTTTTGAAACAGTCGGCAGCTTTGTTGAAAAGCATGGCAACAACTTCAACACCCCAGAATGGCAAGGCTACAATGTTCTCCAGCGCGCGGCATCTCGTGCTGCAGCCTACGAGGTTGGCTTTACCACACCGTCTCCCGAAATCTCCCAGACCAAGCCTAAGATGGTTTGGCTGCTGGGAGCTGATGAGGTTACTACAAGTGAAATCCCAAGCGATGCGTTCGTTGTCTACCAAGGACACCATGGTGATCGAGGCGCTCAGCTTGCTGATGTTGTCTTACCTGGTGCAGCCTACACTGAGAAGTCTGGCACCTACATCAACACAGAGGGCCGTGTTCAAGTTACCCGAGCAGCGACTTCGTTGCCTGGTGCAGCTCGTGACGACTGGAAGATTATCCGTGCCACCAGCGAATTTCTCAACATTCCTCTGCCATACGATGATATCGAAGCTCTTCGCGATCGCATGGAAGAGATTAGCCCTGTGATGCGTCGATATGACGTCGTCGAGTCCACCTCCTTGGGCTCCCTTAGCAAGGTTCAGTTGGTCGATCAGAACAAGGGCACACAGCCAACTGGAGCGCCTTTCAAGCGTGTTATTGAAGACTTCTACTTCACTGATTCCATCTCTCGAAGGTATGTAGAAGCGATGACCGTAATTTTGTGAGGAAACATTTCTAACTATGTTATAGCTCACCTACGATGGCCCGCTGCTCAGCAGCCAAGGCGACGGGTAATCCCGAAACCAATTTCATGGCTGCTGGAGAGATGTCGCCCCAGGCTTTGTATGGTTAAGATTAACACTTGTAGTTCTGATCTCCCGGTTTATCCTTATTATAGGTCTAGGCGTTGTCGTTGTAACACCTAAACATCATTTTTCTTCTGTTCATTCCTCCCAGTAATGCGTACTGCTATTGGTTTCTTCCCTCGCAGTCTAGTCTCTTGAGATGCGTGAGGATGCGTCACTAGTGATGAATTTGTATATAAGTTCAAAATGAGCTTGAGAAGCTTAACGAGGTCGTATACTTTCAGATATCCTTGTATGGAACGAACCATCGAATAGATTAGTTCACATATACTACAGAGTTAGATCATCGAAGAATTAGGTACATAGTCATGGTTGCACGAGGTTTTATTCCCTTCGCTATGTATTCATAGCTCATCGTCGTCTGTCTCGCCTGCAGTTTCTTCGGCAGTGTCGTGCTGATGCTGTATATTCTGTACGGTGTCTTTGCTTGATTTTGACCCTTTGGCGAATGGAAGCTCCCTGCGGGGTGGAGGTGACTGTTCTTGCAGCCTAGGTGGATGGTGAGCTTCTTCCATATTGTTCTGTTCACTTATTCCCTGATCGACGCCGGACGCTGTGGGCAAATCTTCGTCAGTGGTATCATCTACACCCACATCCTCCAATGGCTGCGGAGTCGAATTTGGTTCGTCATCCGTGTCTATCATTCTTCTTGGACTGGATTGATGCTTGGTCTGATCCAAACTCTCCGAGCCATTATCGCTTTCAGCCTCGTCATCGCTCGTTTCCACAATAGGACGTTTCGCATGCTTCATGCTCCCGACACGGGCCCCAACTTTTGATGAGGCAGCCCGACATTGACCAGCTACATTTTTATCATTCCAGTATCAGCTATTGTTGTTTTAACTCAGACATGCGACCTTACCATCGTCCACATCAATTTTCGCCGAAGCCAACAAGCGTTGTTGATTGCGGATTTTGAGCTTCTTCTGATTTAGAACCTGAGTAAAGTTTGTCATAAGCTGTTCCTCATGGCGGCATTTTGCAGTGATGAAGTCCTCAATTTGCTTATTGAGCTGCTTGATGGTATTGTCGGCTGCGCGATACTGCTGTTGCAATCTTGATAGCCGCTGCTCAAGCATATCAGCTCTGGCAATGGCGACGGCGGACCAGTCGAAGAGCTGAATATCTTGTTCATCATCCTGCTTGAGCGCTATAGAACCGAGTCTTTGCTGTGAATCATCAGCACCACATCATTATATTATTTGGTGGTCAGGCTTACAGTTATAGTTTGGATCCTTCGGCGAATAGTGAGGACCAGTTGATTGCTCTGCCTACCTAATGCCTTAATACTAGCGGATAGTTCGACACCAGATAGCAGCTCTGATTTATCTGTATTGATCTCTAGCTGGCCCAAGGCACGCAGCAAGATAAGGTCCCAGTCCTCATCGGTTCCCTGATAACTCTTTGAACGATGAGTCTGCGCACGAG